CCTGGACATGAGACAGATTACTAATTAATTCAATTTGAAACTTGGTATGCAGCATTCAGCAATTACTGACTCAGCAGACATGGCTACAAACATCTCATCCAACCTGTACCAGTGCTTTATTTACCCTACTGAGTACAATTGGAGAAATGCGTCTAATCCTTCTACATAGACTGTAATATTGAAGTTTGGTCCATGGCAGTAATTATAGCCACAGTAACTGGCTCTTTGTGATCTTGACTTAGAACTATGGCTGAAATTTTTGCCAGATATGAATCGAGATTATGGGAATAAGGACGTCGAGGATTTGAAATAAGTCAACAACAGCCAAGATCGCTACTCAAGTTTATTACACGAAGCAACATGGTCGACTCACATGGGAGAAGCTCTATAAAACAAAGGATCACGGGAGAAAACGCTTTACATCAAAGCATGATGGGAAACACATTCAAGTGCCATCAAGAAGATACATTTCTTGTTCCTTTCACTATGGCAATCACTTGTGATTCAGTATTTACCCTGATTTGTGGTGATGATTTCCCTTTGTCCCAAGTCAGGTGGAGAGTTGACTGTTTGGCTCCCCCTCTGCGACAGTGCAGACAGGAACACCCTAGTGCTGGCCTGTTTATATTGTTTGCAGATTAAATCAGCAGATAAATTGCTGCCAACTTTGTACAGTTGATGGTTTCCTCTTGACTTTCCTTTGTAATAATCGAGGTATCTAAATATAAAAAACACAGGTACCAAGATAACTTATTAATAATATGTAAAGCAATCGAACTAGTTAACTTACAATCAAACCCTGAAGACCGTAGAGACTCGACTAGATAAGTTTTTAAATAGTATTCATCACGCATTTTACGCAAGCTACTTGTAGATTTTATTTTATTGATTGTAGTATTTTAAGTTTTCTAAGTAAATGTATTAATGCCTTATCTAGTTAATATTATCAGATTATTATAGCATTGTTTTTGTAGTTATTGTATTATTTTATTCTCTGATTTAAATTGTAGTATTCTTCAAAGAAAAGACAATACTTACCTAACAACTGATATTTATTATAAACAGACGGATTCATTCCAATACCTCCCATGTACATCCAGCCATCCAAAACACAAAAAATAACATACCATACAACCTGGCTCGAAGGATATGTATGACTGTTGAGGACCATGGATGGCGTACACAGAATAATCTGAGGTAAACCAAGAGTTTGGCCACCAAGTGCCTGCATGGCTAGAGACAGAAAAAAAAATTCATTTAATTTCCTCCTAATGGTAAGACTAGCTTGGGATCTACACAATTCAAGTAAAAGGACTTAGTATCATTTGTGGTGTTTGGTTACTGTATTTCCTTGAATAAGCCTCCATGCCCTAATAAATGCCCCCTCATCTTGATAAAAAGCCACCTCCTAGGCCTAAATGTCATATAAGCCCCCCCCCCCTCAATTTCTTAAATCAGCAGGGATACAGAGAAAACCTGTTTCTATGGCCAACTTATTTAACCTTCAACTTCAGCAGAATCAAAGCAGGAGAGAAAAGTACTTCCTTTTCCTTTACACACTCGACTAGATAAGTTTTTAAATAGTATTTATCACGCATTTTACGCAAGCTACATGTAGATTTTATTTTATTGATTGTAGTATTTTAAGTTTTCTAAGTAAATGTATTAATGCCTTATCTAGTTAATATTATCAGATTATTATAGCATTGTTTTTGTAGTTATTGTATTATTTTATTCTCTGATTTAAATTGTAGTATTCTTCAAAGAAAGCGTAGTATGCAACGTGGCAGAGTTTGATGCGTGATCATGCATAGAAAGAGGCTGTCTAATTAGTTGGTTGGTGACGACACTTGGAGCTAGTGTTCTAAGGGATCAAATATCACCGAAACCACAAGCCTTTGAAAAACTGTTACAAGGGCTTATATTCAGCACTGAATGGAAGACCGAATTAGTTAAAAAAAGATACACAGAGGACGAAATTTTGTAGTCCATTGATCATGAAAAACAGCGGTCTAAATTGGACTGCACTTGAATGATCCTTCGGGTCAGCTGCAGTCACAAATACTAAGCCTACTTTACATTGATCTCTCGCCTTGAGAAATCTCGATTTAATCCTCAACTTTGTGCGGTTGTGAATAAGGGAGATAGGTTTCCAAAGAAATTTTGGTACTGCGTCGTTAGGAGAGTATAACAGGGTAATTTAATACCATCAATACTGAATTACAATTTTGTGTGGTTGTGTCAGGATGATTGTACGGAAATTGTTGAATTTTTTGCCGGTGTGTTTGATTGATGACTGTTTTGTTCGTAGTGTTCTAAGTTAGCCATCAAATGAAGTTAGCGAGTTTGAAATAGACTTTATCTTAGTAGCGCAACCCTCTCATTGATTTGAGGTGGAATCCCTGTGGAATTCACAACATAAAAACGCGCGATTAGCACTGCTCCAGAAACATCAGTCCAGAACAACCAGCTGATTCAGTGAATAAAAAATATTTTGCGTAGAAAAGTGGGTGAAACTAGAATTTAGTCACCATTTAACGCTCGCCATTGTTCGGTCTAAGCTGGTGAGGTGCTGAAAGAATGTAGACCATATTTGTTACTCACCTGGTCGCCGTGATTTCGGGAATTTCTCGTTTTAGGTGCGCCACCATAGCGTCTCCGCAAAGCCTCTGGTCGAACTTGACCTTTTTGTCATCTGGGGCAAGAGTTGGGTTTTGACTTACTTGCGCAGTATCGTCCACCCAAACGAATGTTCGGTAGGGCTTCGCGCTCGATAGCCCGCCTGCAATTTGTGAGTCCTGTGAACCATCTTGTGAACTGGGGTCAAAAATTTGCCCGATGGCTCCTATACTGTGATCACGAGACATTTCAAAATTTGTTTGCACAGATGAAACAAGCTGTCACAGGGAGCGAAAAGAACTTCCCCCATTCATCTGAAAAGTAATGTCACTTAAAGAAACGCCCACAGTATCAACATCAACGTCATATCCGAAATGATGATTACTGAAGGTGTGACATTTCTAATTTTTATTTTTTCATAATAGGGTGTATTTAGGATCCGAGGCTTTGTACGAGCTGGTGAACGTTCTTGAGATTTTATGAAATTACATGTCAGTCATTTCAGATTCGATGAATGGATTTTATGAGTAGATTCTTCCGTACTCCAAGTCAGAATTGCGAGTTTGTAACTCCAGGAAATCATTATGTCACTTGCAGTTAATTTCTTACAAAGAGGTGGGGCACAACAGAGAAAAAACTTTTATTTAAATTAATTTCACTGCGGGACGTGTGCTATGAATCATTCACAAGCTCTCTGTTCGAAAACTCGAAGTACAGTTAGCGACTGATAAATTATCGAAAAATTAAAGGGAACTGTAACTGCTCGTCTCTTGGAAGGAAAACCTCTCTTTCAACGCTACGATGTGTGTACTTCAACCTGATGGTTGATGAGGGTGAAGCACCCAAAAAGTCTTCAAACCGGTTGTGCAGAGCAAACAATTTGGTCTACGATGTTGTTTTCGATGATATCCTTTACTGCAGTTTATTATACCACTATTTCGATATTTCAACACATTAGGGCAGAATGTGCAACGGTTTTACACGAGAACAAGGCAGAATACGGACTGAAGGCGGAGCAACCGAAACTTTGGTTATGTGTTTGTGTGTGGTTTTTTTTTTTTTTCAGGCTCTACTTTTTGAGCAACGAACTTTTAAGCGCATTATTTTTTTTCTTTTATGTGTTGTTTTGTCTTTCGCGTACGCCTTATGTGATCAATTCGATGCTATGATAATGCCGTGCGATACGTTTCGAAAACTATTCGCCAAAATATAAGAAAATGTAATAAAACTTGAAAATATATCCTTTAGTCAATTTATGACAGATAACAAGAGTGCCCCCACGGGACTCAAAATTGGTTTCGTACACAGCTAGGTCGATGCTTTCCCTGTCAGTTGAGTTTCGTACCCACACTAATAAAATATATCTTCCATGTTAAGCATGTTAAAGTAAGGTCGGTATCTTATTTTAAAAAGCATTATTACCTTCGTAACTGAGGGTCTCATTGGGGTGAGGGCTTTACAGTTAACGGTTAGAGATTTGGTCATTTTATGGCTAACGGTTAACTTCCTTCCTTTGCGAATAAAAGGAAACAAAATTACCATTGACTTCTTTTTTACGATTAACGGTTAAAAATTGGTAAGTTTTTGTGCCTATCTGCCTTTTTTTGGCCATTTTAAAAGAGCCTCTTAGAAATGTTTTGTTTACGTGCGGTCCATTTTTGATACACCACCACCAAAGGGAGAAAAAAATCATACATACAGTTGCTGTTATTGTAAAGGTAGGCACAAGTAAGAACAAGAAAACAATAGACTTTTACACCTACCTTGTGTTAAGAAATAATTTAATTGTTTTTGTCAAGAAGTTTACAAGTACACACAACTGAATGAGCCATACTACTTTGTCTGAAATCTCGACAGATATTGTTAAATTACCTTTGCAATTAAACATAGTTGTGTTCCGGAATGGTCTTGTAAGAGTTTTTGCGCTCATCTGCGATATTTTTTTTCCGCGTTAAGAGTCTCACCGATTTACGCCTTTTTTTACATGCCGTGTAAACTATTTTCAAGTTCGCTCCACGTTCCATATGCTTACGGTTAGACTGTTTAATAATACAGTATTATAATAATATAGTATTTATATAGCGCTATTTCTATTGCTATTCAATAGCGCTTTACAATTCATTTATAAAAGACATTGATAAAATGTATAAAAACGTAAACATCACTAAAATATGAGTAAAAAACTAGCTAATAAAAAATCTGTAATGATGAGAGTAAAAACTGTGAAACTTACAATAGAACTAATTCACTAACCAATTAACTAACTAACTAACTAACTAACTAGCTGACTAACTAATTAACTAACCAACTAACTAGCGACCTAGCTAACTATAAAATAGCTAATTAACTCGCTAAGCTAATTATAAAATTTGTTAAGAAGGTTAATTATAAAATTTGTCAAAAAGGTATGTCTTTATACAGGTCTTAAAGTCTGATAGCGAGCTGCTCTCTTTTATGATGTTCGGAAGAGAGTTCCATAGAGTCGGTGCTACAAAAGAGAAGCACCTGTGACCATAACTTACTAGCTTGACAGGTGGTACTTTAAGTAAGTTTTTGGAGGAGGACCTCAGATTTCTGGTTGGTACATAAGGCTTCAGCAGTTCAGTGATGTAACTTGGGGCTTGTCCGTTGAGCGCTTTTAAAGTCAAAAGTAATATCTTGTAATCTATGCGCTGGCTAACTGGGAGCCAGTGAAGCTGCTTTAAAACAGGGGTCAATTCAATAAAACTTTTACACTTGTATTTTACACGTTGGACCGTTGCTTTTACAAGCGCGTAAAAAATCCAATTCAATAACTGTCTTTACAAGCCAAAGTTACAAGTGTCCGACTTGTAGTTACAGGTGTAGAGCTACACGTGTAGAATGTGAAATTAGGTCAGTTCAATAAAACGTTTTACAGGAGTCCAACTTGTTTTTGGCCTGCGGTCCACTTGTAAAATACAAGAACAAATTACAAGTCATAAGTCACTTGTAAACTTCGAGAGCAAATTGTTGTTGGCCTCATTTAAAGAGATAGCATGTCATCTTCGAGTGAAGAAGAAATAGATGAACTTTTGAGAAATAGAATAAGACGACAGCCGAGGAATTTTGAGGAAAGACGGCTTTTCGACGTAGAAAATCCACACGAATTTCGACAGAAGTTTCGTCTCCCAGTCGATGCATTCGAACATTTACTGGCAGCAGTGGGTCCGCAATTGGAACACAGAACACGGCGCAACAGAGCGTTGAGGGCGAGACAACAATTGTTAGTATTTCTCCACTTCCTTGGTACGAACTCGTTTTACCATGTGATGCATTCGTGCCATGGAATTTCAACATCAACGGTTTGGAATGTCATAGACCGCGTTACGCCGGCAATACTAAGTTTACAGCGAGAACTTGTTTGTTGGCCCAAGCAGCCCCTTCGAATCGCTTCAAAGTTTCATGATATAGCTGGGTTTCCTTGTGTTGCTGGTTGCGTGGATGGAACCCATGTTCTGGTAAATCCCCCGGCTGGTGATGAAGATGCATACGTGAATCGGCATCATACGAAATCCCTCAATGTGGCCATGGTTTGCGGCCCGGATTACTCAATATATTTCTGTAGCAGCCGATGTCCTGGGAGATGGCATGACTCGCGGGTTCTCAAAGAGAGTACTCTGTGGACTGCATTTGAAGAAAATGCTCGGAGGCCATTCCCTGGAGCAGTAATTCTAGGCGACTCTGCCTACCCGTGCAACAGCTGGCTGATTCCTCCTTTCAGGGGAGATGTAGAAGGTGCTCGACTCAGGTTTAATGAGGCGCACAAGAAAACCAGAAGCACCATAGAGAGAGCCAATGGTGTTATAAAAAAAAGATTCTACACTCTACAAACAGGCTTAAGAGTCAGAAGTATGGAACGAGCTGCTGAACTTATCCAGTGTGCAGCCATACTACACAACATTTGCATACTATTTAACGATGATGGTGCTGATCTTTTGGATGACGAAGATCTGGAAATTGATGAAGGGGAGTCTGCCGAGCAAGACGAGGGGCAGGAGGACAGACGACAAGAGCTCTTGGCGCATTTTCTTTGAATTAAAGTGAGACAATGTCAATCGATGTGAAATCAAATTGTTAAGGGCCTTAAAAAGCATTTAGTTTACATTTCTTATTCGATCTTCATTATTTGCAGATATTGTATTTATAAAACTATAATGATATGCTTAGGACGATCCCCTAGCCCAAATATGAAATTGAAAAAGAACAGAAGCTGTCATTGAATTCATTAAACCATGGTATGAGCTATGTCATTGAAGTCATTTCAATAATTATTGATATCCTCTTGTCCGTTGCCCTCCCTCTAATAATTAAACAAATGATTGCAAACCACCAACCTTCTAAGACTAATTGTTTTTATTAACGGCGTGATTACTTTCTAACAAAGTGATACAATTCTGTAAATTATTGACATTATTAGCTTTCATTCTCTTGATTGCACTTACGCAATTCTCAAACTTAACAGTCAAATTATTTCTATTAATCCATCGCCTCGAAATCTTTCTTCATTATTTTAATCTCCAAGGACAACTTTGAACACTCTAAAAGTAGTTTTCTTTTCCTAATTCGTAATATGTCTTCTAATTCTGCTGTGGAACTGACAGTGGCCTTTTTCAGCCCCTTCTTCGATTTGATGGTAGGCTTTTGAAATACTGATGTCTTGTCTTCTTTGGCTTCCTTTGGTTTGGCTGAAGGTTTTGTTTCATGCTTTTCTTTTGCATCTAAATGAACAAAAGATTGGTAGATACATGAAAATCTCATCTTTAAACTCATCGCGTTTGAACGAAGCTAAGTTGCGATTAAAGTAAGAAAGAAACATTTTCATTTGGGAACGCGATAATCGCGCCTGACCTAGCTTCAAATTGACAACTTGCTCGCAGAGAAACGAAAGAAGGACATTTTGATTTATAAATGTTGTTTCTGGTTATTCTAAATTATCTCACCTTCGGTCTCAGGTGTAGTGCAGACAACCTCTTCACTCTCAAACACAATTGGTGTGTCTTCAACCTTCACAGGCTCCAAGTTTGCGCTCTCTCTTCCAAGTATATCAAGGACTGTATCGTCCAGCTCTGTGAGTTCACTCCCTCCTGCACCGGTCTTTTTCGAGTCACTGACTTTTTTTATCGTACCGCGGCGAATGTTTGCCCAGATAACATCTCTCAGGGTTTTCATGTTGTCGACGTTCGCTCCAACACCATTCAGTTGTCTTAAGATGCTTTCCCACGCCTCCTGTTTCGCCTTTTTCGTTATAGTCGAGGAAAATGGAGCCAAAACAACTGATTTGTTATCCCTCACAAGCTGCGCTAATAGCAATTTCTGGGATTTCGACGACAGGGAAAAAATCGACGCGGTCTACGAAATAAATTTTCCGCACTGAGCTGAAATAATTTGCACTTGTAGTTTACATATCCACTCAGTGCTATTTACAATTGTACGGTTACAATTGTAATTAACACTTGTAGTAAGACTGCTTGTACACGTGTAAATTCCAGTGTTTGAATTTTTTTTATTGAATTCTTGTATTTACAAGTCGGACTTTACATGCGTTTTTTACAACTGTAGAATCTACAAGTGTAATTTCTTTATTGAACTGACCCCAGGTTTGATGTGGTCATACTTTCTTGTACGAGTGACAACACGAGCCGCAGCATTCTGGACATTTTGTAGACGATCTATCAGGAATTTGGGTAAACCATATAGTAGCGAGTTGGTGTTATCTAGCTTAGATGTAATGAACGCATGAACTAGTTTTTCAGTATCTGCTAGAGATAAGCAGTCTCTTATCTTGCTAATGTTTCTAAGATGGAAGAAACAGGCTTTGCAGGTACTGGTAACATGCTTATCTAGTGACATGTGCTCATCAAAGATAATTCCAATGTTCCTTGCAGAGGGAGATGGCTCGATCCGCTCACCAGACACATCAACATACTCTATTGTTGGGGGTGGACGGTGTCGTGCACTCAAGATCAATAGCTCCGTCTTTCCTTTGTTTAGTTTCAGTTTATTGCGCACCATCCACGAGTCTATCTCAGAAACACACGCCTCTATTTTTGCTATAGAGCTGGGTAGTTCGGCGGGGGTGGGCTTGAAAGAGATATTTCATTTTAACTCACTGCGTTCGCACACATGAAAATTATTTTCTAAACCGTTATAGGAACTTGCACAACACGACAACCACAGTCAAATGGGTTGGTAACTCACGGAGAGCCAATATATATAACACGAGAAAGCAGAATACAGCAAAGCTATATTGGTGACGCGAGAAGTGAAATAAGCATACGGCTACTGGACTATATAGCAATACATGCTATGACACCTTACTCCCATGTGGTACAGAAATCATGCATACTTGACAGGTATTACGTAACAGTAATGCACACGAAGGTGAGATGGAAAAACAAAGTGTGAACACTGACGTTCCGTAATAAACTCCTATAGAAAATACATTTTCATTTTAACTCACTGCGTTCGCACACATGAAAATTATTTTCTAAACCGTTATAGGAACTTGCACAACACGACAACCACAGTCAAATGGGTTGGTAACTCACGGAGAGCCAATATATATAACACGAGAAAATAACAAAGCACCTGAGTGAATAACAGGAAGAATATAAAGTAAAACAATAGCGATACAAATACCACGAAAAAGATGATGATCCTGCGTGCCCAGGTTGGGAGTTGTACAACGCTTCTTATTGCTCTGCTGCTGTCGTTCTCTTTCTTTCTGTTTCCTTTTCCTATTAGCTGCGGCTCTAGCATTGCGAATTTTCTTGTCGTCCTCATCGTCCGAGGCGATATCTTGGGATTCGTATTCTTGAACTGCGTCCCAGCCGGCTTCACTCGAGTCTGCGAGTTTGATAAGCTTCTGTCTCTTGTGCAACAGAGCTTTGGCTTGATCCGTTAAGTGAGCCACCTTCTTGTGATCCTTCTGGGCGTTTGCTTCTTTGATTTTTCCTACTAATTCTTCAAGCTCGGCGTTGAATACGAACTGCTTTTGGTTACTTTTGAATTTGAACTTCTCTGCCTGCAAATCGATTTTTTGTTTTTCTTCGAGCTCTTTGCCCTTCTGTTCCAAACGATTTTCAAGATATGTCTTGAAGAGAGAGAACACTTCATCAATCCCTTGCGATGTGGGAGGATCTGTAGGCGGATTGTTGGGAATATCTGGTTCTTCGTGAAGATCGTCCGGTCCGCTTCCAGGCATAGCTTACAAAAAACGAACTGGACGAAAGCAGAATACAGCAAAGCTATATTGGTGACGCGAGAAGTGAAATAAGCATACGGCTACTGGACTATATAGCAGTACATGCTATGACACCTTACTCCCATGTGGTACAGAAATCATGTATACTTGACAGGTATTACGTAACAGTAATGCACACGAAGGTGAGATAGAAAAACAAAGTGTGAACACTGACGTTCCGTAATAAACTCCTATAGAAAATACATTAGAGCTGGGTGTCGTCGGCGTAGAGATGGTAATTAAGTCTGTGCCGTCTAATGATGTCCCCAATGGGTGAAGTGTATAATAAGTATAGAACCGGACCTAGTACTGATCCCTAGGGGACACCGTACTGAAGTTCTTTCATCTTTGACTTGTTTCCATCAATTATCACAAACTGTTTTCGGTCTTGGAGATATGATCGAAACCATTTTAGCACATTTCCTTTTACTCCATAGCGTTTTGCCATTCTTTCCAGTAGTAGATCATGGTCGACTGTATCAAACGCCGCAGACATGTCTAACAGTAACATGACAACACATTTTTGATTGTCAATTTCGAAGAGAATGTCATTTTGCACCCTCAAGAGTGCAGTCTCTGTGCTGTGAAAACGCTTATACGCAGACTGAAAAGATTCCTCTAGATCATTATCACGTAGGTGATCACTCAATTGGCAAGAAACTGCCTTTTCAATTATCTTTGATATAACCTTCAGATTTGAGATAGGTCTAAAATTTGAATAATCCTCGGAGTCCAGGTTGTTCTTCTTCAACTTCGGTTTGATCACTGCTTCTTTCAGTGCAGCGGGCATTGATGCTGATTGGAGCGACATGTTCACGATGTTGGTTAAGACAGGTAGAAGGGCTGATTTACATTCCTTTAGAATAGATGCCGGTATAGGATCAAGATCACAAGATTTTTTACCGATAGTGTCTACAAAACCTTCAATCTCTCTCTCTGACATCACTCTAAACTCTTTGAATTCGGCATGACAAGGCTGTTTGTTTGCTTCGCAGGACTGGGTATTAGAAGTCGCTTCATTGGATAGCTCTGTTCTTATTGTCGCTATCTTCTTGTCGAAAAAGTCGGCAAAATTGTTCGTAAGCTCAATCGTCGAGGGTGCGGTCGGATAGCGTCTCTCTACTTTGCGGTGTAATAGCTTGTCGACTGCGTTAAAAAGAACTTTTGGATCTGATGCATTCTCTGAAATAATAGATGAGTAGTATGAAGCCTTTGCATCCTTAAGCATTTTATTCACAACCCGGCACTGGTCGACATATATCTGTCTGTCGACGCACAGTCTCGTGGTACCATGGTGCTGATGGGCGGAGAGTTATCACGCATCGTTTTAAAGGGGCATTCCTTTCAAGTGTTTCCGTCAGTGTGTTTTCGTATTTTTCAATGAGACCCGTAAGATCAAGGGTGCTAGTTGACAGAAGGTTGGACTGCTTTAGGTCATCATTAAAACTGCTCATATTTACCGAGCGCAGTTTACGATAACTAATTTCCTTTTGTTCCAGGGGTGGTTTCTTTAGGCGAAGCTTGCAGTATACAGCAGAGTGATCGGACAGCATGGGATCCCGTATTTCAGTGCTATTTACCAGTTCGTCCACGGCTCTAGTTATAATCAGGTCTAAGGTGTGGCCCTTCTTATGGGTGGGTCCATTTACATGTTGGACTAGACCGAACGATTCTAAGATGTTGTTAAATTTGACAGTATCCAGATTGCTGATATTATCCACGTGATAGTTGAAGTCACCCACTATGAGTAGGTTACCAGGGGACACAACTAACTGTTCTGCGAGAATGCAGAATTCTTCGACGAATAGAGCACTATTTAGTTGATTTGCCTTAGATGGAGGTGGTCTATAGATGGTAACAATCCTTGTAGACCCAGTGGAGCATGTCGTTACGATGTCCAGGTATTCGAAGGACTTGAAATTTCTTTGGGTTTGTTTCGTAACCTTCATGTGTTTCTTTATTAGGAGTCCAACTCCTCCCCCTCGTGCGTTTTTCCGAGGAACGTGGTAAAACTGGTATCCAGTGGGGCAAACTTCGGCGATGGAAAAATTGTAGTTTTCATTATTACTCAGCCATGTCTCAGTCAATGCGAAAAAGTCTACGTTATTTTCGACTGCATAATCTTTGATCGCAAGTTCCTTCTTATTGATTGATCTGGTGTTCAACAAACAGAAGTCAATGGGTACGAATCCATTCTGCAGTTTTTGCTTTGAGCATCTTATGCTGATAAGATTGTGCCAATTCACTCCTCTGGGACAGCAATTTTTGGAGCCAAGGGTGGCGTTGTACAACACAGTGGCTGGCCGTAATGCATGGCTGCGTTTGGCTTGCGATGAAACAATGACCGGTATTGTTCTATTCACAGAGGGCCCGGGATTGAGCTTAAATGTCAGATCGCCAATTAGTTCCATGTTGAAAGCGGCGGAGCTGTTGGGATAATAAAAGCATGGTCTTTTGTGTCTTTTCGTCCTGCGCCGCTTTGATAAATTCCTGTGCAGAAACGAACCAATGATTGTGTAACAATTCGTCCAGCGATGTGAAATGCTCGTTGTGAACAAAACATCTTTGTTAGAGTAATTAGATGTATTGTGAAGCAAGATTCCGGCAGCTTTGTGGGTCGAACGGAAATGCGACGGTGGATAGAGTCCCTTCTAGGAGGCAGAATATTCAGCGTTGAGTCGCATTTTGGAGGCCAGTTTGTAGATTCGTAGCTTCTGTAATGTCTTCCGTTCAGAAATGGTTGGTTGGTCCAGTAGAGAGCGAAGTAGAGGAGAAAGAGTGTAGAGCGATCACATACACGTCTTACCCCCATTATGCATTAAGCAATGAGCTGCCTACCCCTGTTTCCGGTTTAACCACATCTTACGATTACGCCCGACCTACAACGTCAGTTCGTTCAAACAACGCTGGAGTATTTCCCACCATAGCAGCTTACAGACCACACTGATTATTCTGCGATTACATGCTAGCGGTGGCTAGCGTAAGGTAAGCTTACGCGTGAACTCATGCATGCGTGTCAGGTTTTTCGGAATGTCATAAAATTCTCTTGAGTACAGCAACCAAGAAACAGTGACAGCAAATTTAGTCTTTCGATTGGACTCTTAAGCGCGGTGAAATAAAAGGAACCCATAAATTTGAATCTATGGAATTTAGGAAGTCATCAATACTAGCCACTTCCCTAAACCTCGAAAATTTTTTAGGAATATTTCGATTGAGTTTCAAAAGTAATCTGGGATCTGGGACTACCCGAATTCGCTTTGCGATTTTCATAAAAGAGACACAAACCATCTCAGCCAACCTTATTCAAAAGTAAACCTAATCACGTGTTGCTCGCATTTCCCGCGTTTCCAACAGTTTTCTTGTTTTTCTTTGCGTCCTCTGATTGACTCTCGTGAGTTCCTTTGATTCTTTTTTGCAAAAACTCAGAGCACTCGAAATCCATGTTCTCTTTGTGTTTTAGTGATACCTTGATGCTGGAGCCAATGATTTTGCCTGACTGCGGCCACACGTTCTGCAAAACGTGTATTAGTAGGGTGCAACAAAACCCAACTACCAGCCATTGCCCCCTTTGTAAAAAGCCCATGTGGAGTTCCACACAACTGAAGACAAACTTCACCCTGAAAAAGCTGGTGGAGAAGAATGAGGGGAGCATCGAAGTGGTAGCACAGCACACCTGCCCCGATGCCTTCGTATCCTGTTCGAATAGGTCCTGCGAACGCAGTATTAAAGGAAAGGACGAGCCAACCCATAAGGGGGAATGTCTCTACGCAGTTATCACATATGAACAATGCTACCAGAACACCTCCGTGGCCAACAAGGAAATTCATCTTGAGAAGACTTGCCCAAGGGGAGAAATCCGTTGCCCTCTAAAATGCAGGAAGCGTCCGAGAAGGTCTCTTTGTGGTCTCAAAGCGTTGTACATTATCATTTCAAACTGAACACGAAATTCTCTTGACGTGTGTAAAAGAAAACACTTTGAAGGAGATAGAGTAACACGACAAGAAGCAAGCAGAAAAGTACGTGTCACTGCTGACAGAGAAGAGTGAAAAGCTCTTAGACTTATTTCTTAAAAAGGTAAGGCTGACCGAGGCTAATGCTCCTAAATGTTTTCCCCTTCCGATCTTTAATTGTTACTTAATAGCTAGCGCGCAGGTCACAGATTTTTGAACAGTTGTACAAAACTTTGAACAGATTTCTGCTTTAAAAACCATCAGTCGAGACTGAAAAAGTTGACTGAGTGGATGGTCCTCTGGTTTCCTTTAGAATACGATCTCGCGAGGATGATATAAAAAGATACTACTTAAGGCAGACTTAGAGAAGAGGGGGGGGCGAGAAGTGGGAGTGGTCGAACCTTTATTTTCTAACGCTTACAATAATCCCCCAGTGAATTTTTCCTCTCACTTTACTCAGAATGACGCTGATTCGATTTCTAACACAACAGAACACGAATTACTTTACCAAGAGAACATAGCAGTAATGAATACTTCTTCAGCAGTAGTGAAAAAAAAACTAAATAGTGCTCATTGCTGCGATGTTCGCTTTCATATTCACTGCGTGTGTGCGCGAAGATTAAAAACAAAATAAAATTTTAAAAATTTGTTTCAGAATTGTCATCGGGTTGGCAAACCTAGTAATCATTGAGCTGGAGCCAGATCTTCGCCAGTGGGAAGGTGAGACCTTCAGGACTGAGGTTTCCTTGGCAACACTGGAAGGAGAGGCAAAGAGAAACACCGGGTGGTTTTTTATGTAAATATTTATTGAAAGTTTTTCTTTTTCTTTGTAAATTTTCAGTTGTGAAATGAACATGAACATTGTTACCTTAAGTTGAGTGACTCTGAGAAGTCTGGGTAGGAGAGTACTCTACAGTTATCAGAGTCGGCAATTGAGAAAATTATCAGGCTCCGGCAATGAGAACAATTTCGGACTCGATGATTGTAACGAATAATTTAAGGACTCGAGCATCTATATAAAGCACGGCGACAAGTCAAAATCCACTCGGTAAATACAGACATGGGAAATAATATCAGACACGGGAAACAGCAGACAATGAGGAGGTCTGAAAGAGGCAAACAATAACGGACCCTGTTAATCTATTTCCGACATGAAAATTGATTTTTCGATAAGGAAAATACTCTGACTGAATTTTGAACGGTACGCCATTTGAGAGTAATTGTTACCAATGGTAAAACATTTGGTGGCAAAAGCTAAAAAGATCAATTTCGTCCATATTTCAAAGTTAAGTAGGTCTTAATGGAAAATAAATCACAGTATACTTTGTTAGGCTGAACATCGATTTATTTTCGAGAATATCGATAATAACTGAATTGCGTCAAAATTCTGCTACTGAAGCTCAAAATTTCAGACAACTGTCGGGGCGTCGCGCCACGAATTGAAAACACCTGTACCGATAAAAAGTTCCGAATCTTGAAAAACAATATCAACATGTAGAGAAAGATGTTTTTCATCTTTTCACGGGCGTGGGACAAAGAAAAAATTCGGAGTCCCCATGAGGAATCGAACCTCAGACCTGCGCACCACAGAGAGTTCATGGTGAGCGAGGTCTATTACAAAGTTCATATGACACGCGTCCAGCATACTGTTGGGATCAGCAATGTCGATAGTGTAATGTCTGTAGATAGAAATAAGAGAGTTTTGAGCTCGATAAAGAAATAGATAAAGTATCAAATACAGAAAATCAAAGTATCAAAATATGGAAATGGAGGAAGTATCACATATACATTGACAGCAATTTGAGCAATTCTTGACCATTTATTTACACAATCTAATTGGGGTTATCGGACCCCTTCTAACTAGTTTAAAACTAAGTCAAAAGTAACCCGTTAGTTAACCATGTGCTACAAAAAAATAACTGACCGCAAATCTGGCTTTTGGGAGGCGTAGAGCATTTCTTTTCGATCTCCGATGGAATTTTTGGGGAAACGATCCAGCGCGATTTTATCAAATTTGAAAGTTGGAAAAATTGCGCCGATTTGACGGTGCCGTTTATTAGGCGAAAAAGTACACATACACACGCAAACTCTATTGTTTCGCATTTCATGTCCAATCTAAAGCTTGATATAATATCATCTTACCTTCCGTGTTGCTGTATCAAAAAAGTAAAAAGACGAAGCAGTCCTGAAATTATGGCATCGCTGTCCCATTAGCGATATAACTTGGCGGGATAGTCAGCGCCTCTTGAAAATTAGTTGTTTACAAAGTTTGAGGTTTCACTATTCACTTTTCGTTGAAAAGAAGGCTGTATCTTAGATCTAAGATTTATTCACATGCAGTTAGTAAGACAATGGCATGCACGGACGGATAATGTTAGAGGACTTTTTTGCGAAACAAAATAATGATGTCCTTTTCTATACTCGAGTTATCTACATTTGAAACTTTAAGTAAGTGTTTCAGGGCCGTAGCTAGCTTGAGGCAAGACGAGGCGATTTTGGCCCAAGATTGACTTTTCTGAAGAAAATGCCACGGAAAACGCTTAAAAGAGCATTTCTGAGGCTCTCGATTTCAAAATTTTCTCGGGGGGAGGCCTTGCCTCGTCTTGTTCTGAAGTCTGGCTACGGCCCTGTGGTTTGTTATGTTTCGGAAAGAGTTTTTAATCCAAAAAAATATCTTAAGAGATTGGAGTTTATATTTGCTTCCCTTTTTTCAATTCAGAAAGAAGTGGAAGAAGAGATAGAGAAGGAGCCTCATGAAGTCTGTTTACTTCAGTAAAGCGAGTCACCGAGAGAAAAGCTGAACGAGTTCCTCACTTCAAGGGATATTAGTCCAATCCGCCATTCTTTAAGAAAACCGTAGGTAGAGGCATCCGAACGGACAAAACGGCATTTCACCCGAAAGGCGCGACAAACTGTTGATGCATGTTAAAATGAAATTGCCTCTGAGGACCCGGCCTGAAATGCTACTCTCTTCGCTTATTAAATCAAAGCATGAAGAAACTAATATCGACCTCTCCCTGGTGGAATGTCTCACCAAATGTTATAACAAATGCGACTCACTGGAGCACTCGAAGACAGATTTTGTCCATTTGGCAGACAAAATGACTTTTAAGGATTTGAGGAGAAGGATGCCTAACTTGTCCAGGTACCGCTTTAACATAACTAGGCATCATTTATTGCTCTATGGTCGCGGCTTTTAAGGTTCCTTCTGTTAAAGGCACAAGGATGTATATCGCTCCACAGAAGCTCGATCATTTCTTGTCATTTACCACAAGTACTCACATAATACAAGATCTAACTTTTGGCGAAAAAACATTAAAGCTTTCATCGAATGTTGAATTAAAGATTCCCTATGTGATGAGAAGTCTCATACCTGAGCAAATTGTATAGCAGTATCTTGGCTATTACAAAGATGCCGTGGGTTTCACGCCAATGGGTCGTAGTATATTATGCAAATTTTTCAGTGTATGGTCCGCTTTCACGAGGAAATCCTTGCACGGGTTGGCCTATGTTCCGGCAGCCTTAACCGAGGCTTTTGACGAATAGGAAAACTGAGGTGGTTGACACACTTGAAGCTGACTACGGTAAGGGTTTCACATTTCAGATGTTGAAAGACATGAGGCAAACAGAGAGAAAGACATTCAAGAGCTGACTGAGGAAGTAATGAAGACTTTCGCCCTTCAGCATCCAATCATGTATGATAAATACGACATCTGTGAAATTGTGTGCCAGCCCAAGCTGTCTAAGTTTTCCGTAGGAATGCTGCGGGAGATTTGTACCGCACTTGAACTAGACGTATCTTCAACAACAAGCAAGCACAAGCAGCCCTTAAATTAGTTGACAAGCAGGGACTAAATGTCTAATGCAAGCCTGCGAAAAGATCTGCGCCCTGCCGGCAAATCTGACGGATTACTAACGTACCTAGCTGAACAAGAAGTGTTTCATTTTAGGCTTTCTATAAGAACTAGTCATTTACTTCTTAAATTTTTTAACCTGGAAAGAAATATTAGGAGACGAGCACAACAGGGGTTTGTTTACTTTCTTTTTTCTGGTTAAATTTATGTTATTTTTTAGAAGTGTGCGTGAAAGTGCTGGTCATACTATCGACAAGCATATGTTAAAAGTGTCATTACGCACCATCTACACTCTATAATATTTATTACCATGTAATTCTGTGATGGCTTTGGACCCAACTCTATTTAAGGGGATAAATCACCGCTTGTTGATTCTTTTAAAAGCCAATGTTTTAAATATACGATTTCAGTACAATTAACGCTCAAGGGACATGTATGTTGCGCCTTGATGTGAGGTATGCCTTCTCGCACACGAGTCTGCAGTATAATCTGGTGCAATGATTACACTAGGCGTTTCTTGAGTTTAGAGATACGCAGAAATGGTTCTATCACCCGCAAACGTAAACTTTTTTGGACCACTGCCTGGAAAATATAAATGTGGATATGAGAACGTGCTACCTGGTTCGTAGTCTTACTACCGGCACGAATAACTTAACAAGGCATAGCCGCTGGGGAAGAAGTAGCATAAATGTAAATCTGGCGAACGTTGGCTAGTACAAACATTTTAGTGGAAGTTGTGGTTTTCCAGTTTTGACCCTAATACAGCTTCTTTTTAATAAACAAATATTCTAGCAATGTACTTTGCTCTAATCCACATCTGCAGTGATGGGCTATGTCCTTCGCAGATCTTTCGCTTTATCCGCCTAAAACAATGATACAAATACAATGATACTTTTAACTATACGAACAAGAAGTGATTTTGAAAAGCATTTCACTATAAAAAATTACGATAAAACATTTCTTAAAATCATTTCAAGATTAAAAAAATTGCTAAAAAGCGACGACGTTTCGACGTTGGCTGAACGTCATTATCAAGTCAAAATAAGTAGTGATTTTTGGTCTATAAATACTAAAAAAACACAACAAGAGCTGATAAAAAATTGTAACGTGAGAAAATATCAAACAAAGAGTTTCGCACGTATGGAGTCCGTCTGAATATTTAAGTTGGGCTTAAGTTTCTTGATGAAGAGCATTTCAAATACTAAGCAATCAAATTTGCTCTGGCACTTTCTTAAAACCGTGAATTGGCTTTCTCTCAAAAGGTTGTTGTTACCATGAGCTTCTAAGAAATGTCTACCGATTGCCGAATTTTTGTGCTCAGCGCTGCGTTGCTGAAGGTGTCGGGCTGTATACCCGACATATTCTGCATCGCACAGATCACATGAAAAATTGTAAACAACACACTGCTTATTAACAATTGACGGCTTGATTTCTTTGGGTCTGAGGTCTTGCCCCAATTTCTTGCTCACGAAAACTGGTTGCAAAGTAGGGCCAATCTCATGGCTAAGATCGCGTAACCGCTTACGAACCGCATTAGCGGCCACTTGATCTTTAAAAGGAAGACTAATTCTTACTGTGCTACTATCATCATTGTTTCTTTCTGCTTTGTTCGCTGAGGAATTTAGAAAAAGAAACTTTTTGATAGCAGAATCAATAACACTCATTGGATAGTCAAGGCGACTAAATATAGAGCGCAACTTGGCACATTCTGCATTGAAAGCCTCTGTTGTAGACGACAAGGAATAGGCACGATGCATCATTGTCTGTAATAAAGAGTCTTTATAGCGTTTATCTGTGTGACTTTGGAAATGTAGGAGCAATCCGGTGTTTGTTGGTTTTCTGTAAACTTGGGTTTCAAGTTTAGATCCGTTCTTGACGATTTCAATGCCAATAAAAGGGATCTTGTTATCCACAGGAAGCTCCATCGTAAATGTTAGACTGGGGTGTAGGCCATTCAGGGTACTAAGAAACTCAGCAGCAACATCAACGCTAGGCATTCTAGCCAGAGTATCATCGACGTACCTCTTGTACAACTGGGGCATCAAGCCCTCGCATGTAAGCTTTTCTTCAAGATGACACATGAAGACATTGGCCATTAGAGGACCAAGGGGCGAGCCCATGGCCACACCATCTGTCTGTTGGTAGAGTTGACCATTAAACTGGAAAAGCTGATTGGTTGTGGCAATTTCGAGTAGTCTAGCAAGCTGGTCCTGTTGCAGATTAAGGCCATAGGTTTTGTTGAACCAATCACCAGTGAAGGCTTTGTTGACTAAGATTTTGATAGTCTCATCTAAAGGCACATTGGTAAAAAGAGCTGTGACGTCATAAGAAACCAATATGTCATCTTCATTCATAGTGTGGGTACGAATCTCATCAGCAAAGGTAAAAGCATCAGTGATTGTATACTCATTTAGAGAAAGTGGCTTCAGCTTTTGTTCAAGCCATTTAGCAAGATTGTAGTTGTAAGTTCCGGTTGCTGATAAAATAGGCCTCATACTTAGCGTGGCTTTGTGAGTCTTGGGTAAGCCATAAAGATGAGCGAGCCTGGAACTCTTAGGAGAAAGTGAATTGGCAATTTCATCCGGCAGAATTTGATGTAAAGTTTCGTGCAACTCTTTCTCTTTTTGAAGGAGCGGGTGAAAATGTTTGGGTGGTCGTCCACGCATTTTTGGTCGCTTGTCATCAACATGTGTAAATTTAGAAGTGTTGTCAACTGAAGCAGCGCTTAGAAGGCGGATGTATTCAGGTTTGTCCATCACTACAACCCCAGAACTTTTATCGGGCTTAGTGATAACGATGTCGTCACGTTTCTTTAAGCGATTGAGAGCTTTGACAAGAGCCTTAGGTGGATTAGGGCTTGTACGCTGAATGTAGTTCAAAGCGATTGAACGTAACGTTGAGCTAGCCAGTTCCTTTTCATCTGCATCATGCAATAATGGCTCTATTCTCCAATACGCCTTCTCAAAGCTGGCTTGAATTTCAATGGGTGAAACTTTTTGAGGTAGAGAAAACTTCAATCCTCTACAAAGGATAAGTTTTTCAAAGAACGGAAGGCGGTATGAAGACATGTTGTTTATGTGCTCGTTGACGTCAAACTTCTTTGAGATCAAGCATGAGAGCTTGTTGACATGACATTTCATCATTTGAATGTACTGCTTATTGCGAAGAATACTTAGCGTCCGCACAGTAGTGACAAAGCGAAGAAAGGAGCATTCCTCCCTGACATCCTTGAAGGCGTTTTGGACTTCTTCTCTAAGATGCTTAAGCTGAGTGAGTTTGGATCTCAATTCCTTCCAAAAAGGCGGTTATGGAACGGAACTAAACTTGAAACCCAAGTTTACAGAAAACCAACAAACACCGGATTGCTCCTACATTTCCAAAGTCACACGGATAAACGCTATAAAGACTCTTTATTACAGACAATGATACATCGTGCCTATTCCTTGTCGTCTACAACAGAGGCTTTCAATGCAGAATGTGCCAAGTTGCGCTCTATATTTAGTCGCCTTGACTATCCAATGAGTGTTATTGATTCTGCTATCAAAAAGTTTCTTTTTCTAAATTCCTCAGCGAACAAAGCAGAAAGAAACAATGATGATAGTAGCACAGTAAGAGTTAGTCTTCCTTTTAAAGATCAAGTGGCCGCTAATGCGGTTCGTAAGCGGTTACGCGATCTTAGCCATGAGATTGGCCCTACTTTGCAACCAGTTTTCGTGAGCAAGAAATTGGGGCAAGACCTCAGACCCAAAGAAATCAAGCCGTCAATTGTTAATAAGCAGTGTGTTGTTTACAATTTTTCATGTGATCTGTGCGATACAGAATATGTCGGGTATACAGCCCGACACCTTCAGCAACGCAGCACTGAGCACAAAAATTCGGCAATCGGTAGACATTTCTTAGAAGCTCATGGTAACAACAACCTTTTGAGAGAAAGCCAATTCACGGTTTTAAGAAAGTGCCAGAGCAAATTTGATTGCTTAGTATTTGAAATGCTCTTCATCAAGAAACTTAAGCCCAACTTAAATATTCAGACGGACTCCATACGTGCGAAACTCTTTGTTTGATATTTTCTCACGTTACAATTTTTTATCAGCTCTTGTTGTGTTTTTTTAGTATTTATAGACCAAAAATCACTACTTATTTTGACTTGATAATGACGTTCAGCCAACGTCGAAACGTCGTCGCTTTTTAGCAATTTTTTTAATCTTGAAATGATTTTAAGAAATGTTTTATCGCAATTTTTTATAGTGAAATACTTTTAACTATGATACATTTAATTATGGTCGGGTTAAGTGATTGCTTGCTCCTGTTTCTTTTATTTAAAACTCGACCTATATGTTTCACAGTCCAGTGTTCCATTTTTACGGAATTGTCGACTACATTAGACCTCAATTTGAATTTATAAGCGTTATTCCGCTCACGAGAAACATGTTTCATGAATGGAAAAATCCCGCCTACATTTGTCGGTTCGCAGTTTGGTTAGGAACTTACATTAAAGCAAAGTTCTCTTATGTGAAGTAATTGTGTTCTCCTTTTCAACGAAGTTGGGAATGGAGAAACCTCAAATCAAAGCCCCCAAACACGCTTTGTAAGAGTAAGATCAGGAGGCGTTGACTATCCTGTTAAGTTATTTTGCTTTTGTGTGAATGATGCCGTAATTTCAGGACCATAGCCCTCTTCTTTAAAACAGTGACATAGAAGGTAAGAGGATATTATGTTAAATGCGCTGTATAATGGACGTAAAATGCGAAACAATTGAGCTTGCGTGTATATGTGTACTTTTTCGACTAATAAACGGCACCGTAAAATCGGCGCATTTTATCCAACTTTAAAATTTGATAAAATCGCGCTGAATCATTTCCCCAAAAATTCCTTTGGAGAACGAAAGGCAATTATTTTTGGTAGCACATGGTTAAATAACGGGTTACTTTTGACCAATTTTTGAACTAGTAAGAAGTTTATAGGTCGGATAAATTTAATTAGATTGTATAAATAAACGGTCAACATATGCTTTGATATTGGTACTTTTCATCAGTTCAGGTGTTTTCATTATGTGACGCGACGCTCCGAGATTTGACTGAAATTCTGAGCTTCGAGAGCGGCATTTTGCGGAATTCAGTTATTATCGATTTTATAGAAAGTAAATCGATATTCAGCCAAACGAAGTATGCAGTGAGTTGTTTCACTCAAAGGCCTACCTAACTTGAGAATATGAGCCAAATTGATCTTTTGGCTGTTGCCATCATATTATGAAAATGTTCGAGTTTTGGCCACATTTTCTCTTAAATGTACGCACACTATTTGTCCATTGACAAATTTGCGCCTGGAAGATGCAAGTTAGCATGACACACCACATTTGCTGAATACTTCAACTTCGACAGATAAGTTTTCCTCTTTCTTTAAAAATCTTACCCGATCGAAAGTGTTAGTTGCGTCATCTTAAAGTACAACGATTTGTTAAATCGCTATCGTTCTTTCCAATTAACTCATTAAGTTCTGAGTTGTGATTGGGTGAGTTTATGTGAGTAACCAATGAAAAGCTTTAGCGGGTTCGTCTTACACTTAACAGGTTGTGATGGGTGCGTGTAATGACCGATAAAGCCTGAAAACTTGAAAGTTTAGCTATAGAGAGGAGTAGGAAAATGAGCGAAGAAGTAGAGGAGAATGGACCTGTTTTCCTATCATTCAACAACCTTGGCGTAAAGATTAGTAATCGTGAAGTTCTCCAAAATGTGAGCGGGAAGATTCGGCCAGGGGAAATGTTGGCTGTGATGGGCCCCAGTGGTAAGTGGTGACAACCTTTTATACGAGTTGAGTTAAGCGTCGTGAAAATAACAAGTATGTATACATCGACCTAAGGCTGCTTATGTATGTGACTCGTGATCGAGTGCATCGGAACCAGTAGGTTTTACTATTATAACTATTTTTCCATTCGATCATGAGTCGGCAGTTTACAATGATGTGAGCTAGTTTTTCTCCTGTATTTTTCTTGTTTTTAGTAAGGCTCATTATAAAGTAGAAGTAAATACTCTTGGAATTTACGACTCGAGGTTGAGAAGAAAGTCGATTTTCCTGCTTTTGAGGAGCGCGTTACTTGACTAGACTTAGATTGGAGCGTGTCGAGCGTGTTATGTAATACGGAACGAGGAGATATTATCTCATAACTGAGTAAATTATGTGTTTATCAATGTAAAGTCCTGGGGTCGACTCGGGGTCATAGCTTAGCACTACCTTACCACTGGAATTTGACTCCAGATGGTATCTTTCGTCACTCATGTGCTGTCCTTGTGTCGAAAATTTCACATGGCCACCATTTTGAAAGGCAAAAAAAATCAGGAATGACTCAATCGCTATCTAGAGGCTACAACTCAGTCTAGGAGCGAAATGCATTAGACAATTTTTCTTCCATGGAGGACAGATCAAGAGAATTTTACCTTATCTCTTTAAAGAGATGGTGGAAGGTTTGAGAATATTTTGATTTTGGACTTTAGGCAACACGAATATGTTGATTGAAGTGCATGACCTCAGTTCGTTTAAGTTTGTGTTGGGTCCAAAATTTAATATCTCTAGATTTTGATCACTTTTGCAAAAGCTGGGACTCTGCACCCGCTGATTAAACATTCCTGTCTATTTATTCCTCTATCTTTTCTACAAAAATTCAACTTAATCCAGTGGCTGGCCTAAAAGAGTGTTTGGTCCTTGAACTAATAATTCATCCCCTTTGACCCTCTTAGTGGAAGGGGCATAAGCCAGACTGCAAATTCTCAAACTTATCATCTTGTTCTATATTTACTTGGGCAGGTTCTGGCAAAACAACACTGCTGAACACTCTAGCTGGAAGATTGTCTCCTGATGACGGTGAAATTCTTCTTAATGGGACTAAGCTTAACCGGAAACTCAAAAGGAAAATTTGTTATGTCTTACAAGATGATATTTTCTTTGCAAACCTCACCCTGCGAGATACTCTAACAGTAAGAATAATTTAGACAACCTTTTTTTTTCTATGTGTAGATACTGAGCCCATGAAGTTACCCTTTTTTGATGAATTTGGATGTTTTGCAACTATGTTGTTGATAAAATTAATTTAATTTGTTATTTTTTCTCAGTTTTCTGCAATGCTCCGTCTACCAGATACCATGTCAAAGGTGCAAAAACTGAATAAGGTATATTACTTCAACTAGATTTAAGCACAGGGTTAAATTCTTCATCTTTACTCTGCCACATATTCTTTTTTTGGGTAGATATTGGGAGGTCTTTGGGTGTGCATAAGGAATGTAGCTTACCATGTACATGTCCTCTCAAATGATCTGTGATAGGTTTTATTTCTTAGTTTCAATGACCCTTTTTATGTATTTAAACCTCTTCTAAATTGCAGGTGGAAGAAATAGTTGACAACTTAGATGTCAGAAAGTGTTTGGATACAAGTAAGAAAATGTTACCTGTTTTGATGTTGATCTTAAATGCACTGTTGGTTTCCAACAAAAAGCTTCATGAAGCATTTAAACTATATATGTCTGGACTCCAGTCTTTTACTTTGGTTTAAACTATTTCAGAGATTGGAAGCCCTTTTGAAAGAGGACTCTCTGGAGGTATGCAACATTTGAAATGTTTCCCAGTATTACCTGTGTGTACACTTAGTAAGCAATTCAGCTGAAATACAGATAGTGGAAATCTTCAGAACTGTGTAATTCATTTTAGTCTGGGTGAGACTTGTCCCTTGGATGTGCAAACATATCGGCAGGTTCCACATGTTTGCTGACTTTCCCAATTAGGTCAAAATTTAGGTCTCTTGAGCAAGGAATTAATTTCATTTATTATATGTTAAGTACCCAAAATGCAGTAACGTAAAATTTCTTATTCACAAACAGAAGACCATGCAATTGTATAGTTGTTTGTTTTGCTAAACTGTGAAGAAATGGCATTGAAAGAACTGAGAAACCAAGCTAATTAATTTATTCAATAAAATTTATTCAATCTGTAGAAGAATGACACTTGAAGGTCTAGAGTAGCACATACATTCCTATGGTTTATCAATTTCAGTTCATTTTATGGTCCATAGTGCAGCTACAGGAAGTAATATTTTATTTTTAGGGAGCATATGAAGTTATAATTTTTTTCACAATGACAGTTTTTCACCTAGTATTTACACATAGTCAAGATTTCCAAATCGTCATATTCCTTACTACCTTCCAGGTGAGAAAAAGAGAGCAAACATTGGCTGTGAGCTCATAACAAATCCTTCCTTGGTTTTTCTTGATGTGAGTTTTTCTTTTTTTTAATATACCTTTATCATGCAGCGCCATCTTGGATTGCATGGCTCACCAAATCAAGGCATAAGGTATAGGGTTTCACATTACAGTGTTTTGAGTGAAGATTACAAGCAAGCATGACCCATGATCATTGCTGCATTAATATCCTGCAAATGATTTATTGAGATCAAAATGGGTTGCAGCTACAGGGCGAGATGAAGGGCTGGATTTCAGGGTAAGAGTTGCATTGTGACAAGTGAGCTGTTAAAAGCACATCATATCAGCAATCCACTTTCCCTTTCTAGTGAAGACTCAGCCCGCAGCTCTTTTATGACTATTGAACCAGATTGAACCGACAAAGTTGAAGAAAGATTAATTCTCACCACTTTTATTTCGTTTGTTGTTATTACAGAAATTAATGCAGCAATGATTGTAGGCCAAGCTTGCTGTAATCTTCACTCAAAACACTGTAATGTAACACAACCCTATACCTTATGCCTGTCCAGCCTTGATTTGGTGCGCCATGCAATCCAAAATGGCACTGTGTGATAAAGGTGTATTTTCTTACAATTTTGATGAAATGTTTTCACAAAAAAGAGATTGATTTCTAATTCAAGATAGGAAATTCTTATTTTTATTTTGCCAGGAACCAACTTCTGGGTTAGACTCTAGCAATGCCTTGAACCTTGTTAAGACTCTGAAGAGCTTTGCAGCCAGAGAAAAAAAGACAGTGGTAACCACCATTCACCAGCCATCAAGCCAGATCTTTTACATGTTTGACAAGGTTTTATTGCTATGTGGAGGAAAGGTTAGACTGCAAGAGCTCAGACATCAGAAGTTTGTTATTTGTTTGCACTAGTAACATTTTTGTTATTCAGTGATAGGATTTAATCAAAACAGCTACACAATTTACATTATTAATAAAAACTCGTGGAGATTTTTCTAATGATGTTTATGAATCTTTGTTAATTATGGCTCAAAAAATGTAAATTATAAAATCTTAATTTGTCTATGGAGGTTGAAAAATTTCACCAATAATCCTGGGCCCAGTTGTTCAAAGGCCGATTAGCGCTAACCCAGGGTTAAATTTTAATCTAGGTTTCTATTTTTCTCTGTTCAAAAGCTGTTTGAGGATACCTAATCTTCTCCATTTATTTTCAGAGCATTCAATCAAAAAATTGAAGACAAAAAGATTTCAGCTGAATTTTTTTCTTCAAGCTTTCAGATCTTAAATCAAATTTTATACTAATCCTGGGTTATCTTAACCCAGCTTTGAACAACCCGGCCCAGGACATTAACCAACTTGTCTGTTATGGAGCTCATGTAAGGAAAACAGGCTCCTTCCCCAACCTCGATGTGAACTATGTTGACTGTGTAGGTACGAGGTATAAGAATTAGTATCCAAGCAAATCAAGGTGTTCCTAGATAGACAAATGAAGTGTCTTTGAGAAGATTGGGATTGGAACAGTTAATCATTTTAGACAAAATCCAAAATACTTTATACATGTACAAGTATTAACAATTACTTGTACAATTCAACATTTTCGGGAGGGTTTTGAGTGTATGTAGCATTCTTACAAACAGTATGAATTAATAAGTATTGCAGCTAAAAGAGAGGCATTTTCTTCTTCAATTTGCTCCACAGACTTGCTTCTTTATTTGTTTTTGTTTTTTTCAACGACAGGTTGCATACTATGGCAAAGCAAACAGAGTTCTTGATTTCTTTGAGAGTATTGGTATGGTTTGTGATGCACATTTCAACCCAGCTGATTTTATATGTAAGTGTATGTTGTACCAAATGATTTAAAATGGTTAAATAATTGTGTAGTTCTGCATATTAATTTTATTTTTAGAAGCTATTTCCATATTTTTATTTTTGATTCAATTGCTCTCTATTCTCCACCAGTGGAAAAGGTGACTGAGGGAGAGAAAGTACAAGAAAGGATTGTCCGAGGTTGGGCTGAAAGGTTGGTGAAGCTGCTTTCATACAAGAGACATATTCAACAACAGATTTCTTTTCTTGACTGTGAACTGAATATCTTATATGTGAAGTGTGGTTTAAGAAATGAACATGAAAACAGGTTCAAATTCTGCACAGGCCTGAATTTTTTCAGGTCTTATTTCCATTACTGCTCAAGTAGTGTTCATCATTGCAAAGATCACTTTCATATCCATTTCATAAACCGCTGCTCACATATATGATTTTAATATATTCACAATCATTTATTCATCACGTTAAGTGTTTTTTTCCAGCCAACATAATGACAGTTGGCTTGTTAGCTCAGTTGGTAGAGTACTTCACCAGTATTGCAGATCAAATCTAGTACAGGTCTTATTTTCACTACTACTCAAGTAATGTTCACTACTGCAAAGATTGCTTTCATATTCAGATTTCTTTCACCTTGACAGTAGTTTAATTACTTTGCATTGAAATGCTGTGCACCATGCAGTTATGATTGAAATAGTTGCATAGTCCTTAAGGCAAAGAAACAAATATTTATATGTGTAACATCAGACAGAAAAGACATCAGAAAAACTCAACAGTGTCCAGTGAGTATAGACCAGGAAGAACTGATGCCTCAAGTCCTACTCCAGAGAGCAATGACGCTGACGAGGCACATGATATAGCAAGTAGAAGCTACAGAAGCTCTGAAAAGTCGCTTGATCAGAATGCTTATCAGAAAGATGGGCAACAAACAGCAATTGAAGAATTACCAAACACAGAAGACATGTCTGGCCATTTTCATCTAGATCTGGTGCATGATAATTCTGAAGTCCTTGAAATAGAAAGTGAGGCATGTTCTGCAGGGAATAGATATGAAGATTTAAGAGCAGAGATGTCACAGGCCGTCAACCAAAATGTGCTGAACGATTCTCCAAGGCTGGATGGTGAAGCTAAAATCACATCAAAGGAAATGCTGAACATGAAAAAAGAAAATAAAACAGTGAATGGACACGTACCTTCAGGTATTAACGAAGTGCGTTTAGAGGTTTGCGAGAGGATTGACGGTTCAAATCGTTTGGCCTCAAGTCCCAAATCATCTGTATCGAAGACCTTTTGGAAAAGCAGGAGAGGTTCGCTCACTAAATCTTCTGATCTTCTCCCAAAAGTCCACACATTAGCTCGGGTATCCTCAGTAGATTTTCATGTGTCTGTTGTCACATATATGCGTAGTACCTCGAATGATTATTCCAGAATAGATATTGATGATCAAGATGATGAAGATGAAGATTATTCATCGCCATATTCTGATATTTCCACATCATGGCCTACCAGTTTTTGGACACAATTCACAGTTCTCTTGCAAAGAACTTTTAAGCAGTCCAAACCTGACATTCTCTCCAAACTGAATTTCACACAGGTAGGTATGTTCCTTTGATTCCTAAGGGTAAAAGGCCAGAAAAAAATTGTACCCCAAGCCTACCAAACAGGCAAAAAAAAATTTTTTGATTTTCGATGGAGCAGAGGCTTAAGGGCGCGGGAAGCATTAAGAGAAAACCGGAAACTTTACACCTCTTGTTTGGCACTTGAATCTTGTGCTTGCCTCTCACATGGATCCTCCCTCCTGTTACAAAGCTAATAAATTGATAATTGTAAAATTAAACGAGATTTATTTGAAGTCAGGGTTTGACTGAGATTCTACCGTAGCATTTACAGGAATAAGACATGGTGGGATGTGACCTCCTGTCCTACAAATGGTACTGTAACAATCTTAATCAAACAGACAAGTCTCGTTAATTTTACAATTTTATCCGGCATTTGCATTCAATCAGAGTTTGCTTGTCGCCTTTTGCAGCAATTATCCGGCAAATGGTTTCGGAACATTTTGCTAAGGAGCTTAGGAAGTTGCGGGGTTTTTTTTTATTATTTCCCATTTTGAGCCTTTTGACTCGTAAGCTTTTTCAGTTCCGTGAGTTTTCATCTTCGTCCTTCTGCCCGGGTTTATCATGGTCGCTGACTACTTAAGCCATGAGCAGTTAAATTTCCTCCTTGTCGGAAACGTTTTGCTCTCACGTGGAGCTAGAGAAATCTTTGGCGGGAAGGTCATTTTGCGGTTTCTGACTCCGTCTTCCAGCGCCTTTACCCTACGAGGAAGGGTTTTCCTCCAATTTATGGACATGATGCCGTAGAGATGGAAATCTCGACGGAAGGCACGCCTGAGGTAGCAGTAAATTTGTCTCACCAAATTTCTAAGCCGACGAGCTCATATACCGATTTTCGCATTGAGTTCGGATACCGCATCCTTGCTATCTGACGTGACCTCCGGTTGTATGCAAATACGTGGTAGAATTTAAATAAACGAAAGAAGACTTTTTCTATAAAATGTTATAGCTTGTAAACAAGCCTCCAGTTGGGTTTGAAAACATAAAAAGGAAATGTGAAATGAAGCAGTTGGCCAAGCTAACTGCTTCACTCGCTGAATACTTTCATTTTGCTTTCGAAATGTTATTTCTCTCCATGAAGGAGCAAAGGAGCGCCACCGTACTTTCTTAGCCTAATTCCAATATATGTCAGACGTTTTTTTGAAAGCGCTGAACATTTGATTTCATAACCTTATTTTCAGCATATACTTCTTGCTTCCATAATGGCCCTGATTTGGTTTCAGCTTCCCTACAAAGAACAGAGTATTGAAGACAGATATGCACTGGTATGTTAATGTTGTTGTTATTGTTGTCATTCATTGCTTAATCTGGGAGAGGTTTTGAATTTGATCATAAAGGAAAATGTTTTGAGGATATATTGATTCCGACAATTGTATCTTTGTTTTCTTTTTTGGCAGCTATTTTTTTGCGTTGTTTACTGGAACTTTACTTCCCTCTTCAGTTCACTGATGTCGTGTGAGTATGTTGCACTCTATTTTTAATGAATAATCATTGTTATCAACTCTAGTTTGACAGTTTGATTCTCTCTGAGGCTGTTTTCTGTCATTTATTTACTTTTCTTTGCTAACTTTCAGTTCCTAATGAAAGAACTGTCGTGAGGAAAGAACGAGCTGCTGGTTATTACAGACTGTCTGCCTACTATTTAGCCAAGTCGTTAAGCGAATTACCGCTGATCTTATGTTACCCGACTCTGTTCATGATCATTGTGTATTGGATGGCGGGACTAAACAAGAGCGAGGCTTTCCTTGGTACACTCTCTGTGGTTTTGTTAACGGCCATCACAGGGCAGGTGAGACGTTTTTCTGGTTCTGTGTGCATGATCATGAGTGGTGTAATTACTAAACAATTAATGCCCCTTGGAATAGTCTGCATGTTCATTCAAATACAGTGCCCAGCCCAGTCTAAACGGGTTTATCTTTCACGGTATCTGGCGGAATAATTTAGCAGCCTAAAAAGAGTACTGAGGTTATCTGCGGATTGACTGGCATCCCGTCAAGATGAAGGAATAGTAATACTTCTAGCTGTAAAATTATGCTAGCTATAAAGTGTAGGGAAATTGCGGTACACCTCTGCAGTACAGGCTCCACTCTCGTTTTAGACCTTTAGCTGGTAATGCTCAAGTGAGTTACACGTAGCTTACACGTGTTTCTCTCTGTACTTTCCTAAGTCATGCGTTTGAAACTATAATTGTCTTACTGGCATAGGGTTAGAGTTAAATCATTATTACGACCCGCTATGAAAATCACAACATAAAAAAGTAAAATTAGACAAATGTCTATCATTCTTAATAACAAAGGATTACACTGTCTAACTTTCAGTTCTCTTTCGCTCGTTTATTTTAAGTTTACTTTCTTTCTTACTTATTTTGTAATGATTCCGTGCAGTTGATGCCGCTTTGCTGTTCAGTCTGTAGGTTTGTGTATCGGTGCAACAGTAATGGAGTTCAAGAAGTCAATAGTAGTCGCTGCTGTTTATGGCCTGAGTTGTATGTTGCTGGGGGGATTTTACCAGAAAAACATACCGTCTTGGCTATCCTGGTTCCAGTACACTGCTTACATAGCTTATTCGTATGAAGCAGCCCTTAGCATTGAATTCAGCACTTCTCCCACATTTAGGTAAGTTATTGCACTTTGTTTTCAGTGTTTCTCTATGGTTACCGTAGTAACACCACAGGTTCTTTGAAAAACCCTGTATGTGTCTATAACCTTAAAAAACGAGTTTGGTAATCTCGTTTTTTTATTTTTGAATTGTGATTAATATATCAATATTTATCTTTCTGTGGTTAGATGCAATACTTTTTTTGGAATCAACCGGCGCTAAGTCAGTGTGTGAAGTCGGTGTCGTTGTTATCTTAAAAAAATCTTTCTTACCATATGCAGATGCCAAGGGGAAGACTCATCATATGCTGGGTGCAGAAACAATGGAACCACTATAGAAGGAATAGAAATTTTGGAAAAACTGAACGTTTCCAGAGGTGTAGGCGAGAATGTAGGCGCGCTTTTGGTGTTTATAGTGGTTTTCAGGATTTTGACATATCTTTCTCTGCGCTATCTTCACAAGCCGAAATGACGAGAAAGTATTTAAGTGTGACTTGGTTAGCCGACGGGTCAATCTGTGGTTACGTAGTGTTGTCTAATTGAAGCTGGGGATGCCTATTGGGAACTTGCATCAACAGAAAAGTGGAGTAATTAAATGAGCTTCTCGTTAATGTAGAGATAGATAATGCAAGTTTAATATCCAAAACTTAAAGAAAATATCATCACAATAATGACTTGAGAAACAAAAGGAAAAAGGAAAACATGCCAGGATTGCAGAGGGAGGTTGATCATGGACTAGTTGTATCAGCACCACTGGAAAAGCATGGAAATAGTACTATTTTGATGCAAGTCTTTTGTTAGTCAAAGGTATCGAGTTTCTCAGGGCGATCATCCTTTTAATGTGGATGTGCCAAACCACGTTTTAGCGAGCAGTAGTTTAATTAGATGAGGGAATCACTTTGTGTAGGAATAAAACAAAAGTTTTGTCGTTATTTCTGTCGTTTTATTGTCAAATTTAAAGGATAATAACTTGAACATGGTAACCAACATTTTATTCGTTACAGGTAACTTTCACAAATTAACCTTTTAAGTGACTTTAAACAGTGAATATGTTTTAATAATAGATTATTTACTGCTTGTAACAAAGTATTTGAGTGAAATTAGTTTTTCTAAGGAAATAGGCTTCGGTTTATGTTTCAATAACGGACGTGTTCTTATGAAATCTCAGCTTTCCGTGTGGATTCAAAGTCATCGACTCTTTCCAACCCTTATCCTTCTCGCAGAGCATTGCGGGCTGATATTAGGGCACCCTCGATCCAGCCTCTCAGCGGGTGATAAGCCCCGCCAACTGGAAACAGATCTTGCCTTGAGAAGGGACGTTTGGACGACTTTATTAAAGGTCAAAGTAAACCATTGAGAGAAGAAAGTTTTGAAAGCTGTTTAATTCTGTAGCTATGAACTCGCGCTCGTTTGATTGAGAAAGGAATGAATGAAATTTCCAGATCGATATAATACGTATAGTATAGCAGTAATTTCACATTCCTTAGGTAAATGCTAATTTTATGTCTCTGAATGATTATCAAAATTTAGCAGCAACATTGAAACATCAACTGAGTTAGAGTTGTAAGGGTTAAGTTGCACTAAACACTAGGGTCCAGTAGTAGTAGTAGTAAACTTCGTTAGGTTTAAATCACACTTATTCGGAGTGAAAAGAGAGGTGCTAGCCTCTTCAGGTGGGGGAGGCTTAATATTAAGATCTACATTGTATCTCTGCTTCTGTGGACAACGATGTAACCAAAGTTTTACCACTTCATGGTTACAGTAATGTCTTTCTTCACAACCATCGAGCAACATTCCCTTATCAACCTAATTTACACCCTTACAGTGCTTGCATAAATCCTTCTTCCCAATATTTGTACATCGACTGCAAAGGAGTTGGAATGTCTACACCAATGGAAAGTCGTTCAAGTGCCTTGGGTATCTCTTGATCCATGTAATCCTTAGAAGAACTCAATAACTTTCCCCATTTCACATGGCAACGGAGCTTCCTGTAACTTATTTGAAGGCAACATTGGAACCGCGTGAGCTAAAGAGAGTGATTCGTTTCTGTTCACTATAAAATTAAAAAGCTGTTAAAATTTATTTTAAATGACGGATGAACGAAACTAAGTCGGAATTCAGTGCTATATTTCTGTTGTTTCAGACTGCAAGTTTTGAAACCTGCAGTCTGAAATGTTGGTTTAATGCTGCTCGGGAGTGAATGCTTAAGGCGACATTTCAAAAATCTAGCGAAAATCAGCTGAGAGGGCTGAAACCAAGACTTTGCAGAGATGACGAACTTTACGTATAGGGCTAATTTTACTCTTCATTTCTCACGGAAAAGTACCGCTATGGAAAAACAAATCTTCCCACTTAGATGAGGAAGCAATAACATGAAAACAAATGCGACGTACGAGATTGTTTTAGGCGGCAACACATACTTTGCTGCAAGGGTCGCATTGATCAAACGATGAGGATAACTTCGTGATAATTCTTTCCACGCAAAGCTCGATGGGACAAATATCCAACTCCTAGCACCAACGGTAACTATGGCACTAGAGGCAAGGTCAGTTATAAAAGCCGAAGCATATTACATCCATTTCCTGAACTTTTAATCTTAGGTGACTGCATATTAGACATATCCCATGACTGATTATTAAACGATAAAAGTAGTAATATATCTAATCGAAAAACATTGTAAGGGTTTTCCATATTGATGTTGGAAAATGAATGGAAGTAATATATTAGCATAAGCCATTCAGTAAACATTGTAATAAGCCAGTTGATCATTTCTTATTCCTTTTGACGGTCTTATCTTACAGGTAGAGTTTGGTTACCTTTTCCTTATTTGTATTTGACATGGAGACAGATGTCTTTGCGTAAACTGCGGTTTGCAGCTAGATATCGGTATATTTTCATTACGTTGCTAAGAGATGATTAATTACTAAGAAAATGACTCTGCTTTATAAACATCGCGAAGGTATCTACTTAATGTGCAAACTCCGCTCTACATAGTTGAGCGTGATTCGCTGGTTAAGTGTAAAAGTATGACTAAGGTTAGAGATCGACAGCTCTGTAAGTGTCACCTTTATAAGCGGTGAACCACACTTTCCTACAGAGATCAGAGCTAGTCCCCGTTGTAATAACTTGAGTAATAAGAGTGAATAAAGAAAGAGACAACAAAACAACGAGTGTTAGAGTTTTACTTCTAACATGATACGAGTTATCGTCGTCATGATAGCCTTACTGGATTTTAATTGAATAAAATCGCAAAAACTTCTCTTTTTCGAAGTATATAATACCCAGAGATCTAAATCTAACTAAGACAAGCAAAAACTGAGTGAATAGATAGGTTAGTAGATAAACCAATTTACACGATAATGAAATCACCCATAAAAACATAATTTTCGGAGTTTTTGAATCAGTTACGTATCGGTTTGGCAATGCTAGCGGTACTTACTTGAAAGGTAGAGAAAAGTTCTCGATACCCTTGTTCCTGGAGGTCTCCTACAAAAATTAAAGAAGTAAAGAGTGCGGACCTCTCATGGCCTGGTTCTCTGATTACCTATCAATCACTGACTGCAGATATCTGGAGCTGCGGCGGACTTAAACATTCCACAGCATTCAAGTATTTGGCCGGTTTTATGCTTGAGAAGTATATAATGAATATCTTAAACATGTCGCAACTAAGTTATCTCGGAAACAAGAAATTCTTTCACGAGTGAGACTGTTATTCACAGGAGACTCTGCAAATCGCTTGTATAAATCCATGAATCTACCGCTGCTGGAGTACTGTGACGTCACTAGGCATGGCTGAGGTTATGAGGTTATGAAAACCAAATCAAAACCGAACGGGCGCAAGAAAAATTAGATAGATTTGTCTAAAAACAGTTTCATGAATTGTCTAGTGATGCCATCAACGAACAATTAGGATGAAATCCGCTTACCGAGAGACATGAGGGCCACAGATTAAATAGGCAATAAATGCCTTCACTGAGGGGCTGTTCCCGTTTTATTCAAAAGTTATTTTAACATCAGACGCTGTTACATTCGAGATCAAGGCACGAGATTCAGCAAGAAACTTTTCATCGATAAAATCGACCCTACAGTTAATGATTCAGGACACTAAGGACCGTTATACGGCTAAAAAATCCATCTTTTATTAACTAATATGTTTAATTATGCTAATGATGAACAGCTGTTTCCATTTCTGAAACGAAAGGCGAAACCAGAAAACAACCAAACTAGAGAGAAAATTCTGAAAATTCCAGAAGCACAGTGTTCCTTCATATCAAGAAATGCCGTAGGCGAAAGAAAAGTAGAATTCATTCACTTTTTTGTTAAAAAGGCCATATTGGCCTGTGAAGGTTTGACAGTCAACTGATTTTTTTCATAACTCAACAGAAGAACTCTTCGGCAAGTTCTTCTTTATTCAAATCGCTGAGTTGTCTGTAAATCCTGTCTGGTGAGGGTAGTATGTTTTGTGGAATTTGTTCTCCGCTTTGATATCTTTTTGCATCCCCTGAAAATTACAAAGTAAGAAATCGAGTAACTGAACTGAGAATGATTGGCCGCCATGGCTAGAGGAGAATGAATTGGTTCAATAGTTGCTTACAAATAATATGCATATAGGAGGAAGAAACGGTGCATATGCATGCTTTACGGTGCCAGAGACTCACTAATTCATGTTATGGATAACCTCTCCTGATACCTCGGGTTGTCAATGCCCAAAAGGAAAGGCCAGAAAGGACCTCTTTTCTTTTCAGAACTGAGGTAACGTGAAGTTTATGTCGCCCTTATATACAGGGATCTTTAAGCTGAACGTTGCATTGCTCTCTGAGATTCTTACCTTGTGCTCCAGTTGTGTGTGATGCCTTGTGTCCTCGAGATGAGGGGGTTTCAGTCAGGAAAACTGTCTCTGGGGAAGTAGAGGTGAGATCAGATTCAGAATAGCTGTGGTTGCAAAGCCCTTGAGAAAGTTCATCGTTGACAGTATATGAACGTCCCCGACGAGGTGATACGATAAGATCCTTGAACTCTGGCTCATCTAACCTGCGTTGGTCGCTGCTGCTTAATACTGATTCGAAGCTCCTACATTTACCAAGGTATGGAGAGAAGTCCAATGACAGCTCTTCATCAGCTTTAGTTCTCCGAATGTCAAACAATGCCCCAGTTCTTAGATCAGTACCACGTTGTTTCTTTGTTGAATCGTAGTTTTTTGGCTTTGTTTTCTTTGAAATACTTTCAATACAGCTTGAAAGGGGCGCGTCTAGTGAACCATCGTCCTTTGAAAGTGACTGAGATCGCAGCTTCCGCTCTGGCGCTGATGTCCTCCGAACCCTTTCAATAAACGAACTACTCCTGGGTGAAAATGGCAAGAAAACGGAGGGAGATTTTGATCTATGGTTGTCGGTCAAAATTGGTGATTTCAACGTTGCTGTGTTTATATTGGAGTTCTTGTCAACTCCAAAATGAGTGACTTGGATTGTGTGGATTGGTGAATGTTTGTGTGATTGCTCTTGGTAAAAGCTATTCCTAGAGTTTACATAATTTTTTCCAGTTTTGTCTTCCATTGACTTCATGTGTCCATTTAAATATGTTCTACTTCCGTTGTTACAGTGACTGTTGGGTGTAGTGTCCTCTGTTAATTTCTCTTTGCTTCCTACAGAAAGTATTAAAAAAACACACTAATCAATGAGAAGCGCACAGGATGGGAATTCGCTCCTAGTAAAGGTCCCTTACATGATATAGAAACTTTTCCTTCTTCTTCATTCTTCGACTACTGACCACGATTTGACAAGAAATTGTTTGCATATAATCCTTTTTCCAGGCTTATTACTGGGAAACAAGATTTCCATGAAAAACCTAGTTACATGGTTTGATTAGAAGAGATGGAATTGATTAATATTTATTTACTTCTTTTTCGTTGCTCGAAACAAGCGTTCGACTGCAGCCAAAAAAGAAACTCAGCTTGTGACATTTAGCGGTACTATTTTCCATATTGGGTGAAACGGCATATGAGCTAATACCCTTGATTGGGACCAGTCAGGACACTAGAAAAATTGCGATATTTTTCAGTTTCATAACTGCACTATGCGCTTTAATAGGGGAGATAAAAATTACACGCTTTCTGGAGCATACTTCGCCTTTTCTAGTTTCCAGTGAATTTAGAACTTTTTTTTCAGTTTCATGTACTTAAAATGTTAAGTGTAACTCTTTGTGTGTGTTGGTACGGGCACGTTTGTTTTTCAAAATAAAGTTTGTTTTAGAGCTGTAGGACTATTCTTCTTTTCCTACTGTTGCTTCTCTAAAACAATATTATACGATCTAACGCGTTATTTACCAGAAGCATCTCGATTCCCCCTCTGCTTCTCATCTGAACTAACTTGAATTACACTTTCTGTGCCCATAGACACTGCAATTAGATGGGTTTCATCAGAGGTATTTTTGAGGCCCCTTTCAGTCCTATTACCTTTGTAGTTATCATTAGATCTGGTGATAACTAGATTTCTTTGAACATCAACTGAAGATGCCATTGAGAACTGTTGTGAGTCGGATGTTCCCACGGTATCATTCTGCGCCTCGGTTTCCCCAAGGGCCAGTTCTGCTAATTTTTCCAACTCCACCTCATCTTTGAAAGAGATGCGCTTCTGGGTGAGTCTGGGCCGTTTTTTGGCATGACGTGTGGCAGGAGTATTATCCAGTTCACAAGTAGTATTCACAATTTCAGCCTGTTGATACCCGAAGCTCCCTTCGTATTCATTGCTGTCAGGATCAATTCCAGAATCATTATAGCTGGTAAAAGAGGGCACGTTCCTGATTTTGTCGCTCTCGGTCGGGCTTTTACCTGGTTTATTTTTATCTCCTACATAGCTGGTCCGTGAGCAAGTGGACAATCTTCTGGTGTGTTTCCATGGATCTGAAAATATTGAGATAGGGAAAATATGATAAAAAATTAAAATTGCAGATCTCATAATCGAAAACCTTGTTGGTCTGTGGGGCTGGTCACGTGTATGGACGTAAAGAGGAGTTTTGCCTGCAGGTGGTAAACTACGATTGTGTGATGACAGCGATAAAAATGGTTGTCCACTTACGATGGTGTCACGCCACAAGTAGGGGTGGTTTAAACGTTCACGTGTAATATATAGATTTAACCAAGCTTAAAAGCGGAGCTCGCATTTTTTTTTCCCGCACGTCTCAAGAGCACAACGCCTTGCCCCGGCCAGGACTAGAACCCGGGTCGTCCGACTCGGAGCCCAGTGCACTGACCACAGGACTACTGGACAAAGCCGTGGCGTCGCGGTACAATTGACCACGCTTGTTAAAAGTAGCGCCTTGTACGGTCGTACGGTCGTACATCCAAATTTTTTCGGCTTGATGGCTTACTACTATTTTGTACAATTATGGGGCTACACTCTGCGAGCTCCGCTATAAACCAATCCATTATTCAACAAGAGGTGTCTCTACAGGTCTTTAAGATGTTTGCATGAGGTGACAAACTTCTCCTAGTTATGAAAGGAGGCACCACCATCAACATCATCAGTGAAATAATAGAACTTTGATTTTTTGATTTCCGAGAGTTTGATTTTCATCGAGATTGCCAGGTTGTTGTGTCACTCCTACGAAATCTACACCGCTGGGAGGCTAAAGAATTTTCATAATTTCTACTTAGCATCAGAGGATGACAGTTTCATAAGACTTTGGAAACGAGACTTACTCGCAGGGCAAACGGTGACAAACACTGAATTCCCGATGACGGAAAGCAGGGTTAGCTTTGAATGTATCGGCTTATTACACTATCTCTGTTTTGTTTTGTGTTCTTCCTTGCTTGTTTTTCCAAGTTACCATCTTAAGATACCTAAACCTTCATATACAACACTAAGGCCAAACACAAAATCGTAGTTGACGTTTCCCCAGCTGGAAGTGGGTGTGCATTGTATTTGGCATACCTTTCATGTTATAGCGAAAACTGCAGCAGCAGCCAAGACATGTGCATATAATAAACAAGTATCCTCTCCTGTACGGCTTGCACATAGCTGCACCAATGATTGGGTTTAAAACAGAGTTTAAAACAGCTAACCGCATCGACCAGAAGTGTGCCAAAGGAGGGATTTCAAACCAGCCGCTCACGTGTTGAAGAACGACGATCTGATAAGAAAAAGATGATCACTTTTCCATGAAGCCCTTACGATGTTCAATCAAAACGACCGCTTAAAATATAATAAACATTTTCACATTATATGAAATTCGAAATTTGCTCATCAAATTCATGCATGAATAACCACTCCCTTAACTAAAGGTACATGTAGTAGTATTTGCGCTCACTTTATTTGTTTTACCAGTGGTTTTGCGTAGGAGATGCTCATAGAGGACGCGATTACATAGCCCCTTTAAGGCTCTCTGTTAGTTTTTGCTTAGGAGATGCTCATAGAGGACGCAATTACATAGCCCCTTTTAGGCTCTCTGTTAGTTTTAAATGAGCTCAAGAATCTCTGTGTTGACTTATTTCCAAACTATTCCAAGCAACATCTAGTCAAAAGTTCACTTAATCCAAACATTGCGGCAGCAATCCCCTTAACGCGAAAACAAGGAAGTATCAATCATAATTTTGAATAAACTTTTACTGAAATCCCCTGTTATTTGTTTTTGTAAAGTTGTGAAAACAGGTTTTTTGCCTTCACAAATGAACGGACGGACGGGGACAACTCTTAAAAACTCTTTCTGGGTAAAGCCTTTCCTTGGGGGCACTCGCTGGCTGCGGGAAGGTAACCGGAATCTATTACGGCTGCTGACTATCCTTGAGAGAATGACTAACGACAACAGGGTTGGCTCCAACGTAGATTTATTCTGCAAGCTCGACTACAATTTTGACCAGAACAGACCTGGCCAGAGCTGGTTCGACCCCGTTCTACTTCCTTCTCTTTTCTTCTTCTCTTCTTACTTCTCCAACCGCTAAGCTTTACAGAACAGTCCTATTTAAACCTAACGTACATGGATAACGTAATGCCATGAATAATCTAAAGGATCATGTAATCTACTAAACTATTGGCTAAGTAGGAATTTCGCCTTTTGCAACATTAATTACTTTTAAAGAGTTCCGGTGGATAACAGTTACACAAAAAGACATGACAGGTGGCTGTTACAGTTTAACACTAACAACAACTGTTTACGGGTGACTGAAGGAGAACTGGTAGCGTTTACGCTTTGCTGAACTAAGTTTTCTATGTGGAATATTGTATTTTTTTTGAGCGTAAGCATGAAGGAACTCGATAACTAAAAATCACTAAAAATCCTATTGTTACAAAGTATAGTTTAATAATTTTCCCAAAAGCGGACAATCCAAGTTTTGACACAACTTTATCTAACAATCTCGCAGATGGGAGGAGTTTCATCTTTCTATCTAGCGCTATTTTAAAAGTGTTCGTGGGTATCATTAGGATAGGACAAATTGAAATAGAATGGGGTTTAATGATTCCAGAATTAATTTTAGACGATGGTTTTCAAATGTCTAAGTCAAGTTCAATTTATTTCCCGTCTTTGTCTAAGAACATTGCTTTTCAGAAAATGATATGGAATCAAATCGTTGAAGGTAAAACGTAAGTCAAAATATGAGAAAACCTTGAAGATACTGTTCAGGCAGGTTGGCCCGATGTTTACCGAACTGGATCGAAGTATCCAGTTCTGATCGATCCTCGGCTAGGTCACTGTGCTGTGTTTATCAGTAAGACACTTTACTCTAACAAGGCCTCATCATACCTAGGACTACAGATAGGCACTGGCGGCCTGTAGGGTAAAACTGAAAAAGTGCTGGGGGTAAACAGCACTAAATTATTCTAATGCTTCATACAATGCAAAGTGGGACAAGTTCCGGACGTGCGGGCCCTTTCACCCGTGTTTGTTAAAATACCAAGGATTCTTAAATTGGTTTACGTTACTCTCCATATCAGATTAAACATCTAGGATATACATTCATTTACTACAGAGCATCTTCTTTGGGTTATCAGGAAAGCAGAAACCACAGCGTTCCTTTGATAACGCTTTTATTCAAAACGGAGGGAATGCAAACTGTGTATCATTTAACACAATACGGAAGGAAGATCTGTTTTCTGTCATAACAATTGAAACATGAGACAAATGAGACAATTAATGGAACTCGACCTTTCTCACGCAATTTTCTGAGCAAAGATCGGCTTGATGTCGAGCCAATTTTCCAACTGTCACAATTTACCAATAGTCGCTTAGCGAAGAAGACTGAGAAACACGCGACAAATGAGACTATTGAATGGACCTCAACCTTCAACACGCAATATTCTGGGCGAAGTTCAGCTTAGCGTCTTTTACAGGTCACCAACTGTCAGCTAAAATGGTCGATTTATTTTAACACCATTAAGAAATGAAAGGAAAAACATTAAAACAACAGGAACCAATCAGGGTACTTATTACAGAGCAGCGAGTAAGAAAAATATTTGCAATGCAAAAGATGCGAAGGCTGTTCAGGTTACATTAAGGTCTCTGTCAGGTTTTGCGCATAAAACTTCAGCTTCAATAGCCTTTCTGACATTATTATGATTTTCGGTTGCTCTTTTCAACAATAATCAAGCGTATTTAGTTTGGATCTCGCTTTTTCGTTTTCTATACATATTGGCGTTAGGCCACATACGGAAAATAATAGCATGCGAACTATTCTATTTTATTTATAGCAGTTAGCTGTATTTGTCTAGTCAGTCGAAGAACTTGCTTGTTGCCATGCATATTCTCAGAATCCCCGTCGTCAACGATTTCATTTATGATAATAGAACTAGGCCTAGGAGTTCAGTTTGCACATGTGGGGATATAAAATGAAGATACAAAAGGAAGTATATTTTGCCTGAGCAGGTTTACGAAGAACTTCATCGACGAACGGTTTCGAGACATACAGAAAGTGAATGATTGCACCAACAATCGAAAGATGTCGTGTCATATTCGTTTGATTTCTAAAACTTAAAGGATCAATTGATAAACATTGCAAAACCCAACGAAACCCTAATAACGATTTCACTCTGGAGAAACTCAGAAAATACTAAACATTGCTTTGAAAACTGCTTTCATCGTGAAGAATACATCCATAACAATAGCCTAAATCGGGAAGGTTCCTTGAAAACGGTCCACATCACATGATAGCTAAGGATGTTAATCAAAGGTTAAAAAAATACACAGTCATATACAAACTTACCAAGAAGAGAAGCCACGATACACAGAAGGCCACCATCATAACAATCATAAGACGAGCGAACATTCGGTTCATCTGTTGTCTTTTCTTGTCTGAACCGTCTATGTCATGTGTGGATGTGGACATTCGACGTTGGCGACGCATTAATCCTTTGACGCTATACATGACACGTGTGTAGCAAAATATCACTACAGCTAGCATCGAAAATCCGAGGGCCAGAATAAAGATACTGTAACCCATACTAGCAGGTCTCGTGGAATCGAAGTCAAAATGGCAAAAGCTGCCGTTGCTATAGGACCTCATTTTACCGATCCCTGTCAAAGGCAACATGGAGTGGGCTCCACTGAAGAAGAAGACTCCAATGATTATGTAAATAAGTCGTTTTTTCGGGAGATATTCCTTATACCTAAAAGGCATACACATCGCAACATATCTATCAATAGCCATTATTGTCATCACGAGCATTATTCCACAGTTTAGCGTGAAAGCTGTCCAACCAAAGATCATACACGACGGCGATCCTTCCTTCATTTCGTTGCCCCTCAAATATGCTACTAGAGTCATGTTCAGTGGAATGAGCGCCTTTAGTAGATCTGCAACGGCCAATGTGAAAATCAAAATATCTGGATTGTATTTCTGTTTGAAGCGGACAATCACAATAATTGCTAGAGTATTTAGCATGATTATTAAAACCTCGAGAACCAACAAGGTGAATCCTTCTGATTTACGAATTTCACTCATTGTGTGATCGCTGGCTGCGCTAATTGCCCTCCGGGATCCAATTCAAATTCTTCGGTGACCAGTAGTAGTAGTAGTAGCTTGTAGTTTTTTCTCCAAGGTAAACATAATATTTGTGTAGTGTGGTTCACATACTCTGTGTTCGAGCCCAGCCGGAAATTCTTCGACCGAGTTCTCGACGGTAAAGGATAAACACTCGCCTGATCCAGCGATATGAACCGAAATGTACTACTCTTAGGGTCTTCGGGGCAAGCTCGGCATACCGTATCACTTGTAACGCAAGGCGTCAACCGCGCAATAACTAAATAACGGGGATAGCGTTGCTTTAAGCCAATCCAGAAAAGTCACAGAATGAACGGCTACTTGTGACAAAGAATCAGTGCAAGAGAATATCGCTCTTCATTGTCTGTACAGAAAGACCTTCAATCCGCTGCGGTTAGCGCTGTTAAAAGTATTTGTCTCCCTAAGACCTCCGGACTGTCGTGAAAACATGCATGTGCATCTTCAAAAGGTGTTAATCTCGGTTTTAATGCCTGGTCTTTACTGGCTGCACAGGACGCTAGCTATCGTATTCAAATGAATCACGGCTTGTCCTAAATATTGACTTTCAATCGAAGAATTTTGTGGTCCTTGACAGTGGTTTGTCATATTTCCGACAGATATTTGTACAAGAGCAAACAAAGCCCCCGAGGTCTTGACATTGATTGTTATTTCATAATTGGAAAGCCGCCTCGACGTCTTTGAAAGACGGCGCGGTTCTTAGAAATGTAATCTTTAAAATGTTCTTTCGGCCTGTGGAATCAGTACTTTTGCTCTATAATCCTCAATCGAATTACTTTCAGGCTCAATGGAGTGGTATTACCTTAATAGGTAGAGAAACTGCGTTAGAAATAAATCATGATTACTAGCGTTACCGGAATTCAAAGCGATGAAATGTCATCAAAGTTTAAACATACTAATCATACCTATATTATCCTTTTGATGAGAAACTCAATTTAAAGTGCCTCTAACAGGACCAAATGTATTCCTTCTAATTAGCGTTTGTAACCAAAACAGATTGACCCAAAGTCTGACTTAAATCTTTCCTGCTTGATTTTCGTATTGTTCTAAATCCCCCCTGATTCACTGCTCCCTGCTGAGACTTGAAGATCAAGCAGAGGAATTGCTCTTAAATGCCAAAGTGTTAGTACTTTCCATTTATTTTTAGAGGTTGCAGAACACTGGGTAAAAAAAATAGGAAGGAATCTTTTACAGTAAATCTTCCTAAATCATCGGTTAAAGCGGCTTCGTGTTTTGTATCGAATTCTCTCGCTGAATACGTTGTTCGAAAACACGTGTGAAACAATGACTCAATAAGAGGCTCCTGCTCTCATGGGTAGGGTCAGATAGATTATGCCGTCGTGATTTCGGACATAATGCTATAATCAGAACATCGAGCATGATGCCGGTATAATGACTAAACTTCTTTAAAATTCCCTAGACTAACAGTTCGACAAGAGAGATATTCTGAGATGTTCTTAGCAAGTTTAACCTTTTGGTGGTCGGGATGAGTGAGGGTTGAGGGCTCCTAAAGTTTTTAATTGCGATCATAAAGAAAATTTTGAGAATAATTTTTGGCATATCATTTTGTCTTCAGGGGTGACGCTCTAAAGCATAATGCTCAAATTTTCGAGCATGATTTATCTGACCCTATTGATGGGCTGGTGACATACGACTAAGTTCTTGCCCTCTATTCTTTCCGCTGTCATAGCGTTTTGGGTATCTCAGGGTATGCCCGTACCGTACCCAGAATATCAAGCTTTTCGGTATCCCCTCCGGAACACCAAAAGTCGATAATATTGAGAGAAAAAAGAAGACTAGGGAAAGTAACATGGCCTGCATTTCATAGTATAGTATAGGGGTTAGAGATGTCTAAAAAGACCCACCAGTCAGTAGTTTTAGGTGGGTTTTTTCACATGTAAAATATTTAGGAGGTAAATGGGTATCAGTTAAATGTGCCACAATACTGAAGGACGATTTTGCTCAGTGATAGGTTTTTCAGTCTATTTCACGTTTGTCTTTCACTTGAAACTGAAAAAATGACTGAACACTGGTGCTTTTTTATTAACTCTGGGGCTGTGAACTATCATATATAATTTGTCTGACTTGCTTACTATTTGTGTGTGTGAAATATTCTTATTGTTCCACTGACCCTTGCAATGTTGTCAGAAGTTTACCACAAGTAAGAAAAGTGTCTTGGCATTTGTCTTTGGGTGTTAAGAAATCTTGGGTAGAATTGCAAACTTAATTTTGTTACTTTGTTAATAATAAAATAATAATAAATAATAACTGACTCTCAGCTCAGGTATGTTCTTAGTATGTTCTTAAAATGTTGGTTTATCTCAGCCTGAATGTTCTTATAATAAAGGTTCTTATGAAAATATATTGTATTTTTCCCATGCAGTTGATTGGAATGGTCAGCAGTTTTTGGTCTTAAATGGACTTGATTGACTAAGTAGTAAAGCACAGTAAAAAAAGGAAGCAATCTTCATTTATATTGTAACATTAGTGAAACATGTTACATGTCAATAGTAAATTTCTTTCACCAGTTTTCTCACTTGTAAATTTCTATTATCATTATTACAATATAGGTTATTAGGAACCAACATAATGACCAACTCCCACTTGGCTTCTTAGCTCAGTTGGTTGAGAACTGCATTGGTATTGCAGAGTTTGTGGGTTCAAATCGCGCACAGGCCTGTATTTTTTTAAGGTGGTACAACACTCAAAAAATCAACATTTTTTCATGTTTTTTTACAAAAAGTTATCTATATCACCTAAAATGACACAAGGAGACAACTGTATTTTTGCAGTTTTTGACTTGATATTTTATTATTGCTGCTGAAAATTAGCAAATGATGCCCCCCGGTGGGCAACCAAACAAGAACAGTCATATCTCTTTAACATTAGATTAAAAATTCACAAAATTTTTAGACAATGATCTTCACATGCACCTGCATGCAATGAACTACAGAAACACCTCTCAGTCATATAGAATGGAAAATATTAAAGAAAACACAACAACTTTCAGGAATTGATAAGATGAGCAATCTCATTTTGGTCATTTAACAACAAAAGATGCACCTAAGTGTATGTTTCTAGTTCATTGCATGCAAAAATATACTGAGATCTCTCACTCCAAAAATGAGAAGAATTGAATAAAACGCTGGAAAGTTATCTTTGTTAGCGTGTCGGTAGTTTCATAAAATTCGAAATTGAGAGAAAACTGGTTTAAAGTTTTTAAACTGATTTTTTCAAGACTTAAACACAGTTTCCATGAATTGAACTGTTCAAAACTGACCAGGGCCATAGCTGACTCCTTCAGTTTGCTTATTATGGTCATCTTTTTGTTTTTTAAGGCCCCTAATCACTTTGCATCGCTTCTTGGTAGTAGCTTTGCTTTTATGTTGCGCAATATTAACTCTAAGCTGGTCTTGGAGTCTGCAACCCTCCTCGGTATATTTGCCAGAAGGAATACCAAGGGCTTGGAAAAGCTTAATAATACTAATTGAACCAATATTAAAATAAAAAACAGCATCATAAAGTCCTAATTCTAATGTCTCCCTTCCAACATAAATTTCTTTTGGAATCCTTTGCCATACCATCCCATTCAAAGACTCATTTTGATTTTGTGTCTTGCCAAGTAAGCACTTCTGCAATAAGTTGTTCTCACTAAGTCGAATATATTCAGGCTTTAGCTTGGCAATAACAGGTAAAGGAAGGCCAGGTCCATGCTTAAAGAGATTCGTATGGTTGGCTTTGTCCTTTTGATACTTGCACCAACTTGCACTACCTGTTGGGCAGTGGTCATTAAGTGGGCGTGCCTCACTTGAGGCACAATGCATGAGGCTAGCATGGATAGCTTTCTTCATTCCAGCCAAATTTCCAACATTGGACCTTATGGCAATGCCATAATAGTTCTGAAGTTTATCAATTAGACTATCTGTGAGTTTCCCTCTGCCTCCAAGGCTTGGATTGTCACGCTTTAATTTGCGAAGTGCAGTTCCAACCCTCTTCTGCACATGACTGATGCATTCTTTCTTTTCCACTAAAATTCCAGCATCTTGACAAATATTCTTTATCCTGGAAAAACTCTTGCTGTCCCCATCCCCATAAAATTCAGTGTATCTGAGATTGTGCAGCTCAACAGACCTTTAAAATATGCCCTCTGCAGCCTCTAGTTCCATAGCAGGTGCTGATCCCTGGAAATTTGACTTGCAAGTGTTGTGATCAGCTCTCCACATCTGATATTCGAGAGAATTCTTGTCCATTTGTTCATGCCGCTCACACTGTTTGCATCCTTGGCTTAGGGCCTCCACATCAAGAACTTTTCCTGTGTCCATGGATACGACAGTCACACAACCATTGCGTGACGAGTAGCCTCTCTTTTGCCATGTTCCGTCACAAGAAACACCACAGTTCACAGGTAGACCTTCAGAAGAATTTACATCCTTCTTGAGAGATAAAACTTCTTCTCCCGCCTTTTTCATTGTTTCCTTTGCAATCGCTTTCATGTGACGGCCGATTACGCGCGAGTTTCTGAGGAAAGCTTTCTCAGTTGGAGGTGGAGGCATGTTCATAATTGTGCAGAATTTCCTTGCACCAGCATAACCCTTTCCAAGAGTTCTCATACCATAAACGATTCGCCGATTTACTTCAAAACTCTTTCCTTGCTTTCTTGATGTGCAAAATGAATGTTTCCATCCACACTGCTCGCACAGCAAACGCAAAGTTGACGCACATCCCTTCCGTTTCAAATTATCTTCCATAAACAAAAGACTGAAATCGCCGCATTCGCCACAACGTGGCAAAGAAAAAACGGACGATAGCACCTCCATATCACAGAACCTGAACCCTGTAATGGATGGACTGGTTTCCTCTTTATCTACCTTGATCAGCTTAGGCTTGGGTTTGTCTTCTTGGGAAGTTGATTGAAGCTTTCGATACGAAGCCGAAGATTCCTTCGCTTCGCTTTGATCATGTGAAATGCCGTCTGTGGATCCACGTATCCCACTCGAAGCGCTTTCGACAGCAATCGACTCTTCTTCGTTAATTCTTGGACTATTTGTAAAGCGATTTCCATAAAATTTGCGCTTCTTGCGTCTCTGACACGAAAATTTCAGCATTTTGATGATCGAAGCTCTCTCACTTGCGAAAATTCCCAACTGAATGATTGATAATAACAGCTGTTCACCGAAACATATCAAAACGAGGCTGAAAGTCATTGTTGGGCCCCAGTCTCCCAATAGCTTACTCAAGACGCAATTAGCTTGCTTTGATCTGGGAGGAAATCGCACTTTTAGGCCCTAAAAGGACGCATTTAAAAATGCGTTTCATGGCAACGGAACAACAGTGCCTTAGAAATTGCATTTTATTACTATTTCCTGACAAATTATTCACAAAAAGACATTTGGGGCGATTAAACAAAAGCCTTTAGAGGTGAAATCGAATGAAAAAAAAAATGGACTCATTTTCAACAAAAATTGCGTTTTTTTTGTATCGTACCACAAGGACTTATTTTCACCACTGCTAAAGTAGAGTTCATCACTGCGAAGATTGCTCTCATATTCATTATTACTTTTGTACCAACTTTGTTAATACCATATTTTCTTGAATAAGTTTTCGGGGGCTTATTCGTTTGCTTTTGTTTTGAACCACCGCTTTTGTTTAATAGCACCTCTGATTGGTCAGTTATTTTTTTACCTTGTCACGTTGGCTCAAAATACCTACCGCGTTTTCTTCGATGAGCTTGAAGAGCTTGTCAAATAATTGTGTTTAAAACAGTTCTACACGTTTTAATCCGGTATGGAATCAGATGAATCCATTGATTTAGTAGATTCCGAGGCAGTAAACGCTTATGGATCGGTTGTTGCGAAGAAGGAACACGAAAATCTTTGCGAGCATTTCGAAGAAGGTGAAAATATTGATCCACCACGTTTTCATTCGTTCATCAATTTTTTTAAATTGAAGTTTGCCATCTTAATAGGACCAAGGGTCAGTTGAAGTTTCCTGCCCGTGGAGAGGAGCTTGCGCTCGTTGGAAAATATTCTACCTTAATTTACAACCCTCAAGCGCTTCTAGAAAGTGAAAAAATTCCAACGTTGTCCGTTTCGCTGACCTTGTACACAGAGTGCGAAGAGATCCAAGCGTGACACTAAGAAAACTTTCACCGGACACCACCGCGCACGGTCTTCGAAAAACTAAACGTCTGGCAGTCTAATATTTTTCCATATTTCTCTTTGAAAAATACCAATTTCTATTGGAAAATATTTTATCTTCATTTAGAATCCTCAAGTGCTTCTAGAAAGTGAAAAAATTCGAAGGTTGTCCAAGCGTGACACTTAAAAAAAATTTTTCTTCGGATTCTACCGGACAAAATTCAAAATACAGTAAGGAAACTGTAAAATGACGGACGGCGAATGTATTTACCGTAAAACAGTTGACTATGTGTCCAGGATGGCTCTTGAGAAAGACGATTTTAGAGGTTTTCAGCGATCAGAGAATTTCGTGTTATAGGAAATTGAGCCGAGGCGCGCGTTGCATCAAGATTGGAAATGGGCCTTTAATCAAGAGGAGTACCAATTGAGTTTTTCTTTCAAAGAACTGTAACTTTGTTTTGGCTAAATCTTTAGAAGAAAAATGAAAACTACAACATGATTCACCCAGACGTAAAGTCAATCTTAACATCTTTTGTTTTTTCTAACAAAAGGGGAACTATTTATTTGCTTGAAAAACAGGGAAGAAGCCAAGGAGTATGACAACAATGCGATTGGAACTTACAAAATGAAGCATATGCATAGCGCTAATAGTTTGGAGCTTGTTGATCACATTGTGATTGAGCTGTAATTCCTTTCCTTTGAATGCATCCTAATAACTTTATAATCATGGAAATTTCCTGTCCTGAAGGCTAAAGAATGGTCTCGTTGTGCCTGAGAAGTTGACAGCATTTACCAAAAGTGCAGCCATAGGACAAATATTGAAGGAACAGATGAACCACACAGTGGAACTTTGCAAGAACATGGAGATGGAAATAACTGGAATGGAAAAAGCTATTCTACTTTACTGATACCACCGTAGTTAAAGGCCCAAAAGTTACAAATAAACTGACATTAGAAACAGGTTCTTTTTTTGTATCCTGGCTTATTTGCAAAAGTTAGGAATGAAGGGGCTCTTATTCAAGGGGGGTGCTTATTTGACATTTTGGCCAAGGGGGTGGAAGCTTATATGGGAGAGGGTACTTGTTGGAGCATTGACACTTATTCCAGGAAATATGGAACTGGTAAAAAAAGTATATTAGGTACTTTCTACCCTTGGAGATCAAATATTGTGAAGGGATGCTCAAATCCCTAAAGAAAAGAACATCACCTCTTAAAATAGAATGTATTTTTTTGTAAGTGCTTGTTCAACAGTTTTTCATGATTGAGTTATACAGAAGACAGCAATCCAGGGTGAAAGGAACACTGACTTGCTTAGCATGCACCTAAACAAGAAGAGATACCCAAATACTCAGTGATATGTGTATTCCTTGGAAGAGGGAAAATCTTCCTGTTTTCACAGACTGCATTCAGTTGATTTATCATATTTTAAAAGTACATTAAAACTGGGTGCACCAAGATAAAAGAAAGAATCATTAATCTACCCTAAGATAGAAGGAAACCCCTTAATCCCAAGTGATGCAGGCATTCCTACCAACATTTTTCTGACTTCCTGTTATTCTAATTGCTAAAACAACCATTTTTCTCTCTTTACATTGGCGCAGTCATGGGAAAAAGGAATCACTGTTCTTCCTCAATGTTATTTCAAGCAAAATCTTGTATAAAGAGAAAAAGAAATTGTTTTATTTTTATCCTGTGCAGAAGTGAGGTGTACCCAAATCCTCTGTTATATGGGTTAATCCTACCCCAAATATGGAGTATGTCTCAATTTGCATGAACTCTTAACATAAATGTAATTCTTTTTAAATTTGTTGACTTCTAGGAAAAATAAAGCAACATAAATTGGAGATCTCAAACTGCAGGAGAATGCTGTTGTGAGAGTCTCTAACTACAAATTTTCAACGGGGGCCAGAACTAAGTAGGCCTTTAGGCCTTTAAAATTACTCACCTGCTACTTTTTACTATTGATTTGTACAATGTTTTATTAAAACCACTGATGATGTAAATCCTCCAATTTCTGATTTATTTAGAGACATCTTTTGTGAGGATCAGGAATTTGAAACTATACATTAATATACAGTACTTATTTCACTATGACACACAAGAACTAAAACTTGGAAACAGTATCCACTCTTGATTGCAATGCATTCCTTGCCACCCAAGAAGCTAATCCAGGCCTGCAAAAAACTGCTCTTGCCTATAAAGCAAGTCAAGGTCTGAATTTACTCTACAGAAGGCAAAATCCAGCAGTTTTGTGTTAAGACAACTTTCTTTGCATGCTGTTAAGTGACTGTAGTCGTCAGGGAATGTTTCCCTGATGCAATGTATTTCACGAGCAAAAACATTTACAAATCAATTTGACGTTACTTTTTCAAAGTGCACGACAATGTTATTTTGATAATCATCTAAGTAATAAGTAAATAATAAGTAATAGGTAATATATTACAATAGATACATTTTCATTCTTGTCAGGGTAGTGGGTCTTGTAATGGACTTCCAACCCTTGAATTGGCCACACTATTGTTATCACGAGGCTATTGAATTTCATATTAACTGACATCCTATATACACCTCCAAGGGTTAAATATGGATGATTGTTATTTCTACTCTCCTTAACATTCTCTTTGAGATTGTAAGGCGCCTGAACTAAATATGTCAGAGAAAAATTTATGGATAAAATAATTCATTTTTTGAGGAAAACAGCGGTTAATTGTTTATAAGATAGAGGGCAAAGGCGGAGGTGAATAACGCACGCTGTTAGGCACTGGAAGCCATTTTCGGTGTTATGTTCGAGTCAACGAACTGTGAAATGCGCGAATCATGTAACTGAAATTTAATTTTTGCACAACAACGCCAAAGCAATTAAACCAGCTCTACTAAAACAATATTCGCCATGAATGGAATTATAACACGTTTCGGCAAAGTAGCATTTTTAAATGTTTTCTGAACTTTGGTCATAGCCAGGGGCATGCCCTCTGTCTCAGCCAATCAGCATTTAATAAGTTGTCCTCCACGTTCTACATTTTTTTATTATTAACATATCTTTATGTATTTTGTAGTAATGGAAATGATGATGCTTAATTTTTTAGAAGGAATCTACTCAAGTTAAAGTCCCGGCTGTCGCAACTCTACAAATAACTAATAGTGGACGAGCGTCAAAGGTACTGATTGTAAGGTCATTGTTTCAAATCCTTTCGAAAGTAGTTACATTTTTCTTTTTCTGGTACATTATTATTTTCTTACTTATTCGAAAATATAATCTTTTTTCTTAATCAGAAGGTTCGAAGTGCATTGTCTATATTTCCATGTTAAGCTTTTTTAATTAAAGGTACCGCACCATTAGGACCCTGGAGTTTATTGGTCGCAATCTCGCTCTTCTAGCTTCTATTTGTGTGGCATTGCCTTAGGTGTTCCAATTTTTGAGATGAAATTAGTTGTGTTGCACCTCTGTCTAAAAGTTGGCCAAGCAAGGAAGGACTCGCAATAACTACAGGTGTAGTGGATTTAAAAATGGCCAGACCTAGTGACATAATATCATCTGGGGAGGCCAGTAGTTCAAGAATAAATTTGAGAAAGGGGGCCTCTCAAGCGAAAGGTTTTATCCTGTTTACAGTTGACATAGAATAAGGGATATGTCCTGAAAAAACTAGACCTAAGCACCCTAAATGTGGGCACGTGTTCTAATTACGTGTCTCAGTTATTGTGCCCGGCCCCCACCGTCTTGTTTCGCTTCCCGGCTTAAGTTCCGCGGATTCATGCCATACAGCAGTACCTGTGAGAGCCTGTATACATGTGGGTTATGAGTCTTTTTCCATTTATGTGTACATTAAAAGTGTACGTGTATTTCTATTCACTTTTTGATTTTATTTTAATGTGGCTATTGGTCATATCGAAAATCGTTTTTGTGCTTTGTGTGGCTCCAAATTTCTCTAAGGACAAGAAATGCGCGGAACCACCGCTTAAACAGTCGCACTCCATATTTCCCCAATGAAAAGTACTCTATTACTGTTAGTGATAACTTCAAATCTGATTACTGTCCTCTATGAAGCATGACGAATGGTAATCATCTATCTGTTTTGAATTTTTTCTTCAGAAGATACAACCGAATTCGAACATTCTTCCTTAGTCAGTGTGTCACCATAGCGGCCGTAGACAGGTACCAGCAACGGTAAACACAGAGGCATATCAAAATTAACTCAATGTGGCTAATATGTTCTACGCTTGTTCATTGTAGGACTCATAAACAACGGAATTTTATGGATTAAAGGTGAGATTACTTATGTGTGGCCTTTTCTGTTCCCATTCTGTACAATGACAAACTTGAAGAACCGGACTTTCAAACAGAGCTATGTCATAATAGATTTTAGCTTTTCCGACATGTTTTACTCACAACGTGTTACTTATGAACGAAGCTTACGCTCCGGGTAAAATGTCGTTCTTTATTTCACAATGTGAGGGAAACAAAAGAGTGACTTAATCACTACACGGAGCAGATCCTGAGGGAGAGTCTTAGCGCCTGCCCAAAATTGTAACTTCTGTAATTGTCTCGGGAGTGGGAAGCCAATTTCTCATCAAAACACAAAGCTAGAGGCTCAGTTGTTGGCCATTAACAGCGAAAGTTAATGGAAAACAACCGACAACTGATCCTTCAATCTTCTACTGGGTGACACGCTTTCTCTTTGCTCTTTTCCTTACACAATACGTAAGGGTACACTAGGCCTTTGAGCGACATGGAACATCCAGGTGCCGAAATGAATACTGTATGTGTCATTCCAACTTGATTAAATGCGACTTTGATTCAGACAGCCTCATTAACCTTAAAACGAGTATGTCTTAGGCTGTCTGAATGACCGTAAAAAAAAATTTTAGTGATTAGTGAACAACGCCGCATTGTTAAAGACGGGGTCAGAATATGGCTATGAGACACTATTTTTAAGAAACGAAAAGATTTCCGATATTTGAAATTGTTGGTTTCTGACCTTGTTGACCTTGCGATACCAATATTTCCTCGACCCAGCTACGGAAAGAGCTGAGCTTTGGAGGGAAACAATACGGACTCGCGCGGCAGGCAAATGGTGTTTAGGTAACATTTATGACGGTCTCAATGGGGGGGGGGTATTTTTATCCGATTTTGATAGATGACGGTACTAAAATTCATAGGGCCTTTTTCAGTTGAATTTTCTGGCTTTTGATGGTTGACTTTTACTGAATAGATGTTTCTGCGATGATTTAGAATCACTATTAAAAGTTGTTCAATAATTTTGAATAAAGGGTGTGGTGTCTTTTCCCGCGTAGTTCGTAAAGCTAGAATTATGATAATTTATTTTCTTTGTTTTTTGTTCTCCTGGCAGGGTAAGGTAGGTTAGGTTCATGCGAAAATTAAAACTCGTTGCTTGTTTAACCACTACTTTCCTGAAAGTCGCATTTATTTTCTAAACGGTAGCATAAATGGTTGAATGTATACATGTCAGACGTAGTTTATGAATTAAGATGCGTGTCGATTAGCCCCAAATATAGAGGAAACGTGACTGCAGTTTTCTTCTAATTCGTCTTTACGGGTACGCGACGAGGGATAGTTTGCCTTTGATAGAACTTCACAGGGGAGTATGTTTCTAAAGAAATGTAATACTTTGTAGAACATTACAAAATAATTTTCTTTTATCAGCTGAGTTGATAGTCGGTTGTGAATATATGGAAGTCATATATTTGAACTGTGGTTAAAGACGTGAATATGAAAGCGATCTTCGCAGTCATGAACACTACTTAAGTAGTAGTGAAAAGAAGGCCTTCTTTTCACTACTACTAAAGAAGTGTTCATTACTGGCAAGATCGCTTTCATATTCATGAGTTGATAGTGTAAATCGGCTACTGTAAAGAGTTTCCAATGCTTACGTTTCGAGTTTTACGTTTCGAGCCCATTATGGGAGCGAAGGGCAACAAAGGGCTAACGCTCGAAGACCAATTTGCATTATCGACTCAGTTGATTAAACCTATTCAGTCCTTTGTCAGACGAAGTGAAGCGTAACAACTATGACCTCTAGCCGTGATTAACTACTATTTTCAAACAATACCTTAGTTGCCGATATTATAGGTGCGAAAAACATCAGCAGAACTCTGCAGTTCCGATTCTTCTAGCCTTGAACATGGTATAGCAAAGTCGATGGTCTCTTTATACAAGAACTCAATCCCGATACAGGCTCGTGAACGAAGCCCATAAGAACCAGAGTCTATGTTTCACGCCTCCTTGTTTCTTTTCTTTCTTATTTTTCTCTTCTTCTAATGTATTCGTCAAAGCGCTACTTACTCAAATATTTGCATAGGCTTCGCACAGGGGTTTACCTGCAGTTTTTCAATTGGCGAGCAATGACACTACCACATGTGAGGTCGCTTTTTATATCGCGAGAATTCATTGCCACTTCACTCGACCGAAGTGCTGTCCTCGCTCTATTATCCTGGAGACAACTTCCCTTTCTCTGGAAAATGTCACTTATGGTAAAAGTTCCATAAAACGGATTGACTTGAAAGACAAATGCGGAATAATAGGAGGTGAGTGTTCTCTTTGACTGCCCTCTTTGTGATTTCCTCAGAGGGACTCATTCGAGATGCTTTGAAAATACCGGTACTTAGCAAACTGCTATCAAACGTCTTGTTTAAGATGATAAACGACTTGGAGGTTTTCGACTTGGATGGTGAGAATAATTGACCAATCGATGTTTTGAGCGAAATCTGGTTTTATCTTATGAGACCCTTACCAGACCCTTAAACAAGGCAACAGACTGTTGTGTAATCTGTGTTAGAGTTCCTTATGAGCCACTTCATTTTGTCGATTCTTTCGGCCCGTTGTCTTCTCTTACTTCATTGCTTTCTTTTACTTCTTGCACTTTGTGCGTTTTTCAACTTCAACAACATTTTGAGCACCCGGTTTGTACGATATTCTGAGCAGGCAATCCTTTGCACTTTATCCCAAAATCAACGCGTGAAACTGAGCATGACATGAAAATGCTGAATTCTGGGAAGGAATAGTGCCAATTGTCACAGGCGAATAATTAGTTCAACGACTGAATTAATATTGCACTGTCATGTTAGGCGAGTGCCGAGCACAATTTATTCGCTAGTCGAATTTAAGTCAAATCCACTGGATGAAGGTTGTTCAAATGTCGACATTTTCCTGTAAATAATCAAAGAATTATTCGATTTGGCAAATGGATATTCCAATGTGTGACACAGCAATGCAGTAAGTTGATCCTCATTCTATAGTCTTGACGATCTCGTATTCGACTATAACTCCATATCGCATTTCTTTTTCCTGAAACAGACCCGTGGAATTAAAATTGTTGGAACAGGACAAGCCAACATACGGCAATACGAGGGTTAAAATGTGCCTACAACGACATGTTATGCTCCACTTGAGTTAAATCAACGGCCTCTTACGAGCAAGCTCGAGCAAATTTTCTGATTGATTGATGATAAAAACTAACGAATCAGATATTCTCTTTCACTTATCATTCTTCTTGCATAAAAAGTTAGTGGTTGTGCTTAAGAAAATTTGAGTTTTCTCGATAGCCATTAACATTATGTTTTAGAACAGAAACAAACAAGAAATTTATTCCGCATTGGTTTATTCAATATATGCAGCAGTAACCAAAGTCTCAGGTCATTGTGGCCTAATATTTGCCACAGGAATGTAAATTATCTTTTGAGAATACACCAAATAATCTCTTTGATTTTTCTGTTACCCTCAAGGAGTAAAGTCGCTGTCGTATGGGACTCAACTCTCCGAAATGTCTGGAAACATTTTTTTCCCATAAATCAGTCGAGAATTTCCACTTTCGTAAATGCTTTGATTCACTGATGCATGCTTTTACAACTTTACAACTGTCACGGTAAAACAAAAAATTCACGGCAAGTCAAAGTTATCTTACGGCTAACAAAAACAACTAAAGGCAAAACAAAATTTACCCACGACGAAACAACTTTCCGAGTTTAAAAGGAGTTTAGTCAGCGGTTGTCATCTGCATTCAAAATGATACGTTGTGTATTAATTAGCAGTTTATAGAGCCGTTGATTTTAGGTACTTTGTGGTTTGTCTTAGACAACTTCGACCATGTGTTATGATTAGTGTGACAGTGACTTTAGATCCAAAAGAGAGGTAAATGCTACTATTTTAGATAGGAAAACTCACTCACCACTTATTAAAAGTGAAACCTAACCAACTTTATTTTTACTATTTTTATTAATATTACTGTTATTGTTGATATTGGGACATTACTTTTATTATTTAAGTTTGCGCATTAATGATTACTGGCTCTACTGAAGTTTGACAAGAGGAAATGCGGTGTATTCGGCCATGAATGATATTTCACCCGCTGTTCACTAAAAATGCCAATTCGTGTCGAAATTGTATTTCCCATTGATCATAGTTATAGACCAAAAGTCAGGGGCATTCATTTGTTGTTCCCCATCGTTCAAACTTTTAATGCTTTGGTTCATTTTAAGGCCTTGATATCTTGTCTCGTGATTTGGCTAATTTATTTGAAAGGACTCCTAGAGAGTTCTGTCGGTTTGGGAGAAACAATAGCACATAAAAACAATAGACATTTAAACCTCCCCTCATGAACAACTTTCGTGTTTTAAGTACCAACGTACGTATATATGGTTATTTCCTTCACTTCCTTCACTATTCTTATAAAACATGTGGTCTTCGAGTATTGGTTCCATCTCCATGAAAAAAGTAATAACGCAGAATGAGAAACGCTTTCTACGGCTTCTGAGAGTTCACTTTCTGAAAGACTCGCGGATTTTGCAAATATATTTTTTTCTCTCTCAGATAATCAATGATGAATGTCGAGAATGCCACGAACCTCACAGAAGGACAAGGACACCTCCCATCAAAAGGCTCACTGTCTATTCATCAGAAAGCACTTTACCTATTTTGGTTATCAGTTATATCGCTGGCAGTTTTTAGGAAGCTTCTGTTCTTTTTCAAAGTGCCAGCCATTCATACGTTTCGCCTGATAGCTTCTGGTAAGTCTGTCTGTCTGTCTGCCTGCCTGCTTGCCTTGAGTTCTTTCCTCTGTGAGATAATTTAGCTTCTCTCGCCTTTTGTGACTTTATAATAAAAGTAAGGGATTTTAAAAATGGCCCGAAATCATTAAGTTGAGCTGATAGGTCCCACACCACTGATTTTTTGCTGAATGTCTCCGTTCACACACAGTTTTGACTAACCATAATTAACTTCATCTGCATCTAATTAAATCTACAAAAGGATATCAAGTATGAAGACCCTTCTGAGAAGCGTTTCCTATAGTTTCTTTCTCAAAGATCTCACTCTCTTTTTTCTTATTTCCTCCATAAGATAATGAAAACTGTCAGCTTGGATGGGCAGAAAATGGTGACGTACCGCAACAAGCTGTCCAGAGTAAGGAACATCACGCTATTGTGCAGGAGAATGATGTCGGAGCAAAGTCTGCATCACAAGCACCTGGCAGTTCCAGACCGTCAGTGGATCATTTTCTCTTCACTGTGGCTGTATTTGGGTTTATTATGTTCTTCTATTATTTGTGCGATGATGAACACTATTTCCCCGTCACTGAACGCACGTATTCACGAGACTTATTTTGGTTTCTAGTCCTCCTACTTTTTGCAGTAAGCGTTGGAATGACGAGGAAGGAGACTACAGACAAGATTTTAAACCGAGAACAGACCGAGGAGTGGAAAGGCTGGATGCAAGTCATGTTTGTGTGGTATCACTACTTCAAGGCTGCAGAGACTTACAATGCCATCAGGGTGTTTATTGCTGCTTACGTTTGGATGACTGGTTTTGGTAAGTTGGTGACTTTTTTCAGTCAGCTACATTACGAATCTTAAGTACATACGTTCTTGAGACACAAAAGGCAGACAAAGAACCTATTCAACCGAAAAAAGAGTTGAATTACTCCTAGCGTGCTTTCTGTGAGATCAAACGATCAGCTGAAATGAGAGCGAAGGAGAAGCAGGAGGAAAAAATTAGGAATTTCCGATAGAAAGAACTCTCAACCACGGCTGGCGTTGAGTCTCAAAAACGTAGGAGTTTTTCAGTTCCCTATTAGAACTTGAAGGGTTGAGGTAAGATAAAAAAACCACTCAGCAAAGTGTAAGAGCACAGGCAGCCCAAGCTCACGTCTCGAGGAAAACTAAACGGTTAATTCATGAAAGCGTCACGCGTTGTGTGACTCGGTGTTAGGAGAGGAGCCGTTGAGAATTTGAACGTTATAAGGAATAGTATTAGGAACGATATATGGTCGATTTACGCAGAAGAATATTTCGAAATATGAACATTTTACACGTAAAATCAATAAAACTTATTCACATCTTGTGTGTCCGCGGTGGTTTCTGGCGATTTCTGCCGTTTAAGCTTGTTTTGCCATCACTGTTCTTGTTATAAGTCGTCTTAAAACAGGAATAACAGTGATGGCAAAACAAGCGGTAGATATCACCAGAAAGTGCAACAGATACACAAGATGTGAGTAAGTTCTATTGATTTTACTTGTAAAATGTTCGTACTTTAAAATATTTATCGTTGTAAATCATCCATATTTCGTTCCCCATACTATTCCATACAAGGTGTTGAAATTCTCAACGGTTGCTCTTGTAGCTTAACACCATGTCACACAACGCGTGACGCTTTCATGAATTAATCGTTTGCTTTCTCTCGAGACGTGAGCTTGCGCCGCCTGTGGTGAGAGTGAACTTTGTAGAAATTGTATGCTGGGAGGCGAGTATTGGCAAACGAGACAAGATTGCGATCGGTCTGAAAGCAAACGTAATGAATGAAAACTTTAAGGAGTAAACTAACAATTTGAGAAGAGCTCGAGTATTGTGGGAGGTAACGATCTCATGGAGTGCTTCAGCACAATAAAGGCATAATTCAGGGCTGAATCATACAGCGATATGTAAGGAACATTGCGGCATATTAGACTGATATTGAATAAAACTGATGGCCTACAGCTTTCGTCTTTGTTTTGATCACGATGTCAGCCTCCTGACTTTCCAGTAATTTTTACTGAATGATTTCGATATCCGTAGATTTTCTTTTCTTTTTGGTATGTTAGATTTGGAATAAAATTTCTGATTTGGAGACTGATGTGGTAAAACGGAAATTTAAAATAAAACCGTCTGCTCGTAAGATTCCAGATTTAAATTAACGCAAAAAAATTGTCAATACCTATAGTTAATATTTCATGGTTAATCTCCTTTTCACTTTTCTTTTTGTAAATACATTATGTATCTCTTTCCCTTTAGGTAATTTCTCGTTTTTCTGGGTTAGGAGAGACTTCAGCCTTTACCGAGTGCTCAAGATGCTTTTTCGACTTAATTTCTTGGTGGTAATAACATGTTTGGTGGTACGCAATGAGTACATGTTATATTACATCTGTCCAATGCACACGTTTTGGTTCCTATCTGTCTACTGCTTCATGAAACTTCTGAATACTTGGAATGAAGACCCAAAAAAGATGACCGTAAAATTTATGATATATTTCCTTCTTGTCTTTTTAATGTTTGACGTACCAGGTGTCGGAAATGTTGTTTTTAAACCTTTGAGCTTTATTCTTAGCTATGAGAATTCTCTTCACGAGTGGATGTTCAGGGCGGGGCTCGACCACTATGCCACTCTCCTGGGCATGCTCTGTGCTTACTTTCATCCCAACTTTGAGCGACTTATGAGATATTTGGACGAAAAGTCGTCTGTCAAACGAATTGCCATACGGTGCGGAATTGCATCCATTTGCCTCACAGCCTTTGCTCTCTGGGTGCGGTACATCTTTGCACTAGAAAAGTACGAGTATAACAAACTCCACCCATATTTTTCCTTTGTCCCTCTGCTATCATACATATTCTTACGGAATGTGTTGCCGGTTTTTCGAAAGTACTATTTTTACATGTTTACGTGGCTAGGGAAAGTTACACTAGAAACGTACATCTCTCAACTGCATATTTATCTCCAGGGTAACGCTAAGTTTCTGATCTCATTTTTCCCTGGATACCCCCTCCTGAATTTTGCTTTTGCGTCTGTTCTTTACCTTTTCTTGTCATATCAATTGTTTCATCTAACCGTTGATATCAGTTCGTTTCTTATACCCAAGGATTACAACTCTTTGATGAAGACGCTTGCTATTGGAATTGTGTGGTTGACGATGTGCTACTTTGCAGGGTTTAGTCTGACGGGATTGTATTTTTCCTAAAATAATTTGTTCCTTGTTAACTTTGATGGATACCACTCCATATACAATCATTCGCGCGACTCAAACAGAATACACGCCAATATGACCACAACTAGTCTCTTTGAAAAGAGAATTTATGGCATAAAAGTAAACTGAGTTAAGGGGGCAAATCGTGAACCAAGTTTAAGTCAGTAGTTTAAATTTTCCTTTATTTCATAGATCTCTTATCTAATACATAAAATTTCAAATTTTATCATATAGTTCATTCTTTACAAAATAGTCATTGACCCAATTTTCAAATTTCACTTAATCAAAGGAAATAATATTGTACCTACAGCAGAGTGCCATTTGAGCGCGCTAAGTACGTTTTATTTCTAGCGCTGGGAAATTAAGGAGAATCACGTGTGTTTCAATAAATATATCATATAAATCCATCCAGCCAGTAATCAGGTAGCATTGTAACTTTATATTGACGACTTTTGACTTTATACATACTCTAATGCATCATCCACATGTACGCTTTGTTTAGAAATTACAATAAAGCATTGAGCCGTGAATTTAATTAAACAAGTTAAAAATTTCAACTGGGGATAAATAATAGCAAAATGACTTAAGAAATTCGAGCCTTAAGGTATACCCGGGTTAAGCAATAAGTGAGATTTTTTTTCAGTTTACCTTCGAGCAAGCATTACCTATTGTCAAATTTGTACATACTTTTTTTTTGGCATACATGCAGAATATTCCGCGCACACGCGAAAGCGTTCATTAAGCATGATATGCATAGTGTGGATTCATAACGAATGCTGATCATATTTAACAACCATGAAATAATCAAAGAGACTGAAAACAAAACACCAAAGTTCTATTGTTGTGCACGATGAGCGCCCATTAGGTAAATTTGACAGGTGGGATACTTGGATATTTAAAACATTCTGACATCTCACCATATTTTCTGTTAGTTATACTATAAATTTGCCTGGAGTGTCGGGTGGCACTGTGCAGGCCAATGCTCGTTGTCTCATTTGTTCAACTTATCTCCTATGGAAACAGCGGCAAATTCTTCAAAGTCCTTAAAAAAGGAAAAACAATAAAGTTGAAGCTTGTGACCGTCAAAATTGCGTTAACTCCTTAACAAAGTAATTGATGTAAATGAAGAGGATTTAAGGATGAAAAAGTTTGCAAAGATGGGGTTGCCGTTTTCTGTGAGTCCATTTAGTTGTGCCCAAGTTGTTTGCTTTGTTCCTTTCGTCCGTACATACTGATGATGTCAAATCTACTGATGATGTCAAATCTTAGGCTTCTCATACACTTCCAATATGGTGCGAAATTCATGGTAGGTCAACGCTAATTGTTCACCTCTTTAATAAAGATTCTTAAGAAAATCTTCTGGGTTTTAAGTTCAAGCCATTTTTGGCTTCTGATGTCAGCGTGTGTTCAAGATGCCCGAGCAACACCCCTGAAACTATAGGTGGCTATATCGCAGGAAGTTCGCAAGGGCGGATTTATTGATGGGGTTGAAGAGAACGGCGCCCTAAGCTAAACTTTTCAAAGTTAAAAAAAATAATACATACCTTTATCTGCGATAGAGCATTCAACAAGCTGGCACGGTGGTCCTCCAAGCCTTTCTCCGAGTTGACTGATAGCTTTCGCAGTGTAATTTCAGACGCACCCGGCTCCGACGCAGTAGACATTCTATGCCTATCTGTGACTGTTTTCCCGTCTTCCACGTCCTTTTCGTCTTCAGTGGGTATCTCCACGGAAAGGTTGTGAAATGCTACCTTAGAACCTGAAGCGGAGAAGCGCTTCCTCCTCAACTCAGCACTATCAGCTAAGTTAGGTCTCGAAAACGATTGATCGCCTGGTGCGCCTTCTGAGCTTACTGAGATTTTCTTTTCCAAAAATTGTTTCTTTGCAAAGATGGGTGAATCTTTCAAACCCGAGTCTTCCTGTGAACCCTCAGAGGACCAAGAAACTCTACCATGTCTGAAAGGTTCACCTCCACCTATCTTTCGACCGCCGACGGGAGAGATTTTTCTGAGTTCTTTCTCTAGCACAGCTAAGGATACAGCCGTGCTTTGCCTTCGCACGGCTTCCAACGTTTCCTGTGTCCTTGGGACCTCTCTGTCTGACTTATCCTCCGCCGACCCCTGAGAAGACGTGGACTCGGAAGGAGAGTTTTTAAATTCATTGCGTTTTTGTTCTACTTGAATTCTGTTACTCGAGCTTTTGGCGAAAGAGTGCTTCCTCACTGTTTTCGTTTTCATGACGTTAATTGTATCCAATGCTTGCGCTTCGATCTTCTTGTTATCAAGCAAGTCTTTTTCAATTGTCTTCAATTCCCGATTCACTTGTTCAAGTCTCTCCTCAACACGATGTCTATCCTCAGTGCTCGCTGCCTCATCTTTCCCCAGAAACTTCTTCACAGTGTTTTTCTTTTCTTGTGTCTTATTTATTTTCTTTTTCAACACATCTTTCTCAAGCGTAAGTGAGTTTCGGCGCTTCTTTAATAGCGTTTCCTTTTTCAGAGTTTTGAGTCTTTCTTCCTCTGCAAGTTTCTCAAACTGCTCTATAATCTTATTAGCGCCTAGCTTCGGGGAAGATGGACTAAGTTCTGTATTCGCCCCTTGTGTCGTCGACAAAGACAGAGTTCTACGCTTTGTTTCGTCGATCGCTGCTTCTCCACTTGTGGGCTCAGACATCACTCCATCCGGGGTAATAGAAGCAGAACGACGCTCTTTCAAAGCCGCGGCCGCTGACCTCTGCCATGCTTTTTGGGCCTTCTTAACTTTGTCAAATCTCTGTTGCCCTATCTGTTGCATCAACTGCTGATCTTGGAGAAGTTTCAATACGCCATCAAGTGATGTGGGTCTACAAGCGAAAGTACTTGGCTTTGGCAAACCTTCACTAGGACTGTTTGTTGATAATGTTTCTTCGATTTTCTGCGACCCTACCGGAGAGTTAGAGCTGGTCTCTTGAATCTCGTCGTTTTTCTGATAAATGTCGGCTGGGGACTGATCTGTCGCACAGAATGAGGAAGTTTGGCCAACATCTCTGGATTTATGTTCTGTTTCAACATTCACTACACCGCTGCGTTCACCTTTAGAGCTGAAAGAGTAGATCGTAATTTGACTTAGTCATTTCAGTCGCAGTTGAAGGCCCTAAGGTGCTTAGAAAAGACAAATTTGAGAATGGTGTTCGTCCAATCAAGGAGAAAATATTTTCTATTGACATTACCATTCTCTTGCTGGTTATTTAAAATGTTTTTTAGTTTTGGAAAGGAGACCATTTTAACCATAAATGACTAACAGAACTTCCAAATAATTTATGCCGTTAATTTGTGAATAAAAAAGGAAGAAATTTTGCTTGGACGGGGAGCTTGCTGATTTCTGCCAACTTTCCCACTCGCTATCTCTGAAAAAGTATGGTTCATACCACCAGTTTTCCATCGTTTCCAATAATTTTACCAGTCAGCCTAATCAGTATAAATTCCTTGTTACTCAGTTCCACTTCGCTCTGAATTACATTAAGGGTCGTCCATATGTGAGTATTTCATTTAGGTACAAACCTTTCAATGGCGTCTGCTTCTTCTGCTACTACCCTCAGCAACCTCATCCAACTTAACATCTCCTTCTCCGAATCAGCGGCAAAACATAAATCCTCTTTTTCTGAAGGAACATTCAGTTCAAAACTAAACTTCTTAGTTTTTTTGCTGCCGCACCGTACTTCGCATTGTCTCAGGGGGATCGATCTCGTTGGCACCATTTCATCAGGTCGTCTGAACAGATGCAGTTTATCCTTCTGTAACACACACCATCGCTTTGTCCACAGCCCTTTACCACTCCTCATAAAAAGACAGGAAGAGTGTTTCACGTTCGCAATAAGTTCCTGAGACACTTGCACATTTGGTACCGTGCGACTGCGACGTTTTCGCTTGCCAGGAAAATGGGCGATGGCTGGTGTGGCGTTAGAGATTGAGCGGTGAAGTTTACTTCTGGTCTTTCTCTCTTCCTCCTGTATTGAAGAGAACCAACGCATTTTAGTGCTAAGCTATGTTTGTAACTTCCCATAAATTTATTTTGCAGTAGACTGACATTAGACTCGCGATTACAGCTTTTCAAGGTTTCAGCACACAGAGTACCTGCTCTCCTTCGGAAAAGGATCGCCATCTTTCAACTGGCTCAGGTTGCAGCGGTTCATTTCTAGCAGCAGATTCGCTCTCATCACTCTCTGAGTTAGACACGTCACCAGCTGTAGACGGCTGAAAGACAAAAAAAATCTTGCTCAGAATAAGGGACTTCGAAAAATGAGAGGCTTTTCCTGATTTACCCGAGGTCTAATAATCGCAAAGCTCATCGAGGTTAAATTTTGATTCCCCACATTACAACTGAATTAACACCTTTTGTCGACCTCTGATACTTCAAGCCACTAACCCGAGGTGATGGATTAAGCGGAGTGTTTGGTCTCACAGGATGACCAGTTGGTGATGTGGGCGCCTCTTCTGTCTTCTGAAACACGTCATCTCTATCGATTGAATCACCCTGGGTTTTACCCAGTAGGCCTCGGTGTGTTCTGTCTTCGTCCGTTGAGCTCCAAGTTAACACTGGTCTTCGGGGATTCTTGGGTGAGTTAACGATGGACCCACTTATTGCCTTCTTCCACTCATTGTACTCTGTTTGAAAAGGGTAAGAAAATTTACGTTAGTGTATCGATTAAGAAACTTCGATGCTAACATACAGTTCTACTTAACGTCTTAAAATCATTGTCTTCTCCCTCATTGTTGTTCTTTTGTTTACATTACTTAAATTAAATTACTTGCGACCCTTATCAAATCTGCATATAAATGGGCACTAAAAACATAAAAGCAGTTAGTGGCAATCTCGTTCGTGCGATTTCTTCATCCACACCTGATTCGCTTTGGGCTTGCAAAAAGTGTGTTCTCCCAAGAGCTCGACGTATCTCCATGACAAATGGTCGTTGTTGATCGCCCCTGTCTTTCACCACACAGTTGCTGAGCTTTAATTTCACCACAACTGAGTCCTCGCTGTCTTTATCATCGTGTATATGTAGAGTATGATTCTCAAGTTTTACCTTAAAAAGACAAACAAATTTAAAAAGAAACAAATGAATAGAAATGTTAATCAAAGAGATCGTTAAAGCGATGAATCCGGCTCACGTCAGTTCGCTCTTCTCGTTTACTGGCAAAGCGGTTCTCAGGACGGGGAGAAGGTGAGACTGAACTCGATAAGTATCGATGGCAAGGTTAATATCGACTCATCTATAATATTACAATATAACAACATATTTAGGCGATTATTGATCAGATCATATGTAATCATATCAATAATAAAAATAAAGGCTTCTTAAATCGCATAGATTTCAAATGACTGCTTCCAATCGTGATAAATTGATGAGGCCATCATCAAGGGTAACATTCTTAAAATGTCGTTAACCTTCATATATTGCAGCAGGCGGTCTGAAACTGAAATATCACTTGCCTTGCCTTTTTTTCCTAAACGTTCTATTGGCTGCACCTTAAACACGGGTGAAAACTTGGCTCAAACTTTACATTAAAATGTATCTTTCTTCTTTGAAAGAAAGAAGTTTCATACATCAGTTTTCATCAAATTCAAAGTACCGATCGATTGCCCTTGGTTATGATTGAGGCATCTTAATTGATCCGAGCTGGATTATTTTAGCTAGTAAGGTCGAATATAATACCAAAAGGAAGATCGGAGGAAAAGGTGGGATAGAGGAAGGGCAGGCAAAAGAACTTTTTCCCATATACAGTATATTACCCATGCCGCATATGAGAAAATGTCTACCAGATGGTACGATAAGGCATAATAAACTATTCGGTCACAGTTACTAAGCCAATATGATAAACAAGGTCAACGGCTACCCATAAAACCCGCCCGTCACACAGCGGCGAAATTAAACAGGACCAATACTATGAGTTTTAGTATTGCACGGAGCTGGTGCAACCGTTAATGAGTCATTGTTGTTTTGATGTTAACAAAATTGCATAACAATAACAGCTGGTTGTCACGTCAATAAAACTTGTGTTAACACATAACTTGTGTTATCTCATCGATGTTGGGTCGCAGAATCAAACTACAAAACAAACAAAGAAATTCGCTGCTTGTAACCTTATTTGTCAAAGGTCCAAGACTACTTCATGCAAGCTTCAACACTTAACAATGGTAAATTAGCTTTCAAATGCTCCCTCATAATCAACACCTCGATGTTAGATAAATGCGGCCACCAGCGTCTCCACGAAAAAAAAATCAACTCGATAATAAGTTGTGGGAAAAACGAAGCGTTTTATGCCACGAACAATGTATTAAAGAAAATTATGGTAACTGCAAAGATTTAGTCAGTTTGCGAAAGTGTTACAGGTAATGATGAAAAATTTTCAGTTTTCAATTATAGCTTAGATGCAAAGCCTGTGATGATTCAATACCCTCCGTCTCGGCTACTTATACTTTGGTTAAATATGCAGATGCTTAAATGTCACCAACTGTACAAATAAGACTAACATACCCAACATTTAAGCCACGTATCATCTTCAACGCGTTGATTAAGAAAGCCTTCCATGGTATGAGAAGTGGTTACTTCGAGTGTACAGCTTTTATTGGATCTCCGCTCCACAGTTGAAGAACCTGGAATAATAAGATTCCAGTACAATGCAAGGCCTGAATACTTGTAGTCGACAGGATGTCAGTAAAAATCCTTACACGTTTAGCATGGAAATAAATTTCACAAAATATTGTCCTGACAATGAGGGAGTAGTTAATAGTTTACGCCCACAATTTTAAACTCCTGGCAACACGTAGAAGTGTAAATGACGTTGGACACGATGTTGAATATATTGGGCGAGTGTTGCCGCTAAGTGCTAGGGAGTTTGGTTTTAACGCATCATCAATTCACACAAAAATTTATGATATTTTGGATCAGTTGAGCGGCCAAACTTTCTTCTCGTTTATGTCAATGTTTTTAAAAATACTCGATTTTCTTCGATTAAAGTTTTAGCCACTTTAGGAGAAGGAACCAAAAGAAAAATTAGTCACAAAACAGTATCAGCAATTTATCTAAATTGTTATGTAAATGTTCGTGTACACATTTTGGGAAGACACCGAAACCAAAAATAAGGGAAAGACGGTATAATGGCAGTCCACAAGCATACTGAGGAAAGATGAACCGAAAAAGTTGTGACTTCGCCAACACTTTAAATTAAAACAAAATTTTTAATAAAAGGTGAAAACGTTGTGATACAAAGACTAAAATATCAACAAAAATTTTAGTGCTCGGTGCAAACAAACTCGAAATAAGCACATTTAAGATATCCTTATGCAAGATTAAACCATCTACTCTAAATTCACCCGAAGCCTTGTATGACCTCAATTTCATCGACCTTCTGCCGTCTCCCTATTGTTTTTCAAGGATAATTTTTTTTGAGATCTCATTGCTTAAGGAAAATATTCAGTTTCATAATAGTTCTCACTAGGGGATAAAATTGGCTTTTCTGTGGTACCTGTGCAGAAAGGCTGTTCCCTTACTTGGATCAATCGATCAATGTGGTCTACCAAACTCACCTGAATCATTTCCATGTTGTACGAAAATGAAGCCGCCTTCTACACTACCAACTGTTGTAACATCTGATGCAGGAACGGCTAATTCACCAACGGGAACAGCTTTGGGTTTCGACTTACTGAGTTTGTGTCCAATTGAACTAAATAGAGACGTCTTCTTGGTGCTAACGGGAGAAGAATCCTTGCTCTCTTTGACTAATTCCTTACTCTCTGGAAGTGAAGGGCTTCCTGGTGTAGACCTGTTAGAGAGAAATCTGGGAGACATGCCTGGGGTTTTCTCGGGTGAATCTGAAACGGGACCTGCATGACAAGGAAGGAAAGTGTAATTTTTATTGTAAAGAGCGAACTTTCCCACGGAGATATTATCGCGTCGGACGGGCATACTGATACAATGCGTTTCAAGTGAGAAAAAAAAAACAAAAACATAGCAAAACACGTACACACTCACAAAAACAATTAAAGGCAGAGGAGAAAGCTATCCTAGTACGATACCCCGGATGTACTTCGCCCATACGTGATTTTCTCGCCGAAAGAGAAGCGCGAAAACACACAATCTGTGTATTTTGTGTTGTTTTTCCGGTAGAAAAACGAAACGGAAGGCAAAATTAGAAGATAAAAGACTTAAACAGTGAGTAAAATTAGTTTATCAAAACAAAGACATTCATAGCTGCTTTATTATCATTATTTTTTAACGTATGGTTCAGCGTAACTATAGGTTTTAAGGGATGCCATCTTGTAACAAAAACTAAGAATTCAGCAGTTTAAAGGCGCTCGAAAGTCACTCACTTGGAAAATTCTCAATCGATTTTATTTCGTCATTTAGAACCATTATCCATTCCTCTTGTTCAGCGTCATTTTCTGCGGCGAAAAGCAATTCTTCTTTTTCACCCATCAAGACAAATACGTGCTGCTTGTCATCAGGTTCAGTGCCTTCTATCACTGGTTTTACTGATGCACCACGTAGAGGAACCTGGAGCTCAGCAGTTCCTATTCCGAAGTCTTTGTAACAAAATAGAGAGAGCTCTTTGACAACACACCATCGATTTTTCCAATTCATTCCTTTCTTTCGAAGTAGATATCCCGAAAATGTGGTGCTTTGAGAGGAAGTCAACTCACGTGGAGTTTTAATGTCATCTTTACGACCTGCAGGCAACAACAATTAAAAAATAACGAAATGGAATAATTTTATGCACTTGCACTCTGGCATGAGTGAGAATTCAAACCACCTCGACATACGGTGCGTATTCGAAGAGTAATCATTGAATACTCTGGTACTCACCTTTCTTAAAGAAAGAGCCTGTTATCCTTGACTTGACACGCAAAGCTTTAGAAGACAATGAATCAGCCAAGGAGCCATGCCTTTTCACTTTTGAGCCTGGACTTTGAAGGTCTGAGACTGACAATGACTTCCCTTCACAACTGCTGACTGATAAAAAACTTCCATCTTGGTGATCTATAGCAGAAGTCATTTTTGACAATTAATGACTTTTTATTTGCAAACATAAATTAATTTGTCACTGCCCTGTGATAATAAAGACATGCGAAAGATCCAGCACTATGATCTTATGATTTTATTACATTTTTGGAATAGACTGAGTGTATTTTCAACATCTTATATTTACAATGATTGATTGATTGATCTATTCATTTATTGGTTAGTTTAGTTATTTATTCAAGTATGTTTGCTGTTTTTTCTTTTCAAGAGGAGCCTCCTTGCTAGGGAGCATAAAACCATATTTTCATCAAAATCTGCAAAGGTAAAGTGAATGACCTTGAACTTACCAACTTTGTTGACATTATTAGAAGAGTAAGTCTTGAAAATGCTCTTTTTCTTTTTTCTTCCTTCAGGAGAAACCTCACACCCTTGTATAATGTCTGGTAAAATCTTTGATTTAAAAAAAGTTTTTCAGTGAATGAGAGAGAAACATTGCAAGTCACATATTTTACCTTGAAATTACTGACTGGCAACATATTCAAATGTAAGCCAACTCCTTTTTTGGCAGAGAAAATAGAATTAATTAAATTAATAGTGCTATTCTCTATCAGTTACCTCTTGCAGTTCCCTAAATGACTCGACATCATCCAATCCTGGTGAGAGATCATTATTCATAACATGCATTTCTTCTTCATCTTCTTCAACACCAGACATTTTCCATGGAGAAAGAGACCCCGTAACAACATTATCATTATTATCACTCCCACTCCTGCAAGGTTCCAAAATTCTGGTTCCCTCAAGACAAACAGAGACCTTCCTTCTCCGGGTCTGATTCTGCTTTTCAAGTTCTTCAGTACAAGGGTTACTTTTGTTGGGGTCTTTTTCAGACTTGGTCAACTTAAGGTAAGTATCATATGAAATAGCTGGTTGATTCTCTGGTGAGTCTGGACTGCTATCATCCTCTAAAAGCCTTGAAAGGACATAGTTTATCACATATACCCACTCCTGTCTTGAATGATCTTCTGTTGTTGCAAAAGTGATTGTCTCATGAATTCTTGGAACTGATAGAGTAATGGGGAACATTCTACTTTTCTTTCTATCTGTTGGAATAATTTTTGCTCCCTTAAGGGGAATCTGAAACAACATCTTCGTCTCAGACCTATGTCGAAAACATGTTAAGCATTGGTCATTGATGGAAAACCATCTTTTGTGCCATCCTGGATGTTCCCTAATGTACATCACACCACTATGAAGTTCTCCAAATTCATTTGGTTGAAGGTCAAGTGTCTGAACAGAGTAGTCCACGAAGACATTATCTCCTGTGAAGTAACCTTCTTCATGACCATTCACATCACTTTCCCAGCCATCAAGCACTTCAACTTCTGCACTGCTTGTTTCTGAGATTATTGTGTCTCGAGACCAAGCATCCACTGAATCCAGCATGGGTACTTTGAGAGTATCTTTATGTGATGTTGCATCTGACTGAGGCAATGAAGTACTGCATAGAAAGATTCCACTTTCCTCCGTGCTATCTGTCCTTTTGTGACATGGCAGTATTTCTTCACTTTCCTGCAGGTAATGAGAACTTTATTAAAAAATTGTTACATTTGTCACTCACAAAGCCCAAATTGTTCAATATTGTATTTGTTTTGGCAGGACTGGCAAGATATTAGAAACTCTGAGAAGTATCTAATGCTAAGATGCAAAATTATGAAAAACTTTGTTTGGACAGGAAACAACACATTTGAGGAAATGGTACAATAATTCAGGTTTAGATTGCATTTTAGTCAAGCAGCACTTCATGAACTTCTTTATCACAATCATAATATTTTGGCTCTGAAATACTTATCATTTGGTATTCTAAAATGTTTTTGGCAAAGTATCAACCAAAATTTCTGTGTAAATTGTCACCTATGTATGGGAAGAACTAAATGTAAACCTGTCAACTTTTCTTGGTCTAGTAATTAATATTTCCCTCACCTAAAACCTGAACTTCCAAAAATTGTTCAAAACAACTTCAGTACTTCTTTTACTGAGGTGCAAAGGAGTTGCTGGTTGACAATTAGAACTCTCCCAGCTATGCAATACTTATGACATGACGTTATCAGGTCTAAAATCAGTTCACTGTAAACAAGTTTTGCATATTTTGTGCATGATATAATCAAGGAATAACACTGAATTCAGGTTACTCTCGTAAAGGAAACCAGGATGGTCAAAAGATGAGAACTTAATTCGATCAAAAAATGTGTGGTCTGCCTTTTTACTTAATTTTTTCCCTCCTCAAGAAATGCATTTGGATGATAATGTAAATGTAATCTGAACTCACATGCTGGACAAACAGCAAACTTAGTGTTAACCTTTAGGACAGTAGATGTGAAATGTTAGATGTAGCAATTTAAAACTGTTAACTGATTGTAGAGGTAAGAGGTCAAACATGCTGCTGCATGACACATTAAGATCAGGTATGATGTTGATTGTGGATTGTTGTCTAAATGCAACAAAGGACTATTCTAAGGATTGAGTATATAGTGTGACATGGCTTCTCTTAGTTCTAATCCAAATCTATGAAAGATTGCATGAAACCCCACTTTGATTCTTTACAACATGTGTAAAATCAATTATTTTACAGGGATGCATGTTATGTTAAAAATGCATCAACCACCATGTCACCCCTCCAACTTTCATACTTGTCAACCTGGCTGAAAAAATAACATTATTATCTATACTGCAACACCCTACATGTATGTACCACTGTTAAAGATTCATGTTGCAGATTAGACTCTTTCAATAAGATGTAACTCAATGTTGACCTCAGCCCGTTAAAAAAAAAAAAGAAACAACTAGAGTAAAGTTTAAGAAAAGCATGAAGTCAACATTCCCTTAACTCCCCAATGATGAAACAATATATGTAAAAGAAACAAATTTTTTTGGATGATGCACATGGAAATCTTGCTAGTTTGTAACATGCTTTCCATTTCGTGAACAGCTCAAATACTTTAACTGTTTAAATTCTTTAAATAAAATCTAACAAAGAATGGAGGGAAGAAAGGTCTTGAATAAGACCGTTTTAAAAATGAATGGTACGATACTTCCTGACAATTACTTAAAAAAAAAGAGCCATCACCAGTTGAATACGGTAATTCGCAGAATCGTCTTTTTTCAGACACATTTTTGCATAGAGTGAAAATTTTTGAGTCCAGTCACACCAGAAGAAAAGCGCTTTAATTATAGTCAAACTTGAAAAGAAATTGAAAGAGTTTATTACTTTCATCATGAGCACCGTTGAAATGCTTAATCATCCCCTCGAATTAGTCTACTTAAAAAATTCTGTGACAATCCGGTGGACATACTTGACGGAATAGCAATTTAAACATTTCCCCCACTTTTTAAAGATTCAAAAATCCCAAAAAATTTACGATAATTATAATAATAATTTTAAAAAATTAAAAAAAAACCATCAAAAACGAAAACAAGCCAACAATGAAAGATGAAACATCGCGATTATCGCTAATGAGTGATTTGAAATCAATTATCTCTAATCTCAAATTTAATTTTTGAGGCGACAAGCATGGACAGAAGATAGCGTTAAAGCGGAAAAACAAATGTTCTAGAATTGGTCTTCATCTTGGCGTCAAGCGCACTTATAAATGCTTCACAGTCCTTTTGACCTACCCGCTAAAAAATTCCCAGAGTTCCTTTACGGTGGGAAAATAACACCATAATAAAGGATTACCGAGACCTTTTATCAGCAACTAAAACCAATTGTAGTGAAAAGGTCAGGCAATTATGCTAACCACACAAGCAGTTAGGCGGAAAATAGTAACAGCGACAAAGAAGCTAAGAACCAAGGTTAAAACTGCTTCAATGAATTCTAGTTTGGATGAAGTGGCTTCTACATACGCACTTATCCAAGTTTCTTGATAGCCCGAATGCTCAAACTTTTACTTGGGATGTACGACAACGTTCATTTATTTTAACTATTCGATTAATCATGGGGACATATTTTTGCAGGGAAGTGCAAGAGTATGTAATAAATGTCACTGCTTCCTGCGAATTCTACTTCCCTAATTAGTATACTTCCACCCACTATTACACGATGAAACGTACGCGATCGTTCGAGTATGAAAGACAAAGAATACCTGGTAGTTAACGACTACTTAAGTCGTAGGCCTTTCCCACTTCCTTCCAAGAGTATTATCAACCAAAGCTTGTGGTTTGCCGTCCAATGAATTAATTATTTTCCTTCTCAAGAAAGCGATAAATACACGAAACGGATAATTGTTTTATCACACAGTTGCGGATGCTCTTGATATCATCAAAGAGATTCGAAATGTCAGTATAAAACCACTACGCACTGACGCATGGCTGAGCAAATGCCAAGGAGAGAAAAGATTCAACCAGTGTAACGGACAGAAATAAGAAAAAGAATAATAGAAAAAGATCTGATCATCATTCACATCGTTCCACACGCCCGCGACCGATTAACCATTTACCCGTAGTGGACAATTTAACGCATACTGCCTACTACTTACTTGCACGCGCTTAAATACAAGGCAATATTCACTGCGATCATTAGCCCGCAGTTAACAAACACGTTGAAAAGAATAAATAAATACCTTTTCGTCTGGTTCAGCTGTTTCTTCGGGCCAATGCACTTGCTCTGTGTTGTCGTGCGAGTAACCTTTGTTGAAAACAAGGTCGTCGTCTGACCGTAAAAGTAGCGAATGTTGTTGAGGTGATTCCTTGTCGTTACTTGTCACAGTATTTATTTCATCAGATTGAGGGGCAGATCCGAGGTTTTTAAGAATACTCACAAATTCAAGCCGCAAATTTTCTCCTTTTTCGCTCAGATTTTCCGCCGCTAAAATGTCCTCTAGGAACTCGTGTACTCCAGGTAGAGCAAATTTAATCACTATAAAAGAAAAGGCCCACTAAAATTGTGATTTACTAAGCTGAAAAGAATAATTATATCAGACCCTACATTTATAGTCCTAACATATATTGGAAGAATAAAATTAAAAAAAAAAAAGAAAAAAAAAAGACTCCATCCGAAATGAATGGATTGCAGTGGTGCGCGGGATTCAACAAAGCAAACGTGTACGAGGAATCTGAAGGGATACGTATCGACGGGTTCGAAAACATCAAAATATCACTGATCTGTCAAGACTAGCGAACACTACCTGCCAGTTGGTGTTGTTCAGAAAGACCTTTGATAAATTCGTCAACATTCATCTCTCATTCGCCAAGCACGAAAAATCATTGCTGTGAAACAAACATTGCTGTCCTCCGCAAGGTCGCAATTGAAATAGGAGCCACACAACAAGTTGGACATTTGAGTCTCCTGCGGAATGTACACACGACGGACAGTTCGCCCCACTGTTGTGTTACCGGATATCCTCGGCGCCTCAACCTCTGAGGACAATTGTCTCGAGAATGTGACACTATCTGAGGAGCACTCTTAAGCTCGTATGCTATATACAAAGTCTCTTGTCTAACTTTCCTGATAATGTGTTACAGAGCTAGTGGCCTGCATACATACATTTTCAGCATCATTAATTTTTGCTCATCGGACAGCCACTTTGTTATCTACCTGATGATTGATTTTAGTGCGCATGGCAACGGAGAATTAACAATACAACTGTCAAAGAGTTATCAAGTTTGTATTAACTTGATTATTTGTCTTTCATCTCATTGGACACAAACACAACAGACTTCGGTTACTAATTAAACAGCGCGGGTTGAACTATTATTCAACATGACGACACTGTAGTTACAACGGCTCAAGCGTATGGGAAAAAAAGCAAATAAAGTGATGCTTCCAAATCCTTTCAAAGAGTTATAACATTAAACAAAGCTTTGCACACGACATGAGAAACGATGACTGCGTGCAACTTAAGCCCGCGTGAGGCAGCCTTCCTCTTCGCCTATGATATCTTGATCTTTTTGCAACACGCACCGTAAAGACTTGAGGACGCTTGGCTTAGGGCGAGAAGCAGTTTTCTTTCATATTTTAATTTTCTGTCAAGGACGTGAGAATGAAGTTTTACCATTGTTAAGGCCACAAAGTCAACACTGATTTATTGAGCGGAACGGCCATATATCGAAGATAAGTAGCCCTACACGTCTGACTAAAAAACCTAAATTCGTAACCTCAACTTCACGGAGTTCTCAAATGCCAATTAGTATCAAAGTGTTTTTTTCTTCGTTACCTATTCATAACAAGAAATTGTAAAGTTTAGCAGGGACTGTTTGGTGCGGTTTGGAACACACTTTTATTCTTTCCGAATTCTTGATGCGCTCTCCTAACGACTTCTGAACCGATAAGCGCTGTCCTTAGGGATGAACAAGAAATGCAAAAGTGCCAGAATGAATTTGTGCAATTTATATTAACTATTGAGTTATGTCCTGCGTAAGGAGGACCATATGTCAAGGCAAGGTTACTAATGTAAGATAGCGAGATAGCACAGCATCCTATGCATTTGCCAAAGCATTTGTTTGTCTCGCTGAGATGTAATCACTTTAGCTGGAATTACTCAGTTCTAAGCTCTTTTGCTCAATAGATAACATCAGATATCAGATTGAGAACGTCACTTACCGTTAACAAAGACGCGTGGTTCGTTAAAAAGGCTACAAGAAAGATGTGTCTGTATTCTTGTCAATCGCACGCTGGGAAACGTCGTTTTTGGACGTATCACAAAGAAAACAACTTCTTGGAGGCAACTAAGTGACGTCAAGACGTCATGCTCGAGTTGAAGGTTTTTATTCCCTCGTAACTCACAAGGGATTTCATTTGAAAAGAAAGCATGTTAGCTGACGCAAAGGTCTATCATATCATTCCTTTTGACTAATCATTGATACCGCCACCGAATTTAGAAGTCTGCGGGAGTTGTAAAAGCCTGTGAGTTTTCGTTGCAGGATTTTGCTTAAGCTTATCATAAAAACTCTTAGTTTTTACTTTAACTCTCTAACATCCTTTCTCTTCTAGAATGTGAGCTATGCCTGCTCTTTTGTCTGTTTCAAATTAAGGAAAGAAAAGGAAAAGAGATCATGTAGCATTGTTATGGTGTTAATTGCAACATTCGTGATTGCCGATGAGACCTCATTCATGCAAGTCAACGACGCGTAGCATGCGAAATCAGAATTACTGATTTATTTCAATTTCGTTAAAAATATTTCCATTTTTTTTGGAAAAAATAGATTACTTTATTTTTTTCATTGTTTAGATATTCATGACCCAAACATACCAGTGCCAGAGAAACGAACAATTAGTATCTTGTACTCTTAGCAGCGCATAGCAACGTCAAAGCAATGGCTGACTAACATACTGGCCCCAAGGTTGTGATAAGAAAAGTAAATAGTTACAAATCTACGTTATTACTTGATTGTTCACTGCAAAAACATCGGAGCCATTAAATTGTTGATCATAGACTTCTGTTGTCAAGTTCTCTATTTTATCGTATTTCCTTAGACCCCTACACAGTTTTTTTGTTTATCAAACTTCTGAGTAGAGTAGTTAGTGAAAAAACTTCTCGACGGCGCATTGCAGCCTCTAAAGTTGCCAAGTATCAGGGTCGTAACGAGGTATATTTTTTCGTCGCTGATCCCGTATTTTTACGCAAATTTTTAGAGTGATCTGTTGAAAACCACAGAGGATGTAATTCCGTAAAGCCGTGATACTTTACAGACTTTTATGTAATGGAGGGACGAAACTTCTCTCTAACCAAGCACTGGTCCATACCAAGGGTTACATAGCTACGGAGAGGTCTTTTTTACGCATACGGAAGTAGTTTGCGTCGAACATGACCATTTCAACTAGCTTCCTCCAGTTTGTTTATATGGGGCACCAATGACATTTATCGGGAAATAACATGCAAGGCGGATCTTTTTTCTTGTTTACCCTCAGTTGTTTGCTGACAGATTCTTTGTTTCTTACAACCAGAGCTAAGCGAATATCCATTGGCTTGTCATGAGGAACTAATCAAATGAGATCTGACCATAGCAGAGCAAACGGGGCTCATTGGGGGTCAAGACAACTAGTGAGAAAAACTAGAGAGACACCGTGTCTAGTGTACGTGGCGCTTCAGTTCGGCCACGAAAGAAAGATAACTAGTTGATTTCCGGCCACTTGATGACGTAATGCTTTCGCTTGACTTCGTTTGTTGTGCGCTAATAGATGAAGAGCAAACTATTGCACTAAACATAATCGTGAGTGAATGAAAGGCGGACGGTAACCAACTCCGGATTATTTCGTGAATCACGAACAAATCTTATGCTCGCACTCCGCATTTAGTTCGCTAATCCGCTCATGGCATCCAAGCTAAACGAGCTACATTTTTCGGGGAAGACATTTGGCACCTTTCGTGCTACTTTCGTGGACTGCTAAGGATTAAACTGCAGGTTGTCCGAAAACAACGATGGAATTAAGTGTTGCTGTATATTTCAGACAAGTTATATGAATGGCATAGTACTATATAGATATAATTGAATAAAAAACTCCCTCTTGCTCCGATCAACCTGCTGAGGTAAAGACACTGAAATCAGTATACTCTCTTTCATAATTTTGTTCTTTTATGGCTGAGTTGAGCCCAAGAGCCCCCTTTCTTTACGGTACCGTGACGAACAATAGTCAGTCGGTCGGCTTCTGCTCAAAGACATGTAAATACCACAGCAATGACACAAGATTCGCCTTGGAGTAAACCGACGTTTACTCGCACAAGGGGTGGTTTAAATAATCCAAAATTATGTCGTCACTAGATTCTAACATATTCGACTCGTCATCATAGGACAAACTTTATTGTCTGGTCTTCTGTTAAACGCTAAAATCAAACTCTTGAGATACTTCAAGTCACGACCATTAGTAATGAGTTAAGAATGTAACCCCTGCCCTATTTGCTAAACGGCAGCCCCCTCTCAACACGCAATTCAGTCCCACGGCCCGATGTAATGTAGTCAAGGCGGCAGATGGAAAGCCATGTACAAACTTTACATTACGTAATACCTATAAAAGAAGGAAAATTACCTTTGGACACGGTTGAAAAAAACAGCAGACTATGGCTTGCCTGAGGTTTTTATTCTTTCTTGCCCGCTATCATACGACTTCCCTGGATTAAGAACAGGAAGTCACTTGCTCTTATTGTAAGCGGGAACGAACGTGCGCCTGCCGATGACGTTACAAATCATTCTTACCAACTTAAAAAAACAAAAAAACTTGTCACGCGCGAAAACTGATACGTGACCCGAGCAGAAACTTCCTTAGGTTTTTTCTCTGCTTTCGTTTTCGTTTGATCATTTGCCTCTGTGTTTTATCCTTTTAAATTCATTTTAATCTTATGATTTAATAAACCTGAAAATAACATTTCATAGTTCCCGGTCTACAACGTTTTCATCCAACCCTTTCCTGGCGCCTTGTTGTTTCTGTCCATTGTGTGGAAAGTACTTTCAAGGTTTTCTTTAGTTTCAGTCTAATAACCATGTTTCCTATTTGGCTTTAACTCGTACATTTTTCTTTTGTGGCCTTTTTTTTCGCTACCTTTCTGGCGTGAAAAAAACGTTCAGACCTAGCAGTAATTAACTTTAGTAAGCTCGTTAACCGCTAGTATTTGCTTTCCGAATAAACATGTTATTCTGATCATTTTCCATTGGCTGTTTGAAAAATTACCGCTCGAATGACCAATCTGGGAATTAAAACTTTTGTTTGTGGCTACTTGATAGTCATCTGCCTGACTTCATCATCGTCTTTCTTCGGGTGAGATAGCTGAGCAAGGCTACAACGCGTTCGCAAAACTGTGAAAACAGTTCCCGAATCGTTTACTTTCGTGAGGAAATGTACGATTAGTGAGCTAATCCTGTACGTTAACATCCTTTCTGCTTTAACCACATGTTAAACGCGTTAGCTAATCCCTAAAATAAGTGATCACGTTCCTGAAGGGTTCTTCAGAGGTTAATTAAATACAAGAATGCCGACTGATATTGCCTGAAAGGTCAAAATGGATTTTCTCTCTGTTAACCTGATGCTCCATCATCTATAACGTATACGAGAGTTCTTTTCACGGATTAGTATTTTGTTAAGGCTGGGTCTTGATTGCTGACCCTTGATTGCGAAAAAACAAAACAAAAATAGTCTAAGGAGTGAGTGGCGTAGGTGGGTGCGCGCGAAATAAAGCAGTCAATGTTCACTGTCGTATAGTTAAAAATAAAAACTGTAGTGGTCAGCAGTGACCGTGACGTTACCTTTTTTCACAAAAAACGTACCCCGTGAGGTTAGAAACCTTCCATTATGACTGACTTAAGATATTACTGTGGTAGCTGTCGTTATCATTAACACTACATTGCTAGGCACTTTAGTCATCCAATAAGGATGCAGCTACTTGTTAATGTCACGCTCGAGACGCAACTATTAATTCAAAAAAGTGCACCATACCCTAGAACTCACTACAAACTTATTATAAATTTGAGGAACCAAGAACTATGAAGCTGTTAGTCTCACCGGAAAGTCCTTACCATCAATAACAGTCAGAATTGCAATTGAAGAGAAGGACGAATACGCATTGTTACAAAGTTATGAACTTTTCACAGTTAAAAAGAAGACTTGACGGTACTCGCGTAAATATGGAAAAATCATCTACTCTCTACCATGGCCATGGATATTTAATGTTGTTTCACTGAAAGACTTTTAACAAAGGTACGACTTAACAACTCTGAATCAAATCGATAGTACGTTACGCGAATGGATGATTCACCTTAATAAATATAATATACGGTCGAGCAGACAACAGTTAAATTATGTTAGTCGGCATACCGTAGAATCCCAATTTTAAGTCCCTTTCGAAGTCTAATCTTGTTTGGTTACAGATTGTAATTAATACTACAGCTTTAAATTTTTTTTTTCGTTTCGTTTCCTTTTGGTATTAGCTTGCCCCACCCCCTTCCTATCCCCTGTCACCCCATCAACGTAAGTCACATGTAGCGGCCTCTCGGGACAGTGTTTCTTCCGAGGCCTCATAACTGGGATTTTACACTTGCATGACCTGAGCCAATTGACAACTGCATCTACCAGTATTGATCATAATTTGCACCTGCACCAGCGATGGCTTGATGTCCGAGGCTTTCTGAACAATAAGGTATTTACATTTCACTTTCCTTGACTAAATAAAAAGCATATTGGATGGGCGAAGAAGTGACCAGTTCTCTTTCAATCTTTGACTGAAAACAGTTTTTTACATTAAAAAGGGAAGACATACATAAAAATCCTCTAAAGTGTTACAGATTTCTTTTTGACACACTCACATCCGTGATTTTCCACAAGCTGTACACATCAGTTGAGATAGTAGTTACTGATGATGAATGCATCATGACGTTCCTTGGAGCACTCTAACGTAAAGTGACTGAGGAGGGCTTCGTAATTCACTTATCGGCAGAGCCAAAGCTTTACCGCAAAAAATATTTCATTGAGCTCGAGGCTAACGTGGAAATGATGTTCTGACCAGAGCTGCAGAGGAAATTGAATTCTAATTTGTTGCTGCGAAGAATCAAACATGGCAATCCGTTATTGATAGGTTACGCTGTCTCTGTCTTACGTTCCAATGAAGACACTCGGCCAGACTTACAAACCAGTCCGCTATCTGATTTTCACTATTTACACACGGCACAGGGTAAATAGACGTCGTAATTTGAATGCTGAAAAGTAAAAACAATGGTGAACTTTGGAAAGAGAGGATAGTTCCTCCTAGCTGAGGTCGTCACTTACGTAAATCTGACAACAAAATTGATCTCTCCTCCTGCTAACACAAGTCCTGATCGACTGATTTTGCTGCCCTTCGAATGAACGGCTTCACTCAATCCGTATGCGTGCAAAAATAGATGTACCTCATCTCGATATGCAGTTTCCGTGACACAAGCCTGGAGAGACTTATGAAAAATGGCGTGTCGATTGTCAAACATGGCCAATTTGTGGGAATGACAGCTCAGTTCTTTTTCTCGATACATTCACTGTATATTCAAACTATATTCTGGACAGTAAATCCACGAATTCACCATAGTGTCACTTTATATGAGAGGTGTTAATTTTTTTCGTCCCGAACCTATACCAGATCTTCTAAAAAACATTATCTGTACCCACAGGCAGCCCAAGTATAAGGAGAGGTATGTTTTATTGAGAATTTGACTGCATTTTTTATTCCTAGGAGCGGTCGTAAATATTTCCTTACATGACCTTATTTCGCAAGATGATCGATATCATCTCGTAGCTGGAGCTATGGCTGCCTGTGCTGTACTTAGTCTAACAGTGAACAAGTTAGCTGGTGTCTGAAACGATGACTTGAAAAAGACACAACGCATGAAGACAAAGATAAATCTTCACCTGTCTCCCACGTGAAGTTCTTGTCGCTGTCTTCCATCAAATGAGGTCCAAGCTGAACTTCTGCTCTCTGAACTGACTACAATCTATAGTTGCATAGAGAAAGAGAAAAAGCAGTTCTTGAGTCTAACATTGCTTACTTACAAAACAGAAGCTTTTGTTTTTTAACTACTCGTTCGTTTGTCTCATTTAAGTTTTCCAATTTTATAAGCTCTTTATACCTTAAGTTCTACTCCCGCCGGGAGGATGATGGGCCTGAATGAGAGAGAGTGCGGACAGACAGGAGTAACTAAGATTCCGGCCACGCTGGGGTGAACCATCGAGGCTCCTGCAGCTACTGCATATGCTGTACTGCCAGTTGGGGTGGAGACGATAAGACCTGCAAAAATCAAGGTTATTAACAACGTACATGTCACGGTCATGGGAATGAATTCTCAAGGATCAACTGCAAGTTGATAATCTAATCAGCGTGATTCCTTTGAAAGCTTTTGGAAATTAGTATGCAATACACCTTTGTACACTGACGATCTAAGAAAATAAATGACAGAACAGGATGAGTGTGAAGGGACAGCATCTTACCGTCTCCTTGTACGGATGTGATGTGGTGGTCATTGCAATATATTTCTAAGTTTGTGAGGTACGAAGACGGACCACGGTCAACGACCACCTCGTTCAATACCTGTAGGGCAAAATCACATGTACCTATCATTAAAAATAATTCAAGAAAGTAGTATACCAAAAAAATAAAACTGGACTAAAAAGTTAAAGGAATTCACAGAAGACGGTAACGATTGAAATCCGAATACTGATGGTCAGCACTCTAATGTAAGACTGCAGTAAAACATCCACATGCACGAAGAGTGGATTAAGAACCTTCAGGCAAATGTGATGAATAAAGTACCCATTAAAGAGGAACTACTTCAGCATACTATAATTGAACAGGTTCTTTTTTTACAAATAATAGTAAGTATCAACGTTAGAAAACAGTGGCTTTTGACATTTATTCCATAATCTCGATTTAATCACCAAAAATACTACCTCACTCTTACATGCACAAGCCCCATCTGGTTTGAGAGTGCCCCCTCTTAGTACAGGTGGAATCAAACAATGAATTCTCAAAGCCTGTACACTATTACGCAGGTCTTAATTGTTTTTTTTTTAAATTGCTTTGTCTTTTTCTGCGTGTTTGTTTATTTTAATTTTTTTTTACGACAAGCTTAAGGCAAACTGTCATAAAACTCTTAACAAAAATGCCGGGCTCAGAGAAGAACATTCGTTATTTTAAACCCCTAATTAGGTAATTAAGCCTTTTTGCGGAGAGTCGAAATCTACAACAACAACTAAGCAGCTCCTAAACCATGAGTCAGTAATATGCTACAGATGGACAAACCAAGTGACGTGTCTTTTCCTTGTCACGCTTGATAAAGTCACACTGGAGTCTGCTTCTTAGAGTTAAGCCCGCACGACCTGTAAAATTCTCTACGTTAACAATATATCAAAAGCAATTAGAAATGCGAGTAGCTTAAGGACTATTCTCTCCGTGTAATGTTCCCTCATCATACTGATGCTCCCCTAAGGAGAGAGAACAATGCTACCATGGTACAATGAATTGCCTTTGAGTTCCCTTCCATCACGGCCAATTCCAGGCATGAAAGCTTGAGTCAATTTGAGTATATTTTAAAGAAAAGCTTGTTCTTCCTGGAGCCCCTCTTGGGGCCACAAGAAGTCAAACTCACCTTCTAAGATTTTGGTTATTTTATCTCGAAAATCTTGAAATCTAAACGACGTGAGAAATCCCAAAGAACCAAGATGAAATGCCATAACAGGAGGGCAGCTGGACTGTAAAAAGCAAAATGGTACTTGAGTTGTACTTTGGCTTTTAGTCTGCTCTTATTATTTACATGGGTTACAGAGACTTTGCTGTTAGGACTCTCTTCCCACCCACAGAAGTCACCTACAAGACTGACAGTCAGCTGTACCGTCATTAAAACGCGTTTTGACACGATTTTCAAGAGTTCAGTCTGAGGAGTGGTTGTCATTTGGTATTCTAGATAAACCGAACGGTTGCTTATTGTGTCCCCTTCATAGCAATATTTTTGGCTCGTCACTGATCAAAGCACGCGAAGGGAGCTATTCCTTTAATTATCCTTAAAGCCCTACTCAAGACTCGGACGAGGGCTCTGATGCAGCGCACTTTTACTGGATCTAACATTGCACCGGTCTCTTCACTCAGGCGGTTCACCCATACATTTACTTCTTTGCACAATCTGGAGAGCAATTCATGCTTTCTTGGTCCACTATGTTTCAAGTTGGAAAGACACAAACGATCTTGTAATTCACAAACATCTTTAGCAATAATCGAAAATTCATCAAATACCATCGACTACCGACACAAACTATTTGGATACTCACCTGAAACAAAGATGAAGCATGCAAAAGTGTTCCATCCCCTCCCATGCAGATGACAAAGTCGATTTTATCATCTAACTGGTCGCCTGAAGAGTTATCAACAGAAAAGAAATCAAACACGCGGTTATGCGTGATCAAATCACCGCATGTAATGAAAGTAAAGGTGCTCGTCTTTCTTCATCCGCAGATGATAAGAGAATATCTATTGCTTGGTGATAAATGGCTTATTTAGCATCTTTTGTTTGAAAAAAAAGATGCTTAAACCAACAAAACGTTCAGGTTCGATTCAGTTTGTATGCATACTTTCATTCATAGAGATAGGCAAGACAACTTACCCTCTTTAAAAATGCACATTTTCGATCTCACACATGTAAATTTTTCGTCTTTGCGTACTAGAAGATCCCGTACAGCAGATTCTTCCGCGTAAATAACCATTTTTCTCTCCTATGAAATTATCAATAGAAGATAGAAAAGGTATTCAACATCCAAAATAATATTTATTTCATACATAGTGAGATTTACACTGTGAAGTTCGTTCGTGTCTCCGATTGGACGAACGATGTATGTCACAGTCGTTCGCCTCCAATCTTTGAATTGAAATGTGAAAAAAAACTTAGTAAGTACGAAATAAAAACATCATACCATGGAAAATGCTTGAACGATTTTTATTCACGAGTTGCGATGCATCAAAAACTCACTCGTTCTCCGCGCTCCGTCGTGCGTTTTTTCGATGCATCGCAACTCGTGAATAAAAATCATTCGTGCGCACTTTCCATGGAATAATCTCTATATAAACTGTATATACTCCATTTGGCGCTCATTTAATGCTAGAGTATTTTTCCGCGAACAACTGTGCAGAGAAGAAAACGTTTGGGAGTGCGAACGTCGTTGAAAACTGCTGCTGAGCCTCGAGAAAACAGCCGATTATGTCCAAGGACAAATATAAACGGATTATTTCAAGCCAATTGGGCGCTAACGTGTTTATTATCCCTAAAATCTAATTGGCAATAAATGTACACATGTTTGTCTCGTCCTCTGTATACCAACAGGAAAACATTCTCCCAACTTGTGTCCATTTTTGTAAAGAAGACATTTACTGCACTGAATCCTTAGTTTACGGAAAATTGGGGGATATCAACAAATATTCTCCAGTTTTCGCAAAGATTTATATTCACCTCAGACGTGACATACCATAACATCCTGGTTCTCTAAAACATAGTACAATCAACTTTGGCCTCACCTCTGTGAGCCATCGGGTGAGTTCCTTAAAGCTTTCCGTCACCTCCTGATCCATTAGTTTTTTTATTACTAACACATTCTGGGGTGGCTTGGCCCAGGCCAAGAAGTGCTCCGAGGGGTCTACATGGTTGCTATAGCAGGAATATGGAGGAACGAAGTTGCATTTGGTTAAACATATTTAATCTGAGAGAAGACTGACATGACCCAGACGTCAATAGTAGTACTACCTCATCTACACCATGGTCTGATGTGAGACAAAAGGAAGTTTGATGGTTTGTTTGAGATTTCTCCTGGATTTCAAGCAAATATTTAGCTTTAAGCCCACCACAAAGTCGTTCATCATTACGTGATTAAGTTAAGAACATGCAAAGGCTATTATATATCTTCGTCTATAAAAAAGGTTTAACCCAGTTTCATTTGCAATACAGTTTCAGGAGGTCCGTTATCATAAAACCTCACCACTAGAATATTGTTAGTGAGAAAGCAAGTTTCAACGGTAAGATATTCACGTTTGTGTTAACTAATGACCACCCAGCACAACGTAGATATTCCACCTGTGGTATTCGAAGAAGACAAAAACGCGGTTACCTGCCTGGAAGCGAGAATATTTCCGAAAATACAAGTATATCCTAAAGACCGATCCGACCCTAAAATCAGTACTGAACCTGTATTTCCAAGAAACTATTAATCTGCGTAAATGACGTCGGGAAATAAATTAAAAACCCAACAGGACACGGAACAGTTCAAACTTGGGGCTTTACTTTTGATGGGAAATTGCCTGAGCTAATGTGTCCAACATACTAACCATTGGCACTAAAACTAACAAGAAAACTAACGAACTATTAGAAAGGGTTATTTATTAGCTAAAGCACATTTATTCAGTGAACGAAAAATAAATCGCTGCAGGTGAGAGCTATGTTTACGAAACGTCAAGGGCTATTCAAGAGAGGCTGAGAATAGATGTGTAAGGTTTCATTCAAACTTCAAACGACCGCACCCACGCAAGCCTTCATAACTTAAACAATTAGTTTAACGGTTAGAGTGTAGCAGATTTGCGTGTCTTTTGTTTGTCCTTCTTTGTTCTTTTCATAAATATCACGTCATTAAACGTCATTGATTTGAGTTACCACAAGCAACGACACAAAAAGACGAAATGAAAACCCCCCCCCCCCAGAAAAAAACCACTTAAAAACATTTAAAACAAACGAGAACGAACAATATTGACACCTTTGATTGACAACACCTTTGATTGACAACACCTTTGATTGACAACTATTACTTTGGTTATAGCAAACAAAAAATCGTAACCGTGACGAAAGTAGTTCAACATGCGGCCTTCATTAGCATAGTCACTGAGATTGTTATTGTTTTCTCGACAAAATATCTTGTTTGTGTATCTAAAACAATTAGGAAAAAGTTTTGTAAAGTCTCCAAAAATTCAGAAGATAATTTCGTTTATTTAAATAAAAATCTATATTTGTATGTTCAATTGAGCCCTATTATTATTTGGCGCAAGTGGGGATTTCAAAAACATGTCAGACTAGTTACCGAACTACTTATGCATTAGAGACAGAAGTTGAGAAGATATTTTACCAGTTTGTGGAAGCCTCCTTTGAATTTCTTTGACTCTGGTCGCTTGGAAACGGCTCAAACTGATTAGTCGGCTTCAAGTTGAATTTCCCATTTATCCATTTGCGACCCCGATGATCATTTTTCCTCTGCAATTTCTTTGCCGAAATAGCCTTCATAACATATGAACAGGGGAAGACAAAACCATTAAGAGACGATGATTCCATAACGCGGAAAACTATCTCAATCGACACGAAACATGAATTTTAACAAAGCTTGTTTCCGTTTTGTAACACGACGTCAAATATCACTCGGCGTAAAGAACGACGTTCGGCCGGCTTCTGATGAGCTGTGTATGACGATCACTCGCCAAAACGTGAGGAGCAAATGACGCCCAATAATGTGTGTTGTTATGCATATTATCAAATTAAATTAACATCATTGTTCAAGCAAGTGAAGAACCAAGCTTTTATCAATTAAGAGATCAAGCTAAAAATCAATACTCCAGATTTAACCCGAGGTTCTGAATACGCACATACAAGACGTATGTTCTACGGGTTCTACGCAAATTCAACAAGAAATATACTGATAAGGCAAGTCGTTCAAACTGATTTCCAGAGACAATCGTGACAGTGGTCGAAACACTGATAAGTGGATAATTGTAAATTGACTGGCTAAGCGAAACGTTTAAAATTTCGCAATCCTTTAGGATTTATGAGGACTATTTCATAAAAAAAATAGAGCACTAAGTTGACCATAACTGAACATTCTCTAAGGTCATGTTCATTACGCAAGCACAATTCTCTACAATCCAATGGAACATAAATGAAAGTAGGCTTTTTTACAATTCAGTATGAGTTATGGAGAAGCAATAATTAAAAATTTAGGACGCAATATGCCGAAATATCACACTTGGGGTCTCTTGGTAAAAACCTAAAAATAGTGATAACAAAACGAGAGGACACGAACCGAGGACTTGGTGGGAAGAAGTTTTGAATATCAAAGCCAATATCGCTTACAAAACACATATCATGTTTGAGATGAGCAATAATGATTTTTACATAACAAGCGATAGTTCCCAGAAGAGAGTTGCTATTCTGCCGCTACACCAGTACGAAGAACAAAAACAACTAACAGAAAAAGATGTGAAATTAGCATTAAAAAAAATAATTCTCAAATATCATCACCAAAGAAGGTAAGGAACAAATACTACGAAGAGCAAAAGCAAAATGATTTTGGTACTCGTTTGTCAGTCGCAGAGAATCCAATGACGTCAAAGTGACTAAAATAAGAATGACTTATCGACTGATTAGCAGAGGAGAGATGAAGGTAAAATTTCCGAACAGCCCCATACTACATTATACATTCAGTTCTTGGATCTAGAAAACAATGAAAAGAACAATACATTTCCATTGGGAAAACAGATTTGTTTTACAGTAGTATGGGGCTGTACGGAAATTTTACTGAGATGAATAACATAGGAGCGACTCTTACAGGTAGGATGTCAGATGATAACGAATTTTACAGCCCAGTTGTTTCTAGGCATGCTCTTGGGCTTAAAGGGACTAGGTTACGTAGTGAGCCTGCGTACCGAGTTCTTCCAGTTTGACACTTAAAGGCGTCAAATCTCTATTGTTCCCATCGTTATTAAAAAGAAGCAAAGCACGTCGGTGTAAAAACCGACAATCACGAGGTGTTTTGGTCACGTACTGTTGAGAATGATGCGAGGAAATTAAAATTCAAAATGTGGCAATTCTCGCTCTCTCTCTTAATGAAGTTATGTTCCAACTGTCTCGGGCAAGAATAAGAAATATAAGCAAACTCTCATGCACTTTAACGTCGAAGTGACACATCCAAAACATAACAGTTTTCCTGGGAGATTTATTCAGTGTAATCATTTATTCAGTGCCAGTGCTCAAAAAAAAAGAAAAAAAGAAGGGACAACATTCCAAGATTAACCGGACTGTATGGAACTCGACGGCAAAAGCTACCGTTTCCCCCCATTTCTAAATACGCACGTACGAGTTGCGACCTAGCCTTAAACATTACACTGCTAGCTCCATACTTGTCTTTTTTTTCGCCATTTTATCGGCATCTGTGGTCTACGTAAATACAATGTAAAATTTTTTAAATTGAAATTCAAGCACTTCAACATTGCATTTGATTTAATATGCTGTAGTATTTAATACATTTACCAACGAATTGCTTTTGTATTTTGGGGTAAAAAACAGCAAGTGTTTTGATATCGTAAAAGTGAAACGGAACCTTGCATGTAAAGCAGGAGAGAAATCAAAATACGACGTCTTCGCAAAAAATTTGTAATGAGTTGATAAAATTCCACTTACAATAATGGGTAAGCCATGTCATCGTGTGTCACAATAGGCAAAATACATCTGTTACACGAGTCTATTGATACCCCTGTTGTTTCTGGTCAATAGATAAAGTTATTCTTTGTAAAAAAAACGTCTGACGAACTTTCTTTGCATGTGCTTTAACGATTTTTCATAAGATCAAGATAATTCAACACCATTCTCCTTATAGGAATTTCGAATGCAAACAACCGCCAAGAGCTAGTCATATATATATCAACCAAGAATCATTTACCTCGTACATGTCCAATAATACATCGCTAAGAGGCTTACAATCACGAACGCCCGTCTTCCTAACTCGGAGCCAATTCGGCGGATCAAGATCCTAGCGAAGTAAAACTAGTTTTTCACATGATAAAAAAATGAAAGAAATGGGTACAATATACTCGTTCATGATTCAAATTACGCAGAGCAAATCTATATCGAACCAATCAGTAGGAAACAATACTTATGAAAACTGATAACGAAATGACTAAACGAAGATAAAATTTTCGGTTGAAAGTGTTAAATAACTTTTGGTTCCATATTTGCTATGTATATGGAGTATAATTTAGCCGTAAAGAATTCACGGGGACAGCGGTGCTTTTTTTTTTCCTGATAAGGACAATGACGATTCAAAAGTGATTCACTGAACCTCCCATTCCATTTACAATGCCACGATGTCAAAACTTTGAAAAGGTTTACCACACTGTTTTAATCAATATTGTTTCAAATGTTCGGCAATTAATTTTGAAAATAAGTTGTGGTCGACAGAGATAAAACCAAAACTTTCGACGCCAACATACCTCCTAAAACATCGTGGAAGTTTTTTATAAAATAAAACACTCTCACTTTCGATGGAGGAAATTCAAACACTCTTGATCAATAAGTAAGATAGTGCAAACTATTGACCAAAAATTGGCAACAAACTAACTTCTCCAAAGAGGACGTCCGAAAAGGTATCTTCGATTACGAGTTGTTGGATTGCGGGACTAACATACGGAGGGTTGGCAATCAAAGTGTGCCGCATCTACCACAGGCATCTCATGCTCACGCCACGAAAAAAGCGTAAAATATTTACAAAGAAAGCGTCAACCGTTGTGTAGGTCTGTGGGTGACCTTCACATCGACATAGTGTTTAGGTTAAGTAATCTATTGCATAACTTGCACCCGTTGCAAAAAAGTCATGTACTGGTGAAACAGGAAGACGACTACGTGACCGATTCCAAGAACACTTTCGCGAAGCAGAAAGAAATGACAAGGATGCATCCAAACCAGTCACTGGACACTTAAACCTTCCTTATCATTCTAAGCAGCATTTAGCAGTTTACGGCCTTTCCCTACATCTCTAGGTAGTTCGGAAAGCGGCAATACTCTAGAGAAAACATTTCTCAAATTGTTACTCTTAAACCGCAAAACTCTAGAGCAAAAACCTCTCAAATTGGTAATCTTAAACCCCAGTATATCACCGAACGCTTTTTATTCAACTAATTTAGTCTTGTTTTTATAGTTACAATGTTCCCGCCAATAGCGTACTCCATTTTCTGCAGAAAAAACCCACACACAAACCACAATTTTTCCATTCGCTTTGACGAAGAGCTAACGCTCGAAACTTCAGCTTAGAAACTCTTAACAGCGGCCAATTTACGTTATCAACTCAGTCGAGAATACCAAATTACCAATTCAAATTAGCTGTCCTCGAGAAAGGCCGCCATAGAGCACAACATGTGAACGACGCCCATAAAAAAAGGCATCGCATGTTTGATGTTACCTACATAGAGTGTAGCTTTTCCGCTTCCATTCTCTGTTAGTTTTTTTGCACGACCATTTTGTTTTCTTGGGATTTGGTATTTTTTCTTTTGCATAATATGGCAATTTCGCGAAACCTCGGTGAGGCCTTTGCTTCGCTACCTTCGGAATTTACCACCAACCATGATCAATCAGTTCCACAGGCGCTCGCCTAACCCTCTTTACCATTAGTTCCCTTTGTGTTAAATTGTTCAGTTAAAACGCAGTAAGCTGGACTTTTCTTGTTTTTGTGTCAATCACAAATTAAGGAAAGTACACTGACGGCCCCACAACGAATATGTTTGCCCTGTATGCTTCTTGGAGGATATTTCATTCCCTTTTAAATTCCAACCAGACCTCTAAATGAGGTGTTCTTTGTATCTGTGTGTTGAAACATCTTTTTTCTTATTTGTATCTTTATTTGCTGCCCCTTGCAATATCTTTATTCGGCTCTGTTAGCTTCTTGAGTTTGAAATTTCGCTTTCCATTGATGTTTAAATTGGGAGTCTTTATAATTCGATACATTAAAATTCAACCATGGCTCCGAGGCTTGGGGGAAAAAACATAAGAAATCACATCGAGGTTGAGGGATCAATATTTAAATTCTTTGTTTTATCCCCCTTAGCCTCGAAGCCATGTGTAACTTAGATTTTTAATACATCGAAAATAGCCAATTAAATTCTTCTTCTCCTTCATAATGACATCATATTTTGCCGATAAACTGGTGCTCTCCAAAGGACTACCCTGGCTTTGCTAAGTATTTCTTTATTTAGTATTTCTTTATTTAGTAACTAACCTGCGCTTCTTTTCATCTTCCCACAGGTGTCCTTTCCTTCCAAAGAGAAGTACAGGTGGAGGAGGATTTATTGATCTTCTCCTGGATCTGCTACCTCCGCTTCTGAAAATTAAACAATTTAACTCTTTCAACAAGAACTTATGCAGATCGCAACTGAGATCAATTTATTACATATTCTATTAAGTATCGGAGTTATGGTGAAAGCCCCACCAATTCAATATTGATGAATGTCCACCAAATTCAAATTGATTTTTAAACAATTTTTGAAGAAAGAGATCAAATACTGGAGAAGTGCGGAACAGGACAACAGTCAGTCAGTTGAAGAGTGAAGGTGAAACTGAAAGCAAATTGCAGCATATTAATTTGCGATACTATTGCTCATTCTTTTGTATTTCAACCCTTGTAGCTTCAATGAAAGCTGATCATGCTAACTATATGTATGATCCCTGTATGACAGCTATATTAAATGATAGCCATTGACGAAAGGCTGACTTCACAGCACACTCAAGGCTGGTTGATGCAGTCATGAAACTTCAAAGAGCATCCTTGATCTCCTTCATCATTGGGTATACAGTTTCTATTTCAGGTGACTCCTCTCAAAATAAAAATTCAGTTTCATCCACAGACTTGAGCTCTCATCAATAAAATTTGGTGATTTCATTATAGGGTGTGTGCTGAGATAGTGGGAAAGGATTTTATTAAGATAAAAAGGTTTTTTTTTTCCATCTTATCTTTTGCAACAACTTCATGTACATTATGGGTGTGTCTACCACCCTTAGGAGGATCCCATAAACCTGCCACAGACTATAGCTAGAGAAAGTCTGGAAAAGCTGACAAGTAACAGTGGAAAGTTTACAAGATTATGGTTTCTACCACAGCAGGGACCCTAAACATGATTTCCGGTCACTGACCACAGTGGTGAAAATGTTATACATGTGCAATATTGACCAAGTGTTAGGTTGTAATGACTGGGTATTGGCCAAGTTTTTTTTGTGTATTTATGGACAGAGATGAAGGTGAGGTCCATAATGGCTAATATCTAGCCATCTTGCCTGAACAAGCTTGGTCAGTAAAGGATTTAATACATACCAAAACAATTTCAATCTATAAGAATCATGAATGACTTGTTTCTTTCAAGAGCCGGGAAAATAGCCAACTGTGTTTGTAGCACAATAGGCCCACAACAGTCATTTACTTTTTTTCTGTTTTTACTGTCTTCTGCCACTTTTTGTGACTCCATCACAACATTATCCAAAAATTATGAACTTTGATAGTCAGCACTATGAAATGTTTTTATTGTGCAGGATCAAAGTGGGAAATCCTGAGCAGGCAAGATGGGCCAATGACAAACACAGGATTCATTTCATATTGCCCATGGGTGCTGCCAGTGATGTACAATGTAACATAAGATGTTATATTGCATATTGATAACCACTGGCAAACCTTGATATCATCAAATAAGACTGACTGCTTATTATGTTTGACCCACAGTAAAAAATTATTTTCAAGAGTTACTTAAGAAAGCAATTGACATTAGCACTTGTTTGGAAGGCATTGTTCTGATTTTCAAGTGACTAAAGCCTAATTTCATTTCTTCTCAGGTTTGTTTCAAACAAAGAGACAACTTCTCTCTAAGTCTCATTTAATTCCTAGAAATAAATCAATATCACTTTTAATTGATAATACTCCTTTCTTTGGTTCATATTTCAGACCTGTTAACTCCTTTCTAACACTTGGTCTTACTAACACCTTGGTCCCTATATCACATTATTTTTTCTTTCTCTTTTATTGGAGAAAATCCAATAAAAAAATCCGTACATAATTATAGCACTTATAAAGTCAAGGGAGTAAGGATATTATGCACTGACACCAATATTTGGTATGACCTAAGGAGTCTGGTTCCCAGAGAATGTGCAATGATTGACATATGGTTTGATGTTGAATTGAAACACTTCCTTTTTTAGAAACACAGACTTGTGAAGTATTTAATGAAGAACACAATTTTGCTTCCTCACTACTATTCGAACCTACTGAAATATCTTTCTCCAGTTTTGTCATCTTTTGTGATTGCTTTGTTCCATCACCACAAGCCTGTAAACCCATCATTATACAAGTACTTAAAATCTTAGGGTTGGTTATTCACACAAGCCCTAACCCAATAAATGGGCCTCAGGCTTTCTCTACAAGAGGGTTGATTTAATTATATTTCAGCTTTCTTGACATTATTCTCAGAACAAGTGTTCACATAAAAGACTCAGCTAAACTGAAGATTGTCTAGAACATGAATTTTCTAAACAATGCCAAAACTTTGCTTAAATAATCAGGCTGTAATAACCAACTTAATTATCTATATCTTTCTGAAAGTGATTTCAGAGATGTGCAGTGAGTTACTTATTCCAACCATCTTTCAAAAGGCCACACAACCAAGAATGCATACAAATATCTATTGCTTCAAAATTCCAACTTTCAAATTGGATAAGAGTAAAACAAGTGATTATAAGTCCCATCAAAAGTGGTAATTAACTATCATGCAAGTCTGGGCTCTAAACCTTGTGATCATTTATCAGTCATGATGGGTATTGAAAAAGAAAAAACAAAACAAAAGATGTGACATTCCATTGTCAATGGGTATGAGAAACATGAGTATGAGTACTTCTTGCACCATTTTTTCCAAAATTTTACTCTTCCAGTGGTAACAAGTGAAGCCTAGCCCCATAGATGCCATGGTCACCTCATCTATATACATGTAAAATTCATCAGCTTCCACCAGTTTCAAATTTAAAATTTAAAATTCAGACATGCTCTACAAAAAGTGGTTTGTTGTACTGTATTTGAGACAATCTTGTTTAATCAACTTTGTTGATAATGTAAATTGGTCTCCATGAAAAGTCTCTTGGACTGGCATCTCAAGCATTAGCCCTTTGTCAAAGCGAATAGAGGAGGGGTTAAATAACATAATGTCAGCTTTAGAAACTCTTAATGGTGGCCAATTTACATTATCAACACAGTTGATAGTGTAAATTGTAACGAGACAGCACTTCATCTTCTTCAGAAACTTAATTCCCCCTTCATTTTATTGTATATGGACCAGCTTAGTATAAATTATCTACACAGTTACTGCTAGATTTGAGGTGTCTTCACTGAATAGTTATAACTGTGCCTGCACTGCTCTACCTTTTATAATGGAATGTCTCAACAAAGTTATAGTTATTCATATGGAGTTGTCCACTGACAACACCACCTCATCTGTGGTGGAGCATCAGACCATAAAAATAAGTTGGTCTGGAGTTTGAATCAGTATGGACTGAATTGTTTTTTGACCCACACTTTTATCTTCTTTTATTAGAAGTGCAAGCTTAAAATTTACCCAGATTAAGCCTGATTGCAATGCCTTGGTCAATCAATCCTCCTTAAGAGAAACTTTCACCTTTAAAAAAAATTCATGTCTGTCAAGAGTTAAATAACCATTAACCTGGCTTAGTAATGCTTTCATAGGACTTTTAAAATCCAGACTTTGATTTTCAATGAAACACTCACAGGTTTTTCTTTAACCAATGTTTTCACAGTCTGTGGTGAGGATATTTTAGCTGTGATCACACTTATGTGTCCACCTGCGCCAGTTCTTTAGGGGAAATGTTAAGTTTGCAAGATCAAGGCAACTGAACATTCGTTTTTATTTGCCCCCCCCCCCCAACCCTGCACAGCTTGATATGTTTCTTGTAGTTAAATTTCTCTCACACAGGTGGTCCAATATCCACAATCACTGCGGAACTTAATTATCATAATCATGTAGTTTTCAACAGATTCCTTCGGATTCAGTCGGTGCAGACCAGTTCTTAATCAAAGAAGTACTACATACAATTTCGATTATTGGAGAAAAAACTGAGTCACTTCCAATAGATTGTCCAGAATTTGACTCAAATATCAAATAGCTTTGCAAACAGCAAGTCCATTCAAAACACTTTAAAACAATACTTCTAGTGAGTCGAATGTATACATTAAGACAGCTGTTTTCATGAGTTAGTAATTATTGTACTCATTGCAGAGCCACCAACATTTCTGCTCCTCAGTTATTATGTTTTGACTCTTTTGACCACTTTTGGAGTCAAATTTCACCGGCACTGTTGGTTGTGTTTAGGAATTGTGAGATGGACAGGAAAGATGGTGCAGTAGGTATCACAAAGCAACGTTACATAAACACAACATGAGCACGACAGTCTGGGAAATCAGCTTTAGTCTTAGCTGCCAACTGTAACGATTGTCAAGATTACACACTTTGTGAGAAACAAGCACCGTGGTAATTTTATACGATAGATAGTTACCGGAATATATGATTAGGAACTACCGGTCGAGTATATTCTTCCGACGCTTGTACATGTAAAAGTTCATTCGCCCACCAAATCGCCTATAACACTTACCCAAGTCGATAGCATCCATTAGCATTACATACTAGCCAGGATGACGATTTTTCGCTATCTCCAGCTGATTCATCATTTTCTCTTAAACGTGCTGGACCTGGAGCGCTCACTCTCCTCGCCATTTCTTGTCAACAAGCTCTCACACTTTCGAATTACTATGGTTGCGGAGGTCTGGGACTACAGTTAAACACGCACTTCCTTGGTTACGTAACCAAATTTCGTCCTCCACAAAGGCAGTATCAACAAACACTAAACATGAATATCGCTTAAGTTTTTCCGTTCGTAAAACGTGTGTAAATAGAAAAAGTATGAGTCAGCGAAAACAAGGTGAGGCTTTCTTGTTGAAAATTGGTTTGTGTAATAACCATGTTGGGAAAATGACCTGAAATCCCTTACAAATCCGTGTGATCTATAGCCATATTTGATATTGCGTGACGTAAGCTACTCGTTTCTCTGCACTCACCTGATTGACAAAACGACGAAGTAGAGATATGACAACTTTTAGTAAACGGATGCGTTTACGCACGTAAACGTTCATTTCTACGGACATGATATTCGTGAGGCGCGTTCAAATGCGTGGAAAAAACGCGACAGTAGAAATATAGCTTTAGTTAAAGAGGAAAATGTCCTATGCAAAGAGTGTGACGATGACTGCGAACGGATCTTTTCCTCAAATGAGCATTTTGAGTTACTTTATTTCTTAGGGCTACTATTAAATTATATTTGTATGGTAGGAATAGGACCTATCGCCTTTCTTTTCCACCCAAAATACGAACTGGGGCCATGACACAAGACCTGAGAGAATCTTATAACATCAATTTTGTGAAAATAAATGTAAAACGCAATGGAGTCAACATTCATGAATTCCAGGTCAGTCCAATGAGTCGTAAATACTTACTTTTTCGCGGTACTTAATTCCGATTCGTGTCTATAAGGAATAAAATTCGCAAAAAGACCAAAGATTACGTCTGCATTCAAACCATAGACATCGCCCTGTCATGATGTTATAATTAGCAGCTATGGCTAACATCGAAGCAAACAAGCATGTCGCGGTGATATTGCCATTACCAAGAGGTCAGTCAAATATTTGGAACACTTTGCCATCAAGAGGATGATGTAGCCCAGAAAAGCTTAAACTCCATTGCAACATACTTTGAGTAACCAATATCTATTGCATCTGTTCATCGACTTGTTCCTTGCATTCACTCCTTAAATAGCTCATCTTGGATAGCCATCAACGAAACGAAGATGAATGTAAAACAATGATTTTTGACTCTGATCGGGAAAACGATTTTACTGATCGATCTGAAAAAAAAACTTGAGCTTCATTTTGAAATATGAAAGATAATGTATCCGAATTGATAGCAGATGTCCTTGCTGCCTCATTCTTTCTGATTAGTCGATGAGGTATTGGTTAAGAAGGATGAAATTGGTAAAGCTGTCTATCGGTGGGCCACCCAGCCAGCATGTCAGTTTGTCAGTCAGTCAGTCATGATCAGTCAGTTAGTCAGTCAGTCAATCGCTCAGTCAGTCAGTCAGTCAGTCAGTCAGTCGGCTAGTCAGTCAGTCAGTCCGTCAGCCAGTCAGTTAGTCCGTCAGCAGGAGCCCATTACTGAATGGGCTCCTGTCCGTCAGTCAATCAGTCATTCAATCATTGAGTCATTGAGTCATTGAGTCATTCATTCAGTCAGTCTTTTGGTCGGTCAAGCAAACAATCAGTTGATAAGTTAGCCAGTCAGTCAGGCAATCAGCCGGATGTCTGTTGGTCCATCCGTTTGTCTATCAGTTCATTCATTCGGTCGTCCAGTCGCTCGGTCGGCTGGTCGGTAGGTCAGTTATCAGCCTATTTTTCAAGCTAGGCAGCGGGTCCCTGTGTCCTTGTTTTAAGCATATAACAAGCATCAATCATCGATTGATCGATAAATGAAGCAACCCTTTAATCGTTGTTACTTCCTATACATGACAGGCAAAAGTTGGATAACAATGTTGTTAGTAATTTAGAATTAACATATATTTCTTTTCGTGTATTTTATTTGTTTGGATCATTTTATTCCTTCATTCTTCCTCCAAATCCTTTCCCTATGATACAGCATGCCTTCCTGTCAGCCACCTGCAAAAATAACAAACAGTAAAGCCGTATTAATGAACTAGTTGCCTTTAAAAAGTACTCTGTCATGCTCCTTTCCTTGATTTCACAGCTCTTGTTTTTTAATTTATCAACTGCGCTCATTGCAGAAGAGCTTTAGCTCGGCGCGAAGTAAGTATCATCCAACAAAGTGTTTTACTCTTGACTTGTACTAAAGCCAAATGGTGCTTGAGCAAATCATTGTCATTCTTGCTTTCATTGCTTTTGTTGAGCCGTTTGATGATGAAGATGATGAAGCGTGTTTTATGTTACTTTATGTTGTTGTTAGCGTTGCTTGTGGGTTGCTTGACTTTTTACTAGAGTCCAAAATGAGAGTGACAGAAGGTGAGAGCAAGATATTAAGGAAAGGCTACTTACACTGTCTACAGCTTGCTTGGCAGTTCTTCTTCATTTTCTTGGTTTCGCAGCTGCGGAAGAACATTTCCTGTTTCTTACACCACCTGTGACTTTTACGGTTTGCGCACCGCGCACGCTTTTCAATATCGTCGAAAACTGGTAACATGTCTGAGAGATGAAAAATTCAAACTGATCAATTGCTTTGGCCTGAATTTAAATAAAAAAGCACCATCATAAATATGCTCTCACTCTTTTCATTGCTTTGCAAAACCTTTGATGGAAATTTTCCAGTTATCGTTTAGCGTGTTTGACAACGAAGAAGAGAATTAATTTTTCTTGAAATGTACATGTGTAACAGATTTTTAACGTCATCGTGAGAGAAGTGAATGACAACAAGGCTTGAATTTGAGTGACATTTAATAAAACCTCCTGATCTTTAATTACTTAGTTTGAGGAAACGGTTGAAGTATTTTCGATCAATTATTCGAGGAATATACTGATTGAGTTGGTGATGAATGAAACTCACTCTTTTAGTATTTTTCTGTGGCTGATTATTTATTCATGCAGATATCTATCAAACGATGTCTTCGCCTTCACACATTATTCGGACCCATTAATTGAAAATTTTATCTTTTTCCGACATCGCATGTAGTTCATTCTGACAATGCTTTCTAAACATGAAATAAAGGATTAAATGAAACATCTATCAACCGGATTAAACTCACCTTCGAAAAGCATTTTAGTAATGAGACTACTCTCCTTTTGAGCATTTTCACTATCATCAAACTTTGCGGTAGCAATTCCAATAAACATGAACAGGATGAGAGGGAGACAGCACATTCTAGTGTGAGGCATGATCGCTGTCAGTTTTTGCCGTCAGGGAGGGCGAATTTTCACCTGTTTAGGGAAGATACAGCCTTCAGTATTCGAATCTTTGTTTTCACTTAACTCTACTCTATTTAAGTTAGTTTCATTGGAATTTTACGTATATAACTGGCAGAAAAACTTGTCCTTTTTCATTTATCAAAGTTGACACAATCGCAAAAACGTATGCCACCATCCATGGTTTTTGGAGTTTCCTACATTTCATGCACCCATGAAGCTACTTGCAGGTTGAGAACCATTTATCGGAAAGTTTTCAGAAACTCTAAGCGTTACAAGTCCTTCAGTTACTTGGAAATTTAACAGTCTTTCCAATGAGCTACCTCTGTAGAAGTCAGAGATTAAGAAGTCTTGTATGACAAATTCAGTTGATTCAGTGAGTGTGACTAGTAAGAGCCTGTTCTGAGTTCGAACAAGAGCAACGTGGATATGATTTAAGATTAAAATTGTCAGAAAACCCTACCGGAGTGATTGTCATATTAATTCTATGTTAAGAGCTGAAATAACTTCATACAAACCTACCTGTAAATCCGTCTGGCTGGCTTTGGATGGAAATGAAAGACACGATCGCTCATTCTATTTATGTAGAAAAATGGCCGCACATTTCCTGACCAATGTGCCATCCAATCCAAATCAAATTACACTCAATCAGAAAAAAACAAGCGATATGAGGTTACGAAATCTCACCAGAAGCAGTAGAACAGGAACAAACATGACACTGACATCCAAACAAAGCCGCCTTTCCGAAAGATAACTTTCAAACTTGCTTGGAGGTAAATTAAAGTTTGCAATGAATTATTTAGTGAGTTTTGATTACATGTTGTTATTTTATTTCAAAATGATAATATGAGCAACTTAAAGAATTTTTTAAAAGTAATATTGAAATAAGACAAAAATGAAAACAAAAATAGAATGAATTGACAGTTTCACAAAGTGTCGATTTTGTCAAGCCTCTAATTGCAAGTGACCGGTTGAGCAATTGCCATATGGTCTTCACGCCCACTTCAATTCTTACCAGCTTTCTTAATATTAATGTTGTGGCTGTTTTATTTGAGTGAGCTGAAAGGTTTTGATTGCGCTTTATTGAAATTGAAATTTCAAATCCGCAGTAACTTAGAAGCATGAGTTGTTTAATGTCTTTGGCATAAAAAGTTCTCTCATGAAACCGTGTGACCTTCATTTCAAGTTTCTCTAAGATATTGAACACGTGTTTCGATGACTTACTGGTATAAATTAACGAAGTCTAGTTCGGAAAAGTAGAGACAGATTTCGTGAAGTGTAAGCTGGTCCAATTGGTAGCTGGTTTAGGGGAATGTAGTGATATACTCATAGTTCTGAGTACTAACTGTAGCTTTCCTTCTCAGAACAGGCGGACCTCACTTAAACCTTAAAGCAGCTAGATTTTAAAGATAACCCTGAGCTTGTATACACCTTACAATTAAATATCATTTAAAAATTAACACAATCTAAGAAAAACTTGCTTCGGAAAATTCTACGAGTAGATAAGAGAATTATTTGCTTTTAGGAATTATTCAACCACACCTATACTTGTGGGCCTTTGTTTTTGCTTTCGAATCGGAAATATTATTAATGATGTATCTGGTGTGAATTTTGCTTATTTATTCATTCAATTTTTTTCAAGAAAACCTCCCTCCTCAGATCTGTGCAAGATAAAAAAATTTAAAGCATTTGCTTTAAACCATTGACGTTTGATTAACGCTGATGAGGTAAAGGTATCATTTTGATTGTTGTTTTTTGTAAAACAGGGTAAAAAATTAGGGAATGTAGTTTCACCCCAAAAGAATCCTCTCGTGAGGCTTTATTTGAATATGTTATCTATATTTTTTTCACATTTCCATATTAAGCTCGTCAAGCTTGATCGGGGAGGAGGGGTTGAAATTTTCCTATTTTTCCATCGCCCAGAATTCAGCGACATATCCGGGACTTTCATTGAGACGCTGGCGCGAAATTTAAAAGCTAATTAGAAAACGATTGTCAAACAATAGAGAAAAAGGCTGAAAATGTCGAGGAAGACTTACGTTCTGTTCGTTTACGGATAAACTACTTTTCAAATGCTACTTTTACCATATGGCTTTTAAAGAAGAAAGGTCAATTGAACAGTGTATCATTCTCACTTTGCTCTTGCGCTTTCAGAAGAGGTCGCAAACTTGCCTAACCATTCTGACAATGGTGAAAATGGTTAGAAAGGCCACTGGCCTCATTATGGATCCATATTAGCGTTTTCTGTAACAGTTTTCACAGCTATTTGTCTATTTGTGCTCCCTTTGCAAAAATAAGTCCATATAACTCCACTATTCTACCATTCCTTGCGCGATTTTTGCTTTATTGACTCATTGTTAGATTTCCAATAAGATTCATTTGAAGATAGAAAAAGTGGTTGTTGTAAGAAGCCACATTTTATTTCAGTTCCATTAAATGCATTCATCAAAAAGATCTGTTTCACGATGACGGCAAGAGTTATCATTCTAAAATGTGCATGCTGATGGCATCACGTTCGAGAGAAAATCATTATGTTCATTATTTGTTTACGGGATTAATAAGACTGCTTTACTTGGTTTTAAAAGAACAATAACTAGGCTCGCTAGTTATGAAAGAGTTCCATAAATTCTGCACAATCCATTACAGAAGTTTTGGCATCTTATTTTAAACTCTTCAGTTCCTTCGTAACATGCTTCATTGTAAAGAAACTCGAATGTGCAAAAATAGATGTCGCTTGGATGAGGACACTTCGTCATCCCAGGTTCTGTAGAGAAAAAAAAAATTATGGGTTTGATAATTCTTAGAATACCAATTAAATGAAATAAAGAAGTGATGACAATAACGGTCATACCTAAAAATAAAAGGAAAACTGAGCATAGAATGTGATTTGTTTCACCTTGGGAGGGGAGGGGGGAGGGTACGGTTACACCTAGGCTATATAGTTCGAACAGGCTCTCTGATAGACGCCGTGAATTTGCTAAAATGTAGTCATACTGGATGTCAGGCTTTCTGAGAGCACTCACAACTTTTCCTTTGATACCTTTCGTTATGGTCATCAGAACCGTTACACAATGATAAATTGTAAATGCACCAATCACGCACGATAGACACGATGCCTAATCCTTTCCTTTCACCAAAACAGTTTAAATACTCTTGGGAAAGAATGAAAGCTTATTCTTCCAGCTACTCAAAACGTTTGCGTAAATTTGTCTAAGCTATTTGGTAGAATTTCGCTCATTAGTTCATTGATTAGTGCCTATGCTGGTCAGCACCCTTAAAATGGTATTTAAAACTGTTCAATATTTCAATTCGTCCTGCAGATGGCGTGCACTGCATTTCTAAGCAAACGTCCAAATTTAATCACACAAGAGCAACTTGAAACAAGTACTAGTGAGGTTCAAATAAATTTTCCCCAGCAATGGCTTAAGAGATGGTCATGAGGGGAACAGAACTGCTTCTCTGTCAAGGTAAAAAAGAGCTCGCGGATGAATTATTTTGCTCATCGATAAAACTGAAATCAGCAGATCAAAAGTCATCTTCACATAGAGTTTTAAAAAATCTTAGATCGCGTAAGGAAGATGAAGCTACAATACGACCTTAAGCAACAGCCGTGAGTCACATGAAGTAGACCAAAGTAGAAATGAAATGGAGTTTCTAAGATAATTGATAAAGATGGTGACTTTTTAAACAATGCTTTTGTTCGATGCCTACTAAAGTGTGGTAGGATCGAACCATCAAAGAATAAACGTAACAAAAAAAGAAAAGAAAACGTGGAACCGTTTTTAGACAGCTTAAATCAGTCTTAGGATCTGGCATTGAAGTTCACTCATTTTTCTGACGATAGATCATTGACACATGGCATCATAAGGGGAAAATTTCATGCTCAGGCTAAAGACCAAGTGAAAATAAAACCTCATTATTTTCCCCCGTGGAGGCTAATGAAGCTTTATATTTTATGCATACTATATGTACTTAATGTATGCTTCTGATTATAATGAAATGCCATTCCTTTCTTCCTCTTCTCGAAGTAGGCTAAGTTGCATAGCGCATTCATGCTTGAGTCACAAAATAACATAAACGGTACGTCAAGTTTTGTACTTCAATCTGAACAAGAGAAAACAATGATCCCATTTTCTCTGGATCTGAAAGAGTTCACGCATAGGGGGTGAGAAATTGTTTGAGAAGCTCGTGGTATAATTAATGTTAAAGATATATTTATTTTAACTGCGGTGTTTACAAGGATTTCCATCCCTGAGGAAACCCGTGTAAAATTGCGATAATTTTTACGTGAGATTCTGATATCGTCAATCAGCCGCTGATACTTCAATCGCCTTGCGTGCCGCACTGTCAGGTTGATGAATGAATGGCAAAGCGTTCACCATTCTCAATCCAAGGTCGCTTGTCCAATTTTCTTGTCGGTTTAGTGCTATGGTGTTTATATGATAAAAAATGATACATATGTTCTTTTTGGTATAGAATTTCTCTTCTCGTGTTCAACTCGATATCTGACTCGCTCGTGAGATATCGAGTTGAACACACCAAAAGAAATTCCATACATACATGCGCCCATTTATTATTCTCAATTCATGATTTAAATTAAGTTTTTTGCACTTATTCCTTATTCTCAGTTTGAAATAATCTGTTCGATCTATGGGCCGCTGTTTTCTTGATTAATTTATGAAAGTAAATTTTCGAAAGTTCATAACCACCGGAGGGAGTGAATTTTCATGAGAAGCGTACGATTTTATCCGTGAATAAAATTTTGAAAGATGCATCACTTCAAATATTCCTTAACTCACAATATGCAACGATATTTCTCGGGTTAATTTGGAAAAGTTGATCGGCATCGACTGGAAAAAACGTTTTTCGGTGGTTTTTTTTTAAATGTGGACACGACCGGCTTGCTTTTGATATCCTTAAACGACTACACATTGACAGCAAACCGCACAAAAGATTTTTTTTTAATTTCTCGTTATATAACACATGAGCCAATACTTTATGGGTTTGAATTGTGTCTTAGCTCTAATGTCTTTTGATGTATTTAAATATCTGAATTTTGGATGATAAATTATCTGTTTTTCGATTTTAAAATAAAGTTTTAAAATGACGTACCTTCCAGTAATTGCCTTGTGCCTGACATGTCTTGCGACAATCTTGTTCTTAAAATGGGATGGGCGAAAGAACCAAGCATCAGAGAAACAAAAATATAGACAAAAATAGCGTGCTTTATCATAGTAAGGCGATTGATTTGACTCCGTTTGGTCAGCTGTTGAGATAAGGGTTAAACGAGAAAATTAATACAGCAACACGAACAAAAAGCATCGAAAGCTATTCCACGATATCTCGTAAAATGTTTAATATTAGCATGGTCAGTTTTGATGTAGCTGGTGGCGCGAATCTTCCTTTCGTGATTTCCTTAATGGTTTTTCACCTACTTTTTTTAAAAACCTATTTTAGAAAGGTACAAGTTACTTAACCACGCAAATGCATTTCCAATATCTGAGGCCATAATAGATATGGTAAGATCACTTTCGTATTCGGAAACTACTTCATTCTTCACTTGTGCCGTTAAACACAAATTTAAAGGATGGACCTTGCTTTCCGTAAAGGAAACGTTTGATTTATTTTGACGAGAAGGAAAGCGAAATTTTTTGAGGAGGAAATTTGTAGCGTATAGTGTCCAAAGTGAAAATCAGTTGTGGCTTTGAAAAGGCGTACGTAGGGTCTAAGAGGTTGTACTTACCTAGCTCTCACGCTTTTGACGACTGAACAAGGTGTGCAGGGCTAGAACATCAACAAATCGTTTTTCTGTTGCTGTGGACTTGATAACTAACTGACTTTTCACCTGCCCCGCTGATTATTTCGGTGTACATCTTAACTATAATTACTTTCATTTTTCACACGTGTCAGCTAAATGAATTATCTTACTGGCATGTTAACACATGCTGTACTACCAATAATAGTGGAGTTCCTCAAAAGATTGTGATAAATGCAAATGGCCATATAGTCAAGCCGATCAGGTGATATTTTTTTCTGAAGGCTTATGTGTGTGTACAACTCTCACCGACTTGCCAAACTGTGTATAAGCTCGCCATTTTCTTTACAGTCAGAACCACTGCATTTGGCTAAACTGACTCCGAAGAACTCAGTGGGCTCTCGGTTTCATGGCGATAGTTGGATAACTACTTTTACGTGTTTCGGTCTGCAAACAAGTCGTTTTTTTCCTGAGAACTTCACTTATAGAAATGCAAATCTCGCGTTTGTTTTTAAAGAAATGGTGCTCTTTTGTTTCAACGGTCCTAATTTTCAAGAAATCTAATTTTCACTTACTGCAATGGGCTTCTAATGGTATAGTAAAGAAACTCAAAGGTTTTTTTCAAAACGCGAAGCTACTCCGACTGAGGAAATTATGATCACGCTTGAAAATTGAGAACGATCGTTTTTAATAAGTTATCCTAATTAGCGGCCCTAACCAAAACTGAACTTGTGTATTAACTTAAAGGCGTCATCATGCATTTATAAATATTGGCAAAAGACTGCTGGAACCAGCCGCTTTTCGTAAAGTATATTACCATTTTCATTCATCTTTTTCGGTTCATACCTCTTTATACCACAACGGCGCCAAATTTCAAACCTGCCTGGTTAAACGTGAGTGTACCAGCAAAACAAAGCTGAGCTCAGCTCCTTTGATCGAAAACCAAACATACTGTTCAAAAACCACCTGTGCCCATATTATATGAGGAAAATGAAGTACACCATGGATATTGTTGGTGGGCTGTTTGCCGCGTTCCAATTTCAACCACTGTGTATTGTATACTGAATTGAAAAAAAATGCAGCAGATAGTTGCTCTAATTGTGTTACCCAGACTCCCACATGTATTCCGCGTCATACTCATCCCTCACAAAGTATAATGGTAGCTCTAGTACGTGACAAAATTTTAAAGTCTTTGGGTTTTCTGATCAAGTCCGGCTTTACTGAAGCATGTTGTATTATTGTGTCAATGTGATACCTAGCTTATGATTAAAACTGTGAATTTGCAGTGCTCTCATTCGTCACGTTTTAATAATGAATGCATGAATGGCTTGCTTGAAAACGGCTTCTACCACAAATTCCCTCTGTCCTTGAAAAAGTAATTTTTAGCGATGTAAAACTGAGCTTGCAACTCATATCATTGCTACCCATGTAAGCATTTTTCATGACAACTTTATTGCTGTACACATCATGTGGCAATACATTTTTGGACAAATTCAATTCTATAATGTCTTAAGATATTTTCTTGAACTGGTTTTAAGATTATGACGCCAATCGGTTGGCTTACTGTAATTAATGCAATATTTAACGATATTAACTACATACAGTAAACTTAATGCATTATCCTTGAAAAAAAAATGATGGTTTAAAGCAGTTCTCTACAGAACATAATCCCACCTTGGACCTCTGTTCGCGTAACAAGAATGGATTAGTGGAGGCTTTGTTATTCATAGAAAATTCAATCCTTTCCTCGCATTAATAGGTTTATATCGATTTACCACAAGTTAAATTTTGCAGGAATATCCACACTCGTGACACAATCAATCCAAAATTGTTCTCCTCTGAGAGGTGTTTGTGTAATACACATTCAGTGATGTTAATCAATAATGATTGAGAAAGTATATATATCCAGAGATTCGTCTTGTTCAAGTACACGGCATTGAGGTAAAAGTTCGTGCACAATTAAGTCCAAGCTGATACGATTAACATTTTGTGAGAGTTTTGCACAAATCCTATTAGTACTGGTTCTTCTAGCCACGAAATTCAGATGATTGCATAAACTACACAACCACCATTATTCGCCAAAGAGAAACGTTTCGAAGCGTCATCGAATCATGTGAATCCACATCGCCTAGGTCAGAATGTTAGAGATCTGTATCCTCTACGACAAATACTTTAAAAGTGACACTGTTTAAAGTGTATTCTTGTATTGTTGATCGTTCTTGTTCGTGTAGTATCTGTAGCAGCACCTTAGTTGCTTCAGACAAACGGTTTTTTCGAGATAAGTCATGAGAGTATCGGTTCCTTGATAATCTCATCGTCATTTTAGGTACTGTCTTAAATTCGAAGTCGGCGTAGTCTCCTTTTCTGTCACTTAACTTTGATCCCACAGTTTCTTTAAGAAGATCGCTGAGGGCGGGCGAACGAGTCGGAGATAACTTCTTCATTTGCGTAATATAGAGTAGCAGGAGCTTTTATAACACCACGTCAAGTGTGTTGTAAGACAGACCGTGAATGAATACCAGCTTCTTGTCGAATAACAATCAGCAACGATGATTTTGCTGGTTGTCAGGAAAAAGACCAAACCAAGTTATATGCAAGCCCTCGTTTGAAAAGGTACTTCGCAATGCTTCGAGAAATTAAAAGCTTTTGTTTGCTGAGCAAGGTTGCATTGTCTTTCCTGCTAACTGAAGCATGTAACAAAAGATGTCATCTGAAAAAACCTCACATGTTATTGTTTAAATTGAAAAGCAGAGACTCTCATTACATACATTTTTTGGGTTTCCATGACGTTGACGAATTCCACGGCGTGCCAAGCAGATGACACTTTGGCTTTTGTCTAGCCTCTCTTGTAATTTATGTTAATTATGAAAGTGGAAGGTAATGGAAAATTTCTTTGTTTTGGGGATTTTTGCTATGCAGTATAAAAAAATTAGCGTTCGTCTGTGTTCTCACAAAAATTCATTTGCCAAAGAGAGAAGGCGCAGCAAGCAAAACATTAAAGTGATATCTTTCATGTAAGAATGCGAGTAATGTTGTTCTTGGTTTCATATTATTGATATCCTTGTCATCGAGTCTTAAAACATGTCAAACATCTTGTTAGAGATCAGCCTTAAAAAGAAAACCGAATGAGTCAAAAACAACAAAAAACTAACACGACACTTTTGATAACGAGCCGCGTGGTCTAAAGCTACAACCATTGTTATGGCTGTAAATATTTTTGTTTTCCGTTCATAGTTGACTTGAGGGCTCGTATTGTGGACTCGCCGTGAAAGATATTTTTCCAAAATAAGTAACCTTCAGAACCAGGTCTTTCTTTTTCAATATCAGTCCAACAAGCCCTCTCTTATATTGAGGCAATCTTCAGAAACTCCATTTCAGGATTCCATTACTTCCTAAAGGTAACCTAAGTGCTTTCTTATTGAAGTAGATAAACAGACGTCAATTATTGCACTGGCTGGTTAACTGACTCATTCATCTTAAAAGGGGAACAAAAACATATTCGTCCTATCCAACTCATTCCGTAAACTTTCCATAAATTTTAGCTTAATCCGCCGCATTGCATGCATGCAGTTCCATAGAGTGACGATGGCTCTGGTATTTTATAAATTCCACTCACTGAGCGTGAGTAAGATTGTTTTTCAGTTCTTAACGTACCGACTGCTAAAGAATGTACTCATTATACATTCGGATCTGTTGAGGCTTATTTTCGTTCATGCAAGGATTTGTGTATATGTTCAACTTCAGCCTTGTAGATCAACAGTTCTTCAAAACTGGCTTGTTCATAAAAATTGTAACCTACTGGGAAGTGCTTGTGAGTGTATTGGTAGTGTGCCCTTGTAAAATTTGTGTTCCTGCGAGCTAGGGAAGTAAGGTCTATCCCTTGAAAATCACAATTCCTTACCAAGTCAATGTTAATTTGGAATGATCGTTTCCCTGTTGCAAACACTTTGGCCTTAAAAAACCCCCTTGGTCGAGTGGTTTACTGAGAATTGAAACAGCTAGGTTAGGCCGCCCTTTGTATCGCAGAGTTGACGGGTGCAGAGATGTGCTACTCTAGATTTAGTGAGAGAGAAAATATCATTGTGAAACGCAGAGGAGCGTCATCTCAAGTTAATACTCCTTTGGTTTTGATTTGGATCCAGTGAATGACATCGTGGATGGAGAGTGCTATTTTATTAATGGCGTCATTCTCAAAGAGAGCATAACTTTCTGCGGTAGAAAAGGTTATCACACACCTATAGAAAACCATGATCGTTGTGGGAAAAATTGAAAACCAAGATAGCATGTATTTTCTCTTGTTGAAAACGTAAATCTAGGCGCACTGAGTCGAGAGCTGGTTAACAGGAATAATTAGACGAACAAGCACTAGCCTCACTCCTGATAGAGAAACGGCGATCTTTGACATGGCAGCAATTGTGTTCTTAGGAAACACCCTCGCTCTAGTTATCTCCTTTCTTGTGCACGTGTTACCTTGGCAGCCTAAGTAATAATAATAATAATAATAATAATAATAATAATAGAGGCCTACAAGTCTAAACAACTCAAGTCGGGGACGTTCCGTGCAACACCCTGGTTGCACTACTGGTCAAAGACGGTTGGGGCTCAGTGAAAGACAAATGTCTTGCTTTTGCTCCATTTTAATGAGAGCAAGACGGAGAGCATTTTAACACTGCTAATAATGACGAGAGAAAACCAGAAAATAAATTTGTAGTCATTCGTTCTATACTTGAGATGAACGTGCTTCGGAAACTTTGTCTTCTTTACTGATATCGAAACAAACTAGAAGAATCTGGTGTTTTTAATGTGGAGGTATTGGAACCGATGGGAATTGACTCTAAGCCTTAGCTAGTCTACTCGGTTAAGCCAATATTTGGTCGCTTTTTAGGGAATTGATTTCTAAACTAGGCTACAAGATCACTTGAACACATGTTCGATCTCAAAGATTCTTTATTCTTCTGATGCCGCATCCGGCGAACATCTTGTGGTAAGCCTTTGACTAATTGTTGAATAGTTTAGGGCAGAGCGTGATCAAGAAAAAATCAAACAATGTAACTGATATCTTTGTTTGCATTGGATAATAAACCCTATTTGCATTTTGCAGAAAGTGACCCTTCATATCTTGGCTTTGAATCCGTCGCATAACTGAACAAACATAATTATGGAGCTTATGTGTCCTTACTGATCATATACTCTGACCTCCTGTTCTAAAAACTATACCGCAATTGTAAAATATTTTTTTCTGAAAGCAAGGCTTAAACTTAATTGAATGTATCAAAACTGTTAAATTACTCTCCAGAAGAAATTTTTTTATCGCTTTGTGCGATTTTCCGCTCCAAATGTTCATGATCATTGAGGCTGGAAAAGGAGGGAATTATCGAGAATCAGACAGCAGACTCATAAACAGACCTCTGAAAGGAAAGAAAAAAAAGCATCGCCGCCCCCAGCTCAAAAGGTCATTTACGTAATTGTCGCAAGATAACTTCTGTCGTGATTTGTCTATTGCCTTGAAGCTCAAGCTTGTGATTTCAGTTAGGCGATATCACACACGTCCGGGATTAAGCTTTTGTAATCGGCTTTTGGCGTGAAAACATTCGGTAAGTACTGCGTGGTTACCTACATTAGTTACCACTAGTTATATATAGTTAATAAAACTCGAGCGTCAATCAGATTTTTTGGAACAACATTCTCGACGCCACTTCAAGATGTACTAAAAATTTAAGTGCTCTCACTTTCCGAAAAGAAGTTGTGAAAGTTACCGACACGCAATTTAGAATTTGTCTTTTTTAAAATTGGCAGGATACTGAGGCCTGTGATCCATAAGTTCAGCGTTCATCAAATTGTGCCGTTGACACCAGTGCACAGCTAGCGGCGAGCGGATGGTGGTATTCCTTTAAATCATGGCAGAACCACATGACATGCAAAATAACAAAAACGCAACCAGAATACTGAAAATGAAGTCATGCCCTGAAACTTTAGGATGTTTTGGATTTACTCGTCTCGTTGGAACAAAACCGAATCGACAAGAAGAATTTGACAAACTTTTGCAGAGTACGAGGTACAACCAGCTTGAAGAACTTTATTACGACCATGCTCAGCGATCAAACAAACCGAAGCTCGCTAACGTGCTTCTCCAGATACTTCAAATTCAAGAAGTTGAATCGATTCAAGAGTATACTGTGAACGGAAGTACATTCAAGGTACACGTCATAGAGGACACAGAGCTATAAAATATGACTTTTGTAACTTTTCCCACTCATCTTAAGGCAATATTTTGAAGAGATCGAAAAAAAGCAGTTTAGCCACAGGACCCATTCAGTGTTTCAGCAAGATACAACATTCCACCCTATTGCTCGAAAGGATTACCGCTGGGGATTTGTTCTCGTGTTATTCACGCGTGAACTTTTACGCGAGATTTCTCAAACATTTTCTCAAAGACCGAACAGCTGTGAAAACATGGCATGACAAAAAGAAATCTAATTACTCAATCTCTACCAAGTGACAGAGGATAAGTTAATGGAAGTTAATGAAAGTACTTCAATGCGGGGTCGACCTTCTTTGTGCGTTCCGAGTTTGGTGTGCAAACGTTGTTAAGGATGAAGCCGAATAGTTTATAGAGCACATAAATAGAGCTTTGAGTTTCAAGCAAGAAATGAAGCGACTTTATCCAGGGCATTGTGAAGCGTGTTTTAAGTTGCTATTGGCTTTAAGTGAAACCCAACTTGTTTGCCTTTTTAGAGAACAGATTCGTTATTTCGTTAATTGTCTTTTAAGTGGTGAGAAGATTACAGATGTCATCCTATGCTTTTTTTATAGTTATTTCAGATAAAACCTCGTGTTTGAACTGTTATTTCAGAGAGGAATGAAATAAGATTGTTTTCGCGTTGAGGAATATTTTCCAAACAAGATGAGACAATACATGACAATGTCTATTTTTTACTGTAAACTTTCGTAAATCAAAATTGAACATACACGATCAGCTGGTCTGAATTACTGAAGAGCGAGCCAAAATGTTTCACCTAGTTTCCAGGACAAAGGTCAAGTATATTTTTTTTGCATGTTTTTAAAGAGAGATCGCTTTTGTTTATTTTAAAAAGGTAAAGAACTGCGTGTACTGAACAAAAGATTGAATAAATATTTGTTTTTACAGATAAAAATGTTAACAGGACTGATTTTATGCTCAACAGTGAAGAGCTAGGCTGTTAGTCGCGTCACTTAATCGTACCTAAGAGAACAATTGTGGAAAACATGGTGTATTTTAAATACTCCAGTTCATAGATTTCGTGGCTGGAGATTCCTAATGATCCTGGAGTTTGCTAGCAGTGAATTATTCTTTTTCAGGTACGCCTAAGCGTTTATCAAAATATAGATTTTCTCTAGTGGTAGGAGTTGTGATATTACGGATAAAGAAATGAACTGTAATAGCTTAATAATCTACATGAAAAATAACTCAGTTGTGATTGGTTAGGAAAGAGTGCAGTTCTCATGTAACACAAATGCAGATTTGAAACACAGTTGAAAATGGTGCACACCCGAGGTACGCTCAAAGCGTTCACCCGAGGTTTTAAAACGACGGCATTTGGGTTCTTTTAAACGCCAAGCTTTCATAATCGAGGATGATTCCGACTGAACAATTCATTTTTGCAGATTATTGTTCACCGAATTTTCTTTTTAAATATTTTTGAACGGTTTAATATCAAGTCGTCATACGTTTCCAAGTTTACTGTTGAGTAACTTTGGAGTGACAGTCTTAATAGTGAGCCCAAAAGCTCTAAGTAAGATCTTGAGAGAAACGCCAGACTTCTTTGGAAACAATAGAGGTATTAAACGGCTAAGAGTCTATGAAAGTCACATATTTGAACTGCGGTTAAAGACGTGAATGAAAGTGATCCTCGTAGTAATGTACACTATTTGAGCAATAGTAGTTCAGGCCTTATTTTCACTACTGCTCAAGTAATGTGCGTTACTGCGAGGATCACTTTCATTCACGTCTTTATCCGCAGTTCAAATATATGACTTTCATATGTTCTTAGCCGTTTATTCATTACTTCACGGGTTTATTTGGAACCAACATAATTGGCTTATTAGCTCAGTTGGTAGAGCGCTGCACCGCTATCGCAGAGGTCATGGGTTCAAATCCTGTACTGGCCTGAATTTTTTTTTTCAGGCCTTATTTTCACGACTGCTCAAGTAGTGTACATTACTGCGAGGATCACTTTCATTCACAAATCGAGGTATTGTGATGTAGAAGAGCACTGCCAGCCAGCAAGAATGTCTCAAAAGAGAGCTTCGTCAAAGTAGTAATCACCAAACTCTAGAAGAACAGGACTATCAGTCAATTTGCACTTGGGGTCATCTGGTGTAATTCCGGGGCGGAGTGGTGGGTCAAAAAGCTGTAATAGGTTGCTAGTGAAACTACTGATTAATAGCGGAGCACGCAGAGCGTAGCCCCATAATTATACAAAATAGTAGTAACCCATCAAGCCGAAAATATTTGGATGTACGACTTTACGACCGTACGACCGTACAAGGTGCCACTTTTAACATGCATGGTCAACTGTACCGCGGGCATGCCACGGCTTTGTCGAGTAGTCCAGTGGTCAGTGCACTGGGCTCCGAGTCGGACGACCCGGGTTCTAGTCCTGGTCGGGGCAAGGCGTTGTGCCCTTGAGACGTGCGGGAAAAAAAATGCAAGCTCTGCTTTTAGGCTTGGTTAAATCTATGTATTATTTTATCACACGTACAAGCTCTGCTGCAAATTCAATGTACATTTTATATACGCACCAATGGTGGTGTTTATGGTTTAAACGAATTAAAAAAAAAGAAATCATAGCGAACGAGAATTGTTTAAAAAATCAATCGGCTGGCTAGCAGTCTTAATCTATTACCATTGGGTACCATTTAGCACCGGCTCTAGTCGACTTAAAAGGCCCTCCGTGACTCCAAAAAGGGAATTGGCGATATTTTCACTAACAATTATAGACCAGTGTTGAGGTGCTAGTTTCGCATTCGCATTACAAAAAATAAAGAAATGTAACAGCCCACCGCAAAAATTTTGAAATGAAAAAATTCAGTCGAAAAAACCGTTCAACCATTTGATCCAATGAAAACTTCGTCAATAGGCAGTATTTACTAAAACAACTACCTCCCCAACGCTCCCTGCGTACCTATAGTCTCCCACTTCTCCCTGGGTAATAACAGTCTGCCTCCCACCCCTTCCTGAATATCGATAGACTGCATCCCACCCCTCCCTGAGTACTAATTGTCTGCTTCCCCTCACTGATAGTCTATAAAACGGTCCAAAAGATGGTAAAAAAAAAAAAAAAAATAGTCCAGAATAATTCAGTAGTCCAAGGGTCCAATGGTTCGGTCCAATGGTTCAGTCTATATTTTTATTCAATCTCAGATAAAATTGGGCGTCGAAAGTTTGCGATTTTGAGTGTTGGTTACGTCGCAGATGATGGTTCCTCGAAAAACTTAAACGCTGGTGATAGCGCGAGAAAGCGTGATTTTTCATAAGGCGTAGAATAGGAAGAAAAACTATTGCACTCGACAGTCGGAGAAAGAGACACCAGCAAAAAAAAGTGTGATTTTAAGAAGAAGCGAAATGGGGAGGAAACTGTTTTCGCTCGATCAATAATGACGCCAAAGTCTTTGGATTATGTCGTAGAGAGTATCTTGTTGGGCTTGTGAAACATCATCGTGCAATAGCATAATTTTCAAGAGAAATGCTCGACTGGCAGCATTGCGAAGGTCTTCGAATCCTCAGATGATAATGAAGTCATAAAGAGGGTTTACTGTTTGGCTCGAGCGTCAAAAGCGGCGCGAAAGCGTGATTTTCAAAAGCCTTAAATGGCCAAAAAATGTTTCTTTGGTAAAATAACAGCAGCGCGAGGGTTTTTAAGATTTTAAATGTTCAGTAAGTTGCAATTAGGATGTAATTTTGGCTCGGGCGAAACTCAGCTTTTTACGGGTGGCTAAAGCTGGTCTTGCAAAACTACTTTTAGTTCGAGACATTTCCTCAACCTCTACCTGATAAGTGTGAATATTCTCATGACCTATTTGCTGGATGATCTTTAGATATTGTAGGGAGAAGTTACATGTTAATCACTTCTGAGGGTAAAGGGTTAACATTCATTTAATCTCATTGCACATAAGTTTAAAGTAAAAATGTTATTTTATCAGTCGCTACTTTCCACGAGGTGCCCTTTAGACATCTCATCACCGAAAAGCGGATAGATTTCCATGACTTTTTTGCGAAGATCTCATCGTGAAAAAGACTACCCTTGTGTTAAAAAGCTAGTGAGCATCCCTCAGAATCAAGCAAACAAATAACCGGCGGCTAAAGCTGGTCGAACTGTGTTTCCTGAAATTCTTGCAGAACTCTCTTCTAATGCGAGACATTTCCTTTAACACTGATTCACGTGGAAATTGCAGATGAAACCGAAGAAAATATGTTATTTCATCAGTCGCTATTTTCCACGAGGTAGAAATGTACATGAAAGTTGTCATCATGGTACATAGAGCTTGTCATGATGAGAAAACAATATCTTGCTCATTGTGTTTTGATTCGGGTTTGATCCGTGCAAACTCATAAGGTAGAATGTATCTTATTCTCTTGTTCCTGTGAAATAAAGAAAATCAAAATCTATCTTTCTTGAAAAGCTCAAGCCAGCGTGTCCATTTAAGCTGGAAAATTGAGCTTGCATCGTAGGAAAAACGTCCTGTTAGTAGTTGCAACAATGCCTCTCTGGGAGCCGGAGGGCTGCAGCTTCTTTAGACGTTTCATCATTTCGAGAGCACTGATAATGTATGGAGCTACTCACGTCACGATGTGTCACTCGAAAAATCATGCATGGAACATCGCACTTGTTTTCATCACAATATCACTGGCGGTATGCATTAGAATGATCTGTGCTTATGATAAAATTAGCTCGCGGCTTGTAAACTGTTCGTAATCACTGTTATTATCATCATTATTGCATTTTCTAATTATGTCTAATACCAAAGCTGTTATGTATATGAGATTTTTCAAGGTTGAAGTGTTAATTGTAAAAGCAGGCTTCAAGGGTTTACTGTTGCGACACTTGAGAACCGCTTGGACATTATTTTTTTTTTAGCTAGAGCCTGTTTACATCTTAAAACAATTCTGGAATTAGTGTGAGTTTTCACACTTAAACACCTGCGAGAACCTATTCAAACAGAAAACGTACTCACGATAAGCTAAATGATGTCCAAGATAAATGTTGACTTGTTTTCATGAACAATCTTTCGTATATTTGTAAGACCATATTTCTGCCCTCCTCAGTACGTAATCAACATACTCAGTGGTTATTGTCATGTCAATATCTAAAGGGCCAGTTGTATGGAGGGGCTCTTAGGACCGGAAAACAAAGTCAGACGATATCAGATTATCGGCTATATTTGTCCTGACGTAGAATTGAACACAGTAGAAAGCAGAATTTATTGTTTGATACTCAAGCGGTGGCGAGTATTTGGACAGGAGAGAGTGAAAAATATTGAGGATACAGTGCTGCAGCATCTGGAGGAATTTAAATCTGAAATTCGAAGCCAAACAGTCGAAATTTTAATACCGGAAAAAAAAGCAAGGAAGAGCGAATATTTGACCAGACGACCCCAGCGATCTACTGGCAATTAAATTTTCGGGGACGTCACACTGATGTAACACATACAAACAAGCCACGCAAAGTTGCTGACTTTTCAAGGATAATTAGTGCCAAGAAAGAAAGTGTGCCTTGATCATGATGAAATCATTTTCTCGTCGTTCCTCTCCTTTCGCCAAACGTGATGACGAAGTCGCGCCGTTCACAAGTGAACTAAAGAAACAGCGACCCCAACAACATGCATCTCCTCAAGAAATAAACTTCGAGAAGATTAAGTCTGGGGACCGTCTATTGTCTCCTACGACGGAGGACAACAGATTGAAGCGCAAGTTCGAAGCAATTGATGTACTACTCCAGATTTTACTTCATCAAGACGAATTGACTTTGAAAGAGTACACTATCAACGATAGCAAGATTAAAGTCCTCGTCATAGAAGATACTGAGTTCTGACTCTGCTGTAGACGCAGCATAGGAGCAACAGACAAACTCCGAAGTTCGTTAAAGTCTTAATCTCAAAAAAACAGAGCAACAACTTTAATACTTTTGAGTGATATTTGAAGACAGTTTAGAGTATTTAGTCGCACGTGGCGCCTAAAGTCTCACGTGTTAATAGCACAAACCGCGGATTTCGAAGTCTCTACATTTCGAGACAAAAGTAATGCTTCCTTTCCGTAGGAGCTGGAAAACTTAAGTCATTAAGCTTATTTTTGAAAGATTCGATGAAGACATTTTAGTGACTTCTATTCCTAACCTGTGCTGAGTGTTCAGTTGCTATAAGTTGCGATATGGCCGCTGTCTTTTTATTGCTTTCATTTGTGTCCTGCTTTGCTGATGCTATCGGGTCCCTGTTGTCACCTGAAACTACGTAGCTGTCGTCTTTCGGACATACGACATAGGGAACTGACGTCTAAATAAAGTTACTTTAAACTTTCTTTAGTAGTCATTCTTTCAGTGAACGTGAAGCTAGTCAAAACAATACGAACATTTAGAATCGTAAAAACTCTTTTGTCATTTGAAACGTTTCAAGGTAATCATCACACCGTCTGTTATTCACATCTGTATTTCACAACATTGTCAATTACAGCTGTTCCGTCTGTGTTATATATTTTAGAAGTAAAAATATCCTGATAAGAATGAAAAGCTCATTTATTGTGTTTGTTTCAAAATTATCTGAATGATACCATATGTGTGAGCCGGTATCGTTGATAAGGACACGAAACGAAACATTATATTCACTCTCACATGACTTACGTGAAAAATGACAGCCCCAATATATATTGAACATCTATTGCCAGACTTCTAGCAACAATTGAAAAAAAGAAAAGAAAATGTGCAGTTCTTCCTGTGGTGTGTAGAAAAAGGAATTAGGATAAGTATTTTTTATTTCTTTCATCTCATTTTCTCCATTTAGCGGTTGAAATTTGGGTCAATTGAACACAATGCTGGAATTGTGATAAGTATTTTTTATTTCTTTCATCTCATTTTCTCCATTTAGCGGTTGAAATTTGGGTCAATTGAACACAATGCTGGAATACGAGAGATTTTAAAGTTTCGACTTAACTTAATAAGCTTTGATAACTTCTTACTGGTTGAATTATTACCTCAGTGTTGGACATAGCTGATATCGCGATAGATGATATCGTGTGATTAGTCTCGACGAGACCAAACAAGGGTTGTGAGGAAGAATCAGATTGTTCTACATGTTTTTAAAAAATTCACATCTGCCTTGATAAGTACTGAAAGCAGCCTGCGTATTCAAACAGCAGCACCTATGATTTAATACTAATCTCATGCAACCACGGAGAAGACATCGTTTCAGACGCTCAGGAAGAAAAATTTGACCCTGTCTTGGGATCGGCGGAATGACTTGCCTTGTAGCGAGTTAAATTTTATCGGAAGAGGGATGTCTTGGGATCGGCGGAATGACTTGCCTTGTAGCGAGTTAAATTTTATCAGAAGAGGGGGAGGGATGGAGGCGAGAAGTGCGGCAAGACATTTTAGCTGCTCATCCCAATCCTTAAATTAATTACTTGCTCTGTCACACCTTACTCACTAACTGAAAGCCTGAAACACGGTCGCAAATTGGGAAGCAATGAAACTAAACTGTACCCTTTTGTGACCCAATGACCACAGATGTACCAGACTTTTAACAAGTATTATTTAATGTATTGTTAGAACTGAGCTGCCATATCTATCGATTTTAGTTGGCAGCACTTGGTCCCCTCTCACGCGACGGCATTACATTCATACCTGAGATATATAAATTAGGTTTCGTGGAACTGTTTGTAAGTTTGCGGTTCACAAGGCTCTGGTGGTAGTGCTCGGTACAGATTTGACTATAAATTCTCTTCTGTAGCACAAACAAACCCAGCAGCGTTTTATACTTTAACATTTCTTTTAATCACGCAGTCCACAGAAGTGTTTTTTTCAATTTTTCGAAGGAATCACACTCAACTTGGCGTGAGATATAGGCACGTGTACTATAGTTCTGTATCTTCGAGAACCTCAACTGTAATCGTATGTCCTGCCAGTCTATAAACTGCCTTTGTGTTGATTATTTGCTCCTGTAGAATACGGTGAAGAACGACCAGATACTCCTCTTGGCTAGCAGCACTCGAATTTGGAAGGTCATTCTCTTCTTCGCTCTTTCCATTTTCAGAATCTGTTGATGTGTTCGACAAATCTCTAGTTTCGTCCACATCTGTGGGTTGTTTTCCGCTTGCGGAGGACTTTCTTCCTTTAAAGAAGGTACTCAGTCTGTTAGCTTGGGAATTCCTTTTAACACCAAGCTTCATCCTTATAGTAAGGTTTAACTTTTGCTCATCAAAGGGCATGTTTTGAGCAAATGAGTATCAGTTAAGCTAAGAGAGATGTCGTCCGTGATAAGTTGACTTTGACATGCTTGACAGAAACAAGCCATTTATTAGTATGTTCGCCTAATTCTTAAACTGCTGAAGGAAACATCTTTTGTGTCTTTTTTAGGTATCAGTCTTAATTTCGTCTGTCGTATACATGACTCAGAAATCTCTTTTTTTCTGGCAGAAAGGAAAGCTGTCGAATAGCCAAATTTATGTTACTCTCACCTGAAAACATAGGAGCTTAAATTAATACGATATTCAATCATCGTATGACCTCAATGAACGACATAATTCTCTAATTATATCATGGTATAATTTCTTAGCAAAATGACACAAAATGGTGTGTGGTCGTCTTAGTTTTTTTTCTTTTCAGATAAGTCTGATATCGGCAAAGAACTCGATGCAAAAGGTCAAGAACGTAATTTGCTTTTAGCTTGGGCCCGGTCGCCGGATTAACCGACTGAAATTGTCCCGTAAAAGAAAATCTCAATTATGTTTTCCAATATATTATTTCAATCGAGAGATTGAAACATATCAAAAAGACATGCGATCTGATTTTGTAAAATTTGTAAAGTCGACAACTGGGAATGCTTCATGAAACATCATTCCATGGAGGTAATGAAAAATATGTGAATTAGCAGTCGTGACCCGACTAGTCGCTCTTTGTCACACAACCGTTCCTATAAAAGAAAAAAAATGATATGTCTGATTTTGAAAGAGGGTAAATACCCCCCCCCCTGCGTTTCTTTTCCGTCTATTTCAATAACCACTTGTAACTGTGACTTCTTTTTTTTTCTAGTTTCTGTTCTCTTGGAGGAAATCTTGAGTATTGTTATACAAGATCAAAACTGGGCTTTCAACATCTCCTTCGCACAATACAATAGACAGGGTGATTAATCATGGTCGCCGTTGTAATAAAACTTTTGCACCTTGCAATACCTGTCACACTTTGTCAGTAATAACAATTGTTGCACAACGTGTGAATTAGATGTAGTCTCTCTTCGTTATAACAAGCTATCAGTTTGAAAATTGTTAGGCTGGTGAGAGATCCTCTGATAATTATTTAAATTATGTAGAGCATAATATTCCCTTTTCGATACAATACGGTCCTCAGATGTTGTTACAGTCATTCTTTGGGATGTTATTCAATGTATCATACACGACTTCTCTCAAGTTAAGAGGTAAGTGGTGTTGGGTTAAGCGTTTTGCGTTGGCTGGTTTTGGGAAACCAAGAAAAAATCACCATCTTCTCTTGAGGAAACGTATATCAGATTCTCTGTCTTTTCTCAATCGTAATATGCAACCTCCCTTCTTGATTTACTTCTGAAACTTTCTCTTCTTGTGTTTTCGATATATATACGATAGTATACGGCATGCAATATACATGCTTGGGTTTAGAGTAACAAGAAAGCGTAAAAGCCATTCTGATTTACAAAATCTCTGAGCATTGGGAATTAGACTTCCGAAAAGCTAATATTTAAGGTGCATTGAGCCGAAAATTTGCATACTGAGTTGGTGAAGCACGAATTGAGTTAGTTTTTACGCTCAGTTAAGATTGAAATGTATCGCACCTCGCCTTTGCATTAGCTGCTCAATTTCGTAAGAACGAGAAAATGCTCTTAAATGTTCTGTGATGTCCAACATTATGTTCGAGCTTGTTGTATTTGTAAATGGAGGCTAGGGCTTTCTTCGTTCTGTCAAAACTGGGGCTAAATAACAGCAGATCATGTTATTCGAAGATTCATCTGACCAATGGGAATTTTAACGAGGCAGTGTGTGGACAGATGTCATGTATTACGGGCCTCCTTTCTCATGAAACTAACTTTCATGACATCAAAAAGTCAATTCACTCGGTAAATTAAAATTTTTTTTCGGCGGTATGAACTCAAACATGTCAAAGACGTGGGGCATAAAAATGCTTGATTTTGGAGTTTCATGCAATTCCATGGTAAATGCCGTAGAAGTCTTGTTATAAACACAATTCCAACTTATTGAAAGAGCTAACAGCCCGATAACACAGATGAAGCTGAGTAAATACGAATGACAAAAAGTCATACAAAGCGAAGATATTACAAAGTTAAAGCTAGATTGTAAATGATGTTAAATGTCCCAAAAACTGGAATTATTTTGGTCGCATTTATCAGCCCATAATTCGAGTCTACAACTGAGTCAAAGATGGTCGAAACCACTGTCTATATACAGGTAACTATTGGTTTGATATATTTGTGGTCAAATTATGTTAATTTTTACATATTTGATTAGTTTTTAAGAAAAAAATGCATTTTACCCAGCAAAGAGTTCCAATTGAGAATATAATTTTTTTACTCCTAAAACCTATATTGAATTTTAAATGCAGTTTAAAAGAAATTTAGGTAAATCCATCAAATTCTCTCATGGATCTTAACTTGGTTTTAAAAAAAGGCAGTTTCCTCTAACATTTTTAATTAAATCAGTCAAGGAAAACTGAAAGAAGACCTACCTCGTCTCGAGGTTTAAAGCTTGCAACAGAGCAAAGTTCCCTTTTTTATTGTAAAATTTGGGATTCTCTCCTTAGTGTAAAGTGTTCGGAAACGGAAAAGTTGTGAATGATAGCTGTCTTGAGAGTTCCATAAAATTTAGAGGAGAGCTTTCTTATGACGGATACGCGAAAAAAAAAATATCGACCTTTAATCATCATTTAACTTCACCTTCACCTGAAGCTCTATGAAAAAACTGACATAGATGAAAATACAACTCTAAGGAATAAGTTGTCATGAAAAAGACTATGTTACACAGTCAGAAACTTTCTGACTGAGCAGATCAGGGTAAACTGCATGGGAGTGCTAGGTTTTTTACAGGTGGAAAATTGGAGAAGTTATAAGAAAACCTATGTAAAAAACCGACAGATAAACTGCAGCAATTTGTCACACCAGGTTGAATCAGGGTACACATGCTCTCGCAATTACGACATCCCTGCTCCCGATGTCGTAGAAAAAAACTATACCAATAATGTTTATATTGTTTATTCTCAAAGTTCTTACTAGTTATGATAAACCACAATTTATTCATAATCTACCCGTATGCGTTTTTGTTTAAAAACAGCAGCGTCACCTTTTCTAATCCTCAAGTCTTTCTTTAATAAAGTTAGGATAGAAGAAGGAAAATAAATTGACAAACTGATTGGACACATTTCCTAGCATAAATTAAATAGACTTTAAAAAAGGGGTGACTCAATTATCACTAAATTACCAGGAAGTCAAATCAGTGATCGGAGAGATCAATTGCAAATAAAAGCGAACATTTTTTTGCGGCTAATCGCGTGCGATGACAGCGAGCAAGAGTTTATAATATCTTGCCGCGAGATATTGCCTTTGCCTTTCCTTCCATTAACTTAGAAGTAGGCTACATTTTCCACTGAAGCTGACTAAGATGCAACATTTCGTTTTTTTTGCCGGGAGGCATTTGTATTATAGATGCTCCTTGGTGACGGAAATTTTTACCGAATCACTCAAGTTATTTAGAGCGGATGTCATGAAAATGGCTTACTTTAATTTGCGAAAGGAAACAAATCTAAATGAAAATCTGTAAAGAAGGAAGGATAGATCGATCAGTTCACCTTTAGAATGGATTGCATGAATCAGTGTGCTAGCGATGTGAAAAAAAGAATTGCGCCATTAAGCCATAAAATGAAAATCTGTAGTTTGGAAAATTATCTGACCCTTTATGTAGATGTGCTATGCCGGTCATACTTCGTTTCACCACCATGATGTTCGTAGTCGATGACGAATTCGAATGCGCGACGATCAAGTTGGAAGCGTCACTTATTCTCCCGCAGCAGGGAAACAAGACAATAATCTCGTGCCATTTTCCATTGTTACAGCGCAAAGCTTCGATGAGCTGCGGAAAAAAGGGTCCGAACGATAATAATAGTTGCGATTATTTGCTAGGTTGCGTATGCAATCCACACTAGAGGTGAACTGACCAATCCATCTTTCCGGCCGGTGGAGTCCTTCGCACAAATTCTCGTTTTGCAAATTATTAATTTGCATTTCTCGAATCACAAATTTCTCATTCCGAAAACTATAGATTTCCATTTCGTTTCGTCTCGTGTCGCAAATTACAGCGTCTGAGAGAGACATGTAATTAGCTCTTGTTTATTTTGGAATTAAAGTCTGAGTTGGAGAGCGAGAACTACTTTTTTAAAACATCGCTTTATTTGAGGGTACCAAGACTGTTTTTTTTTTATTAAAGCTGTAGACTTTGAAATTGCGAGAGCGCTTGTGAATACTATATGCGTGTTCTCTACCATCTGCGCAACCACTGATAGGAGCAAAAGGAATAAGAGAAATTTGGTATAATTTTCTACACAATGAGAAATGATAAATAACTTCTTGGTAATTCGCGATTGAAGCAAATTGTAACCACTAAGTATCATTTTCCACTAGCAAAAGTTGATTTAAAAATCACACTTAAGAGGATCGAAAAGGGGAATTAAAAATTTTTCCTACCCAAGGTTCAAATTGCGGCGATATGTACACTAATAGTGTATAATATCTTACATTAACATTCCCGTCAGTGCAATCGTTTCGACGCCTGTTTCGCATTTGCATGACAACAAAATAAAAAAATACAATCTGCCCAGCCCTTCCCAAAATTTTGCTCAACCAAAAAATATCAGTGGAAAAAATGCTCCAAATTTGTATGATCCGGTGAAATACCCGAAAAAGTGACAGGAGCATTTATCGCAAGTGCGTCCTCCCCCCCCCCACGGATGACAGATATATCCAATCACCCCTCCTTAATAATGAATAGTAAAAAAAGGGTCCAAGAAATGATCAAAATGGTCTAAAAAAATGGTCCAAAAGAAAGTCCAAGAAATATTCTAAAAATTGGTCCAACAGTCTAATATCCAGTATATGCCCAAAAAGGGACATCTGTCAATATCTCATTTGAATAACCCACATGTAATGCTGTTAATCTCACACGGACTTTAAATT